ACGTTGACCTTGAATGAGGTTGGTACTCTCTTGAAGTTGCTATATACTGTTTGATAACCTCGACTTGCCATATTGCAAGATAATGAAAAATGAGCGTTATTGATGAAGAGACATCTATTAAAGTACAAAATATTGACCAACTAAGATGGATCTCCAAATCTTGACCCCTGGGCTTCTGTCTGAAGTTCAGATTAAGATACTTAATCACGCAAGCATCTTTTCTCTCCTAATTATGTATTGTCAAATTTAATAATTGCAGATGACTGTGGTTGATGCATGTGTTGGGAAAAATAGAATAAATACAGCCAGTGACTCTTCAGAATTACACACAGAAGCTAGATCGTTGTTGTGCGAAGGTGTTGCTCAGAATACCACAGGCAATGTTTTTGTTCCTAAGGTGAGTGTATCTCTCTCAGTTAGGTCGTTGTTCCTCCACTACTGTACACTTCTAAACTCACCGAAATCAATTTTAGAGGCACCTGCACTTTTTTATTCTTAGTGCATATTTCCTCTCATTGGCACCAAACCCCATTTTTATACTTTGACAGACTGGCGAGGCTGTAGAGGTTACTGGATCACCCACTGAAAAGGCTATCCTTTCATGGGCAGTCAAGGTAGTCTTAATACATAATTGAGTTCTTTGATTATGTTCATCTTTTTTGTATCCCCCTTATACTTATGCTCGTGTTGGATTTCTCTCCCTCAGTTAGGAATGAAGTTTGATGCAATCAGATCGGAGTCTAAGGTCCTCCATGTTTTCCCTTTTAACTCTGAGAAAAAGCGAGGCGGAGTTGCCGTGAAGACGGTAATTTTTCTGTTCTCACTTCTACTATGACCTCGATTGGAAGCATTTAGTAACCCAAAAGACTATCATATATCTGAGTGGACTTGTTTAATTTTTCAATTCATTTAACTCCTAAACGTTTGAGCAAATGATTTTAAGGTTTAGTAATGAGTAAGAATGCTGTATGCCGAAGTAAGTAGACCAGTATAATGCATCATTAGCACAAGTAGTTACGAGATTCCATATTTGCTTAATTGCTTCCAGCCTGGAAATATGAGTTAGTGTCTCGCAAACATGAATCTCTTATCATTGTATGTCGATGAACTCTACGTCTCTTAGTTATGCTGACGATTTACTTGGTTACCATGACTCATGGCAGACTGATAACAGCGTCCACGTACATTGGAAGGGTGCAGCTGAAATAGTTCTTGCTTCATGCAGCGGGTATCTCGACTCAAATGGTTGCGTGCAGTCCATCGATAATGATAAGGTCAGGAATACGTACTTGAAAATGATTTACAAGTGGCCGAGCTGCATGCTTTTGCCTGAAATACCTTGTTTAGTGTCGTAGTTGGCAAATGATCCTGCCATCACCCCTTGTTTGATTCTCGAGCACAATTAACTCTAGATCTGTGAACAGTATGTTATCCGTTTTTGTCTTAGTTTTACAAGTCGTGATTAGGGAATCATATATGCTGCAAATGTTATTGGACAATCACGTTGTAAATAAATTATCATGGTGTCGTGACATTAGGAACCTTCACTGATATGTTATTGGACTACCTCAACGCAGGAATATTTCAGGGGTGCCATTGATGACATGGCGGCACACAGCTTGCGTTGTGTTGCCATTGCTTACAGGTCATATGAATTGGAAAAAGTCCCCACTGACGATGAGGCCTTGGCAAAATGGGTTCTGCCTGAAGACAGCCTTGTGTTGCTTGCAATTGTTGGCATTAAGGTGTTCTTCCTGAAACTGCTTTATCAATATTTTGTCTATTATTTCTGTTCTCTTCCAATGTCATAGTGATCATCTTGCACCCTAAAAAGTGGGTGTACACGAAATAAACTCACCATAACTTCCCTCTTCTGCCCCAACACACACACGTAGAACTTTTCCCCATCAACTGCTGTTTGTACTGGTACTTTACTGATGCAAGTTCCCTGGTGCAGGATCCTTGCCGGCCAGGTGTTAAAGATGCAGTGAGAATATGTACTAGTGCTGGTGTTAAGGTAGTTTGTTTTTTCAATCGATTAATATCATATTTACGTGTAACTTGGCCAGTGATAATATTCAGTACATAACTTTTCATTGGTTAATTGTGCTGTCCACTTTTTTCCGGCCCTTAAATAAAAAATTGGTGCCCCTTGGTAATGTGCTTATTCATTTGTAGGTTCGGATGGTTACCGGGGACAATATACAAACAGCAAGAGCAATAGCTTTAGAGTGTGGGATTTTAGGCTCCACCGCTGAGGCTAGCGAGCCAAATGTCATAGAAGGCAAGGTTTTTCGTGCATATTCTGAGAAAGAAAGAGAGCAGATTGCTCACAGAATAACGGTATGTTGCTTACAGGGTGGATCTCCATGGCAGAATGAGCGTGGATTTGATTATTTATCTTTTGCAAATTTCAGTTAGTGGTAAAATATGGTAACCATTGTTCAAGTGCATTTTCATGGTAATTTAGGTGATGGGAAGGTCCTCTCCTAATGACAAGCTTTTGCTTGTTCAAGCCTTGCGCAAGAGAGGGGAAGTTGTGGCTGTGACTGGTGATGGCACAAACGACGCTCCTGCACTCCATGAGGTTTGTTGTCTGTTCTGTTTCCTCTGGTTATAGCATTAAGTTCCAAGTATAATTCTGTAAAAAAGTTATTACAACTCTGCAAGTTATTCATTCTGTTGTACATACTATGCAAATCCAATCTTGTTTTATAAACTGGCGTTTCGTGATATGTGATGCTTATTGAAGCTTTCCAGTCCATTGACCCAAGAATGCAAATCTCAGGATAATTATATTTTCTTTTCTTCCAATTTTAGGCAGATATAGGCTTATCAATGGGCATTCAAGGGACAGAAGTAGCTAAAGAGAGCTCAGACATCATTATACTCGATGACAATTTTGCTTCAGTTGTAAAGGTTAGTAGGAAATGCTTCCCACTTGTATTAAATAATGAAGCTGGATTTGGGTGACTGCCTGCATCCATTTGTTCCCTTGTTTGACATTCTATCTTCTTGTATTGTCTGGATATTATGTAGGTTGTACGCTGGGGCCGTTCTGTCTATGCTAATATCCAGAAGTTCATCCAATTCCAACTCACTGTTAATGTCGCTGCTTTAGTGATAAATGTTGTGGCTGCCATCTCTTCTGGTGATGTCCCCTTAAATGCAGTGCAGGTATCTCGTCCAGGCATCTCTATTCTATATAGTTGATATATTTCTGCAGCTAAATAGTACATGCTTGGGTATGGGATGGCTGCCAGTATTTATGAATTGGATATTTGACTCTTATTAATGAGCAGTTTCTAAATTCTTGGTTGGTTACGTGCTTCAGCTTTTATGGGTTAATCTTATAATGGATACACTTGGAGCACTTGCATTGGCAACCGAACCACCTACGGATCATCTTATGCATAGAACACCAGTTGGACGAAGGTTGGTATCTCCCTGTTCGAGATCCATCTTACTTATGTTTGCTTTGAACTTGTAAATTCTTAAAGCCATTTGAGTCAGTTAACAGGTTTCAGATCCTAGGCTATATTTGTTGATCAATTTTGTTATGAAGTCGACACTTGACGTAATGATATTTGGATTTCTAGGGAACCCCTGATTACAAACATCATGTGGAGGAACTTGCTGATACAGGTACTGAACAGAAAAATTGTGGTGGCTTGGTTGTTTGTTTTGTTGTGCTTGAGATTTCCAATGAAAATGAAATATCAGTGGATGGGCATTTAGCATCGGTGTTCCTACTGATTTTATTCATTCTTTTAGGCGTCATACCAAGTTGTGGTGCTTCTTGTGCTCAACTTCTCCGGGATCTCGATTCTGCGGCTGGAACATGATACCAAAGAGCATGCTACGGATGTAAAGAATACCATGATTTTCAATGCTTTCGTCCTGTGCCAGGTAAGTTAACTTGACAAATCAGAGCTGCAGCTATTAAGAAGCCTGATAACCTGACCATTTTGTGTGTTTTACTCGACAGATATTCAATGAATTCAACGCACGTAAACCAGATGAAATCAATGTCTTCGATGGGGTAACAAAGAACAACTTGTTTATGGGCATAGTTGGATTTACTTTCATCCTCCAGGTAATTATAGAGTTTCTTGTTCTGTACATTCCTGTTGGTAACTCTTCTTACCCTTGAGTATTGAATCGGCTTATATTGCTGTACAGATAATCCTGATCGAGTTCACTGGGAAGTTCACAAAGACAGTGAGGCTAAGTTGGAAGCTATGGCTTGTTTCACTGGCCATTGGTTTCGTCAGGTTAGTTTTTATCTGCATTAATCACTACAGGAACACAACGACGAATGCTCTTTGCCGTCTTCTATTTCTGACGCAACTAATCTGACTCATCTCTTTTTCATATTTGCTTCTGCAGCTGGCCTCTTGCCGCAGTTGGAAAGCTCATCCCTGTGCCTGAAACTCCAGCCTCTGAATACTTCATTAGGCCATTGAGGAAGTTGAGAAATCGCGGCCGCAGTAGCAGCAGTAGTCAGGACAATTAAACGAATCAGCCGTCTCGATCGAAATCCCCGTACCAATCAAATGCATTTCTGACGGGAGTAGCTTTTACTAGTGGAGAATCATAACAAAGAAGAGTAGATATCACACAGTAAATGTATATCCTCTAAATGTAAAGCTCTAATCATCAGCTCAAAGTGTAAAGGAATTTATCGTTTTTTCGAGCTCTGGATCTGCATTTGCTTCATTCAGGCTATCAGTAGTATTGTAGATTTTAGTAGAAACTTGAAATGGCAGTTTTAGTTGCCCATGATTATGTTTCGCCGGCAGGGTTTCCCTTCTTCCTTTCTTTGCTTGGAGTTGTGCCTCGCGTAGCAAATGATTTATTCCTGGCGAAGAAAATATGTGTAGAGAACTACTTCGCAACATTTGCTTGCGTCAAAAGAAACGACGAAGGTGAATTTACACACTGTTTCCTTCATCCAGGGTATAAGCAAATACAGATTCAGTTCTGATGATTCTGCTAATCCTAATCCTTCCTAGCATGTACCCGAAAAAGACACCGAAGAGAGGAACTAAACATAATATTCTAGTTACAGAGCCAAAGCAGCAAAAAAGGTTAGCCCTAGGTCCCTTAACAGCAACAGTAGATAATGTCACTACTGAACCACAAAATGCCCCCCTTAAAAAACGAGCAAACAAGTGGCTATTTGGTAAAAGAGTCTCTCTACAAAGCAGTCAAGAGTGTTCTTCAGCCACCAAAATAGTCGCGGCTACTAGTCGTCCTTTCCTAGATCAGGTTACTTCTTGTGGAGCAGGAGTGTGTTGCAGACAGACACTCTGAGCACAAGACCCTCCTTCTGAATCAGCTCAAAGCAACAGACTTCACCTTCCTGAAGAGAGTTGTCCCTTGCAAAGTCCAACCAGCCACCGCAGATCCTATACGAAGCACGATAACGTTTCATAGCCTTAACGCCCCACGATCTAGCTCCCACCTTTAGCTTCAGAAACACAGGATCCTTCTTGAAGTACAGTGCTGAAAAGCTCGATGGTATTGTCTGATCCATGTAATCAAAGGATCTCCGAAATCAGTTTCTGTTGATCAAGCACCAATGACACAGAAAACAAAAACAAAAATGGATTCTCTCTCGGCATTGTTGTTATATCATTAATGTTTGCTCGGCTTTGTAAACTTACGATATGGGAACCCACCGGCCGCTTTCCTAACTTCACTTGGAAACATGGTTTGCTGGAGGTGAATGCGACTGCCACTTCCTCTTCACCCAACTGCTCGACCTTACTGCCAACTGAGGAAAGAAAAGGTAAGGTGTAAAACAACGAATTCAGTGTTAAGTTTTCCCTTACTAGAAAGCACTGTTCTTCCACAAGAGTTTGCTTTGATGAGCAAACTCACTCTGCTTCAGTTACTAAAGAGGACACAAAATCTATCTCCTCTCCTCCCACCCAATTGACGCATACCTTCGTTCCTGGAACTATGAAGAACACTTCTCTCTGATTCTCGTCCTCTGCTAGCAGTCTCAGTCTGTCCACTTGGAGCCCTTTTACAAGTGGGCTTCTCCTCATCAGCCAATTCATCTCGGAAGAGCTGCTTGCCACAGCCAATACCTCCTGTTATGTTGATACAGAAGTTGACACTAATGAGCGTTTAGAAGCGAAAATTGGGTCAGCCCTTAAAACATCTTCACTGCAACTACAGGAGGCCCTTAACACAAGGAGAAACTTCCGAATACCATACCTGCGCTCCTGGAATTAGGAAGAACTCGTCTCTCAGATTCTGGCATTCTACCGATTGCACCATCATTCCTCGCTGAATCGCCTACCATCACCCTCTTTCGAGGTGGAGGAGAGCAACTGTTCACCTTCAATGGCGACCTGCTTCTTCTCCTCCTTTGGTTTGCAGGAGAACACCCATCTGAAAATCCTTCGGAATCCCTGCTGGGATTTGATAATTTCTTACCAACATCACCCCCACGAAGCTTCAGACGGTCGTCACCAACAGCAGCAGCAGTGGGTTGTATGATGACAGGGTACTGAATCTCGGATCCAGTGGGATCAAAGATGAGGACGGAGAAGAGAGAAGCATCTTCTCCTCCTCCTCCTCCTCCGTTGTATCGGAAAACCACAGTGTAGCCAGGCGTCAAGGAATAGAACTCCCGAAACCTTTTGAAACCGTCATTCTGGAACCAGAGCCTGCCTTCGTTGTCTGCCCTAGAAACCTCCACTTTCCAGGTCATCGGGCCCGGAACTTGGAGCGTCGCGCGGTCTGACAGCTCCCTGCCGTGCTTCCTTGCGAAACTTCTGGGAATCAACTGCCCAGACAAACACACAAAAATAAGGAAGACGAAGAAGAAGGAAGATGACATTAAAAAAAAAAAAAGCACAGGAAGAAGAAGAAGAAGTGGAACGGAGGAGAAAAATGTGGAAGCCGGAAGAGAGTACTGTACTGACAAGCCTGTTGGTATGGAGAGTTTGACGGAGAATCTGTTTCGAGAAATGAGGGGCGGAGGGCTCGAATAGCAAACAACCTTCCGGTCTCCGGCCGGCGACAGTTGCTGCCATTTCTCCGGCTAAGGAAAGGAAGCGAGAAATGCCCAACCCGCAACTGTGTTGTTCGCCAGGAAGTTTGTTCGAGGGGCGGGGCACGAATCCCCGTAACGGCGGACGAATGGGGAACTGACAGGTGGTTCTGTGGGAGTGGCCGAGTGGCCAGAGAGAGGGGGAGGGAGAGAGAGAGAGAGAGAGATCCTGCAGCAGAGGGCTGCAAATGAGTCAAGCCGCTCGCGAGCAACTCGGCGTTCGAATCGGAAAAAACTCGTTCGACACTCGACTCGTTATTTAACAAGCCGGCTCGCGAGCCAACTCGTTAGTTAACGAGCCAAGCCTGAGCTAGATCATGCTCAGCTTGATAAGCTCGCGAGCTAGCTTGATTCGGTGGCTTGTCGAGCTAAGCTCGCGAGCTGCCTTGTTTTGAGCTTGTGGAAGGATGAATTACTCTTTTAAACATGAACATTGTCTTATAATACAGATGTGTATGAAATTTAGATGTTATTTCTAGTTTCTAGTGTTCTTTCTATCATTTAAATTCTTATGTTTATACATTTTTCCAGCAAAAATGATTTTAAATCGAGCTCATCTTGAGCCGAGCTTGTACTCAGCTTAACAAGCTATGTTAATGAGCATTTATCGAGCTCTACCGAGTCGAGCTCGAGCTAGATTATTTTTATTCAAGCCGAGCTCGAGCTCGAGCTGGATTATCAAAATTCGAGTTCGAGCCGAGCTCGAGCTGAAAAATTAATAAACGAGCCGAGCTCAAGCTAAGCAAAAACTCGACTCGACTCGGCTCGTTTGCAGCCCTAAGCAGAGCACAGAGCCGTGTATTTGTTTTCTCCTTTCAGCCCTCAAACTATGGGGATTTTCTTACTGAAGTGCACGTATAACTTTTTTCTTACATATTCAATCCTTCAATGACAATAATTTTCTAAATTGACCCTTCCCGCCGCCCATTGACCGCTCGTCAACATGCTAAAGTATGTAGGAGAGAATATACACATCCACAAACCGACTCACCCGTCCAGTCCAATTCAATCCATCCTCCATATGTATCGTTGGGCGGTTGGCTTTTACTTAAAAATATCGCAACCCAACCCAACTCAATTAGAAATAAACCATAGTTTTTTTTTTAAATTTTAGATTTAATATTTCCCAAACCGTAGTACATAATTCAGATGATTAAAATGACTAACTACCCAATCCACGTACACCTCATAGAAGTATGTACACAGGCACCACATTTCTTCGAACCGCTCATGACCCGACAGTTGTGAGCACCATACTCGGGTTGGGTTAAAATGGACGTACATATTCATCAAAATGTTTTGACTTGTTTTTTTGTGGCCATCGCCAAAATACATTGCAAGGGAGCAAATATCCTCTGAAATATGCGGCTACACTGAAATGGATTCATAAATGGAGCCTGGATACAAATAGTAACTACTGAAGTTGGACAAAATTTGGTTGCAGCAACGAATCACAATGACGCTGCTTGCTGTTGGTGCAATCAGTCCCCGATGAACTTGCGCTTCTTTGTTGTGTTCATGTACGGTCGAATCACCCACTCCGTCTGTGCTTCGGTCTGCTCCATCGTCCCCAACTTTATCTGCAACCCCACCAGAGCGCCATATTAGAATGCAGTTATGGAGATACACGGAAAACTCCAACCAACATTCACTCCTAAAAGAGCTTCGAGCAGAAGTATGAATCTCCAGCCAAACATGGAGGGAGGGGGGGATGAGGTCAAAATCGTCTAAAGGACATACAACTTCTGTGAGCGGGATAGGTTATTCATCATTATGTACTCCGGAGTTTCTAATGATTGAACTAATGATGATAAGTAAGCACCCAATTTGTTAGTGTTGATTACACTGACTGACGCTTTGGTCCTTTCCAACTAATCAGAGACAGGAACTGCAAGACCCAAGTTGATTTCGGTAGCCAAGAGTTACCTGATAGAGTCGCATTTCAAAACGAGGACCAATCTCCCGAAGCTCGACAGACTTGGGGCCACCACGCTTTTCATAAACATGATGCCTGCACATATCAATTATCAGGAGCAAATGTCAGGAGAAAATGGAAAATTCATGTGATGCATGAATTCGCAGACTCGGTAGTGATAAGTGATAACAAAAGCACAAATATGAGTGTTCGCATTATCCCTTTTACTGGAATCAACAATCACAACAGAAATGATGACATACACTCGACTCAAGTGAAGAGCAAATCATTGTTAAGGGAACGCAATGAAAAAATAAGGAGCAGTAAGGATGATATTATAAACATCTTTTTATTATGTGATATGATAACTTACAAGTATTTTTAGGAGTAAAAAGAACCAAGTAATTTTGACAGTTAAACTCACCTGAACGAGATATAGTCTGATTGATTTGCAAAAGTGAGTATACGCTTTGTATCTGGCTTTGGCACTGGGAAGAGATGCTTCAATATGTTTGCTGTCCTTTCACCAAGCTGTCAATGACAGCAAAATGGAATGCATCAATACATTGACCACCAGTTGGTAATTGAATGAACATAGGGCGGGTGAAACATATAGCATAAGAAACTTCACCTATTGTGATGCTCTAATCATATATCAACAAGATGATGCAGTAAGCATAAACAAACTCATGAAACCCTCTGTTCCAAGAACAAGGGGGATCTTGACATCTCACTTCCCTCCCCCATTATCTTCTTATTCCTTGATACTTTACAACCATATGAGATTCCATTTAGGCGATGCTAAGGTCATCTTCGGTAAATAAGACTGATAGAAATAATCAGGATACAATCAAGCTTTCAATCAGAAGAAAGCACAACAATACATGGGCTTCGGCACACCAAACTGTCCCTCATTGCCTTTCCGTGAAAAAATATCGCCACACTAGCTACTGAAGTTAAATGAATAATCCATGCATAAATAAATACTGGAAACAGAAACAATCACCCCAACCTGATAAGTAAATGAGTTGGAATATGCAGGAATACCTTCGTATTGAAATTGTCAAGAATTAGGTGTGGATAAGCTTCCGACATCGTTCCAATTGCTTTCTTATCCTTGATATCATGTCTAGTAACCTGTGTTTGGATTCTTAACGAGTATTAGAAGTACCCAATAAACCACAAGACAAGGTACAATCATCAGGTCATCGGGCAAAACACTTACCACATTGAGCAAACCAAAATAAGCAGTTGGACCAAAAGGTAGATGGCTTATTATCATGCCATCGGGCACACCACGATGCTCATGAACTAAAATGACATCTGTAAAATCATGAGAACGACAGCTCTCAATAATTTCAGAAATAACCTGCACAAAGTAAAAGTGATCACTTACATACGATAAATGATTAGGCAAAAATGAGAAACAAATAGAGGAAATTTATTCCCTGCAAGAGTTGCTTGTCCTGCACTGATTCCTAAGGATTTTAGATATGATGCAGGCTCCAAATTGAGGTTAGACCACTATATTAGGACTACACTCTAGGTTAGGACAAATTTCTTATTCATATAAATAGCTTAATCCTATTTTCCTACACCTTCTAACCGGCAAAGGAATTCATAGACAACAGCAGAATAGTTACAACAAACCTGGCCACCACGATTTATCCGCTCAGCATTTGGGAAAACAATCTTCAATTCCTACAGAAAAAAGAACCATTTCCAGAAATGAGAAACGTGGGACACAAGGAGGGAAAGAGTAGGACGAGTCACTGAGTCGCACCAACCAACCTTTACAAACTGTACAAGAGGCGCGCTTGGATCACGGGATGTAGTCAGCAGAATTTTAGGATCTTTCTCGGTTGCAGTCGCGTACTCATCATCAATATAACTCCTTGGGACTGAATTTCAGGAAAGATGCATCAGACAATGAAATAAAAATCACCAATATCATCAAACAATGCAACACATCACAGCCTCCCCTGAAGTCTATGACAGTACTAATGACCTACAACACGACATTCGATGACTCGACTCGACTTTCACACACAGCATCATTCAAGTAAATCGAACATAGCAATGAACAATGATGCTTCGAAGAAGGCCCATTGGCCATGATACTATCATGAATCATAACCAGCCCGTCTCTTTAAGTTCAAACTAATCAAACTCTAATCAGGTTTCAGGAAGAACACAATCATTTCTAAGCATTACCATCGCGAACACCAGCCGAAAACCATATAGCTACTAGCCAAGTTATTCTCATCCCCCTATATCTTCAACTAACTTCAACCCAGCAAAAAAGACCGGGACTGTAAAATAGAAAGCTCACCGGAGGTCTTATCGTCTTCGAGATCAATTTCAGCCCGGAGCTCCGCCTCCACATTTCGGAGCTCGGTAGGAATCGGTTTCCCCTCTACAGAACAGGAAAGAACACACAGATTAGAAACAGCTCAAGCCAAAGAACACCGAAAATCGACAGAGAGGAAGGAACGAAGGAAGGAAAGTGGTAGTTACCTTGAAGAGCTTCTGCAATCTTGCGCTTGTTCTCATAACGGATCCGCTCTTTGCCCTCTAAGCTCTTCCGGTACAGATACTCCCTCCTCAATCGAACGTTCCGACGCAGCATTGCTTCTAGCCTTCTACACTCAACAGTCAACAACAAGAAACGCTTCTCTAGTCTCTCTCTCTCTCTGGTTTAGGGTTTAGGGGTTTTCTGTCTGGGAAGAACGTCAGCGGAAGAAGCGAGTTTTCGTGACTCCGCAGACCTGCTACTGTCATTGACGCATTCGAGCTTTTTCCTTGTTTTCTTTTCTTAAATGGGCTCATGAAAAGAAAAAAAAAAGCAAGACGGAGAAGGCCCAATTAATTTGGGCCGTTGCCCTTGCTGACTTGATCCATCGGGAAGAGAAATCCAAAACCGCTACTATTTGATCGAAAGAAGTCAGAAACCCTTTATTTGAAGCTTCTTGCGTCGTTCGCCATTGACTCTTCTTCCTCCTCCGCCATATTCAAGCATAATAAAACTAAAGGGAAATGTCAAAGAATCCAGACTAGACTCTGAAACCCCTCCCCACAAAATTTATAATTGTTGAAAAGTGGCTACGTGGAAGACCCCAGAAATCGCCAACGAAGCTTGGCAGGAACCCAATTTGCATCATCCTTCCTTCCATTCTGCAGCCATTGTTATCGTCTGGGTCAGCAGTAGCCGTAGCTCCCAAGAAAGTTTTCTATCAGTCAAAGACAGAATAATCCTCAGTTCTGGATTGATTGGATACAATTCAATTACCCACGTGAATCCCCTCCTTCTCGTCGGCTTCTATATATACCCATACCATGAATCATCCAAGACCACAAAGAAAAAGTTGATCGACAGTCAAACAGAGAGAAACAGAGAGACAGATAGATGGAAACTATAATGGAAGAAGTGGTGATTGTGGGCGCCGGAATAGCAGGCCTGGCGACGGCTCTGGCGCTGAAGCGAGTCGGGATTCGAGCTCTGGTTTTGGAAAAGGCAGAGTGTCTCAGAACCACCGGAGCTGCACTGAATCTCTTCCCCAACGCCTGGATTGCACTCGACGCTTTGGGGGTTTCTCACAAGCTCACTCCCCTTTACGCTCCCCTGACCACCGGATCCATTACCAATGTCGCCACCGGCGGCGTTCAGCAAATCTCCTTCACCGGAGTTTTCTCGTAAGAGACATTCTCCGCCCCCAAATTGACTAACCATTCATTCTATTTGGCCTGCTGTTTTTGTCAGTTGAAGTTGAATTCTGATGCTGATGAGTTAAATTTCGAATGGACAGGGGAAATGGGGAAGGACCCAGACCCGTTCACCGGAAAAAGCTGCTGGAGGTTCTGGCGGAGGAGCTCCCGCCGGACACGATTCGATTCTCGTCCCAACTCGCTTCCATCGAAACCCAACAATTTCCCTCTAAATCCGGCGCCTCCGCTGCTTCTCTGGCAGTTGTGCATTTGAAAGACGGAACCACCATCAAGTCTAAGGTTCAATTTCCATTTCCCTCTGTTCTTTTCTTCTTCTTAGCTGGCCTTCCTCTGTTTTCAATGTCCTCTGTTTTTCTCCAAATCCTCACCCAGCTAACTAACAAACCTAATTGCAGGTTCTAATCGGGTGCGACGGATTGCACTCCATGGTTGCACAATGGCTAGGACTCTCAGCTCCAATCCACTCAGGCCGATCCGCGGCTCGTGGGCTAGCGGTTTACCCACAAGGCCATGAACTCGGAAGCAATGTCCAGCAGTTCGTCGATATCGGCAAAAGGGCCGGCGTCGTTCGCCTGAACGATACCGAGGTGTTCTGGTTCATCACTTGCGAAGGTACAAAAACCTCCTTACCACATCAAATCCGTAGTAAAGCATCCATTTTTACACTCTAAAAAAACTTTCTCTGTTTCCCCCAATTTCAATTACACTCTCAAAAATTCCCCAATTTCAACCCAATTACACTCTCAAGAACTTACTCTGTTTCCCCAATTTCAACCCAATTACACTCTCACATACTTACTCTGTTCCCCCAATTTCAAATACACACTCAAAATCCCCCCAATTTCAACCCAATTACACTCTCAAAAACTTACTATGTTTCCCCAATTTCAATTACACTCTCAACAACTCACTCTGTTTCCCCAATCTCCACCAGGAGACTACAGAACATACGACCCAAACACAATCCAAGATGAGGTGCTCAACCACCACGCATCGAACTTCCCCTCGGCCTTCCTCGACGTGGTCCGCCACTCGGACCTCTCTTCCCTGTCGTGGGCGCCGCTGATGATGAGGAACCCATGGAACATCATCGTCGGGAACGTGAGCAGAGGGAACGTGACGGTGGTGGGGGATGCTTTTCACCCAATGACGCCCGATCTCGGGCAGGGCGGGTGCTGCGCTCTCGAAGACGCCGTGGTTCTCGGGAGGCACATCGGGAACTCGTTGATCGCGAACGGCGGCGGGAAGAAGTCGCTGGTGCCGGAGGAGGTGGCGGCGGTGTTGGAGGGGTACGCGAAGGAGCGGCGGTGGCGGGCGGCGGGGCTGGTGACGGGTTCGTATGTGTCCGGTTGGGTGCAGCAGAGCGGGAAGAATTGGTGGAGGAAGATGCTGAGGGTTGTGTTCTATAGCTACTTGTTTGTGATGCTGGCTAGGTATGTCAAGTTTGATTGCGGGAAGCTGCCTGGTGGTGGTGATGATGATCGGGTTGGTGATGACCGGAAACCGGATGGGTCGAGTAAGTTGGATTAGGGTTTGGGTAATTGGGTTGGGTGGTTTGGGTAGTGGTGAAGATTTGTGGATATGTGAAATGTTGTGCTTGTAATGTTTTAAGTTTTTTTATTGGTTTTTGGGTAGGTATGGTTTGGTTCGGTTAAGCTATATGGTTTGTATTTCATTGATTCATTAATGGCAAATAAAGGATGTTTACAAAGAGGTTTAGATGTAATTTGAGAGTGTACTCTAAAGGTGTTAATATATGTAAGCATTATCATTAGTTACCTAAGATTTGTATTCTTAATGATATTTTACAACTACAATTAATGTTATTTTATAGGTCGGAATATGGTTATTTTCGTAATCATAAACGTCTTTGGTCCACGTTGAGTTCTTGTCTCGATTCACAGATTGATGCAGGTCGACACATACGAGTAAAGAGTAACACTTTAGGTTCTCATCTAATTATAATTTGATTAGAGCTAAAAAAAAGCTTTCAATAATTTAAACAAAATTCCGCATAATGTAGAGAAAACGAATCGAGAATAGAATGCGTTAGGTTACGTACTTATGCATAATCAGATCTAACATATTGATTTTGAGCGGTGTTAGATCTAAGAGGTGAGATTAAAAAAAATATATGTTTTAATCCTTTGTATCTTCTTTATTTAAGTTAGAGTTTTTTTTTTCATAGATGGTACGGGTTTGTTATCTACAAAATGATATTCATTTATAATATATTTTGAGTAAGAAACGGTGTACCATAGTGACACCACTCGTATTACCGTTATTTTTAACTCAATTTTTGAGAAACATTTGATGGTCAGATCAAAACCAAACTGAACACAATGATTGTTCAGTCTTGGCCCTAACATGTCTTTCACTATTGGAGTGCGGTTCTCATGAGTTTGGTCTGGTTGGCACCTGAACATTGCGCACCCTTAACGATCGGTATATTTCTAATATAATGTACAACAACCATTCTACTACATACATACCACCATAGTACACTTTCTTACCAACATGATATATTCTTATGTACTTCTAAGGATTAGAGACATGGTATGGACTATAGAGAAATTTCACAATACTATATAGTATTGGTTAGGGGTGGGCATTCGGTCGGTTCGGTTTCCACCGAGCCAAAATTATGAATACCGGGTCCCCGAATTCTCCCAAACCACAAACCGAATTATAATTCGGTTCGGTCGATTTAAACCGAACTATAATTCGGTTCGGTCGATTTAAACCGAACTATAATTCGGTTCGATTCGGTTTTTCACACAAAACCGAATTTGTGAAACTACTTGTATTTTCTCACTTTTAAATTATTTTTCACCTCTAATATAAACAATAAATATCAATTATATGCATCATCAATGATAAAACCAAACTTTTCAACACATAAGTCATAAAACATTTCAAATATTTAAGTCTAAAAACAACTACAAACATAAAAATCCACCATTTGGAGCTTGTAATTATAGTATTTCGGTTTTTCGGTCGGAAATTCGGTTCGGTTGAAAGAACCTTGATTTCCGAACTATCCATATTTTCCTTCCGAATTCCGAACCGAATAGCATTAATTCGGTTTCGGTTCGATTTAATTCGATTTCGGTTCGGTTCGGGTTTACCGAACCGTTTGCCCACCCCTAGTATTGGTCCTATAGGTTTTTGCCTTTATGGTACAACTTAAAATTGTACATTTACGTTATGTTACAACTTCAGATCGTACCTATACTTTTTGTACAAATTCTTTTATGGTACAACTTGAACTTGTACCTTTATGTGATGATACAACTTCAAGTTGTAAAGTTGTACCATAACATAATGGTACAAATTGCTTTATGGTACAACCTAAACTTATACATTTAATGTTTTGGTACAACTTTGAGTTGTACATTATAGCACCAATGCTATATAGCATAGTAGAAGTGCTCCTATACTATATATTAGATATCATTTAGAAAAATACAATTAATCTAATGCAAAATAAATTACATTACAACTTAAAACGAAAGAGACATAACTCTTTATATTAATTATGAGAAAATTATATCTCATAAAGACTACAAATAAAATTATTGATAATTATACCAATTGAATTAACCGACCAAATTTGCTACTGATTAAATAAGTCGGATCAAGTCGAAATCATCATCCTCGTACGTCTCCCTCAAAGAGAAACCATGTGACTAAAATTTCAATCAATGACCTAATTCCGGTCATTGCATTCCACGCATAATGTCAAAGCTCAAGACTTTTAAGTAATCCGGACCAATACACAATCGCCATGATCAATGCATCAACATCAAATTTCTTGGCAACTTTGACTTCTGCTAGGACATAACATAATCATGATTGATCCACGCTTTAAGCATCGCAATATATAATATGGCAAGGAAAGCAGCTCTGATCTCTGCAACATCTGAGACATTGTGCAGTTTCACAAACAAACTCCCATGGCGACTCCAATCAGCCTTGTATTGATCAAGTTCATCTTGATCCTCACACTCAACTTGCTCTTCACAAGCCAACCCCACGAGGTTTCCTGCAACAACGACACCGATCGAATCGCGTTGCTGCAAATCAAGAACTGCACAACCAACGACCCAGATGGATTTTTCAGCTCCTGGAACGACTCCCTCCATTTCTGCAGCTGGCCTGGCGTCCAATGCAGCCGCCATGGAAGCGACGAGAGGGTCACATCCCTCGACCTGTCGGAGCTCGATCTGGTCAGTACTCTGCCTCCACAGGTCGGCAACCTCAGCTTCCTCAGGTTCATCAACATCGAGAACAACACCTTCCATGGCCGAATCCCACCACAGCTAGGCAACCTGGTTCTGCTCCAGCACTTCAACGCCACGGGTAACTCGTTCACTGGTCCGATTCCAGCCAACTTAAGCCGATGCTCGAAGCTCCGGATCCTGATGCTCTCCTCCAACAAACTACAGGGCAAGATCCCGGTACAACTTGGCTCGCTATCGAAGCTCGAGATCCTCAGGATCGGGCAGAACAATCTGACGGGACCTCTCCCAGCTTCCCTGGGAAATCTGTCCCAGCTTGTCAACTTCGGTGCTGCGTACAACAACCTGATCGGACGAATTCCTGAGAGCTTCGGTCGACTCTCGAAGCTGAACATAATTGCAGCTGGCATTAACCAACTCACTGGTGAAATTCCACCGTCTCTGTACAATCTCTCGACAATCCACATCATGACATTTACTTTCAACAACCTGGAAGGCAGGTTGCCTGAGAACATAGGCTTCACCTTGAGAAACATGGGCTACTTTGCGGTTTCGGAGAACGATCTGGTCGGGTCGATCCCCGAGTCGTTATGCAATGCCTCTCGCCTGGTGGACATCAACATGAACATGAACCGTTTCGCGGGCAGGATTCCGAACTGCCTTGGGAGTTCCGGAGGCCTTCTGGCGCTAGAGATCGGTGGTAACAATCTCGGTTACAATTCGACGGGCGATTTCGATTTCCTGACTTCGTTGTCGAACTGCAGCCAGCTTGACAGCATAGGGGTTTCCATGAACAACCTCGGGGGCGAAATTCCGAAATCTGTTGGAAACCTCTCATCGACTTGGCTCACTCGGTTGAGCTTCGCGCTCAACCGAATCAGCGGTGTTTTACCTGAAGGGTTGCAGAACCTAGTCGGACTAACCGATCTGGAGCTGCAGTCGAACATTCTCCAAGGCCAACTCCCTTCTTCATTTTTCAGCAAGCTGCAGAATTTGCAGCTTCTGAGCTTACAAGGGAACGAGTTCTCGGGCCGAATTCCTGACTCGATAGGGAGTCTTAAACGACTGTTCGACCTCGACCTGTCGCAGAACAAACTCGAAGGACCCATTCCAGCAAGCCTTGGGAACTGCCTGAGTCTAACTTCCATCGACATTTCACACAACAAACTCAGTGGAGAGATACCTGCGGAGGTAATGAACATATCTTCCTCATTAGCCAAATTGCTGAACTTGTCCCACAACTCGCTGAGTGGGAAGCTACCTAGTGAAACAGGGAAGCTGGCTCATTTGAACACAATGGACATCTCTCACAACAACCTTTCCGGCGAAATTCCCAGCGCGATCGAGAACTGCGAGAGCATGGAGCGTCTGTTCGTGCAACGGAACTCATTCCGAGGCAGCATTCCTTCATCGTTGGCTTCCATAAAAGGTCTCAGGGAACTGGATCTTTCCTGCAACAGTTTGACAGGAGAAATCCCACAACAGCTGCAGGATGTAAAGGGTTTCCAGTACCTGAACCTCTCGTACAATAATCTCCGCGGCGAGGTTCCAAGTGGAGGGATATTTCGAAATGCCACCGCCGTTTCCTTCATTGGAAATCCTCTGCTTTGCGCAACTATGGACCTTCATCTTCCAAAATGCGCGACGACGAGGCCAGCTTCTTCTAGCCATCATTCGGTCACTCGCAGGGTTAGGCTGGCGATCATAGCGGCTTCTGCATCTCTATCCCTTCTTCTCCTCCTGTTGTCGTCGGCCTCTCTTTCGCTTTACATGAACAACAACAGAAACAAGAAGCAGCAATCACTCGTCGAGGATCCAGCAATAGACCGATTTGCGAGGGTTTCTTACTACGACCTGCACAAAGCAACCAACGGGTTCTCTCCCGACAATGTACTAGGCTCTGGCGGGTTCGGTACAGTCTACAGAGGGAAGCTCGATCGGATCGAAGCGCCTGTAGCGGTTAAGGTACTCAACCTGCTACGACACGACGACGATCGAGCTCACAAGAGCCTAGCCGCGGAATGCAACGCATTGAGGAACATTCGTCACCGAAACCTCGTAAAGGTCGTGTCTTTCTGCTCCAGCGTGGACCGCCGTGGCAACGATTTCAAAGCTCTGGTGTTTGAGTACATGGAGAATGGCAGCCTGGAGGACTGGCTGCACCACCACGAGACCAGGAGACTGACTCTGGCTCAAAGGCTAGACATTGCAGTAGATGTGGGATCGGCACTGCACTACCTCCACGACCACTGCGAGACCCCGATCGTCCACTGCGATTTGAAGCCGAGCAACGTCCTGCTCGATGGTGACATGGTCGGACGCGTGAGCGATTTCGGCCAGGCGAGGCTCGTTTCGAGCGGCGACGACCCATTTTCTCCAAGCAGCGCGAAGGGGACCATTGGCTACGCCGCCCCAGGTTAGTTCATTCCTTTTGATTTTCATTGTTAGTGGCAGTCTGAAGAAAATGTCTGTGACAGCGATCGTCTGTAACGCAACCTGTACTTGTTGTTGTTGGGTAACTAAAAAAAGTGCAGAGTACGGGATGGGTTCCCCGGCGTCGAAGCGAGGCGATGTGTACAGTTTCGGGATCCTTGTACTGGAGATGTTCACGGGGAAGAGGCCGACAGATGAAATGTTTGGAGATGGTGTGAATCTGCGTGATTATGTTAAGGCTGGCAGGGATGGCGAGATTGGTTTGGTGGGTGATCCGGCTCTTTTCCGCGCCATGGATGGGGAGGAAGAAGGGAGGAGAAGGGAGAGGAAGGGAAGGGTTTATGGCAAGTTGAGGATGGAGAAGATGCAGAGCTGTCTAGTGTCTGTACTTGAAGTTGGGATGGCCTGCTCAGCTGAAACTCCAGGTGAACGGATGAACATGGTGGATGCGACTAGAAGATTGAAATCCGTTAGGGATTTATGGTTGTAAGCGGGATGAACATTGGAGGTGAAATCAGGTGTGTGTGGCCTTTTTTGTTGTTGTTGTTGTTTGATTTTCTGCAGCTGCAAATCATCGCGGTTATTTGGCGAGAGGATTGTAAAATCGAACTGGAAGTTGTGTAAGTTAAGTTTGTGATACAATGAATTTACTTATCAATTTTGATTTCAGTTCTGAATAGATATTTTTTGTTTTTGTTTTTGGTGGACCGTCAATGCGATCTAAGTTTTCGGCATGTTAAGATGAGATAATTTTACGGTATGTTATGTTCCGGTGAGTTGATCGAACCAAACTCGGTAATTCGTATCTCTGTTTTCGAAAGCATGGTTGTTACGCGACGGCGTGCAGAGCATTGTTGAACCTGGTATAATTGGTGTCGGTCATGAAGTCGATTGGAATATCATTGATGTGACCGACAATGATCTATGTGCGGCCTCTAAACAAAATGACGTTTTTTAGGAATTTAATCAACAAATAAGATTAATATGTGATTTATTTCATGAATTTTAAAGTTAAAGGTTGATGTTAGTTTTTGGACTCAAGTATATAGAGTAATATTAACAAATAAAATTAATATGTGATTTATTTCATGAATTTTAAAGTTAAAGGTTGATGTTATTTGTTTGGTATATAGAGTAATATTCTTGATACTTTCCACTGCTAATCTATTTTAATTAACCAAAAAATTTCAATATAAGATTATGTCATGAATGATTCGCAAAGTTAACCAAATTTATTTTATCATGTGTAGATTTCTTCTAAGTGGACCCACCTCAGATGAAATCTAGGTTACGCCACTATTTGTACCTCTGTCTCGAAAGCATAGTTGTTATGCGATGGAATGTAACTCAACTGGTTTGAACCTGATATAATTGGTGTCAGTCATGAAATTTATCGGAGAATATTATTGATATAGTAATCGACACGATCTATGTCCGATCTCTAAACAAAATGACGTCATTTAGGAATTTAATTAACAAATGAAATTAATATGTGATTTATTTCATGAATTTGAAAGTTGAATGTTGATGTTATCTATTGGATTCAAGTATAAATGTCAATGTTTTGATGTTAATATTAAATGTTGTATTTAAATATAAGTATTTGTTATTTTGTTTTGAAATGTTGTAAGAACTTCGGCCTTAAAACAAAAAAAATTATTAAGAAAGGAGATTCCGGCCTTCGGAGGACGAAGGAGGACGACACAGTCACCTCTGTCACATCCTGCAATTAGCAGCAGAAGAAGCGCCTTCGATTTTCATGCAAGTGTTAGCTAATCAAGAATCGTGTTGCTGAATCACAGGTACGCCGAACGTCACCGTCAGAGCACGATCGCGTAGTATGAATCTTTGTACCGTTTTCGGTTCCAGTTCCGCTGCTCGAATTGATTGCGCTCCGTGTACAATTTTGGAGCATAGTTTCTTTCTGCCAATTGTTGCTAACCATAGAAGAAATCATCTGGCCATTTAGTAGGATTCTTCTGCATTTTTGTAGTTCCCTCTGTCTGATACTCCGTTGTAGATTCTGTTCGCCTTTAGGGTTTCAACATTAGAATTTGGGGGGAGTTTGTAGCTGCGGCGTGTTTCTAATTTATTCTAGTTTATGCGAGTGCGGGGACGACGAGATCTCCTTGTAACATCCTAATTCATTGCTGAACATATTGCTCATGGAAAACTCAGTCTGGGTTCATGCTGGTGTGGCAAATCATGGCTGAATCAGTTGTTAGATGTCGAGATTAGGCTTTTTTGATGTTGGCTTGAATATTTCCATTATATGACTTGTGGTGTCGATGTTGAAGATGTCGGCTTTCGAGAATGTGGTTGGTGGGAAGCTGAAGCTGAAGGGTAAAGCTTTGGATGTAAAGGCTGGTGGAACTAAGAAGAAGAAGAAGCATAAGAAAGTGCGGGATGAGGTTTCTCAAGTCATTGAGAGCGAGCTCACTACAGGTTAGAAATATATCTACTTGTTAATCCGAGCATGGATTTCTTTTCCCGACTCTCTTTCTTCAGTGTGATTTACGATTTTGCTCCAGGAATTCCCTATAGCGGTTGTATTGATCAGGGAATCGAGTGATGGATGTATAGCCCTGTAAATGGCGACTATGCAGTTCCCAAGTGATCTCTTAAAATTTTTACTATTTAGTGCATGGGTTTTTTTTTATGTAGAAGAAACAATAGATCTATTATGCTGCTGGAGGAACTTTGATTTGAATGCTAAAGCGATTAGGCCAAATTGGTAGGCATCAATACATTGTTGGGCTGCTGATAACGCCTCATGTTTTACTGCTCTTGTCCTGATGAGTAGATTTACTTTCTTCCTTTCTCATTTATCTACTTGATAAACTGTTATTGAATGTGGCTCTGGGAACTTTGGCAGAACTGTATGTTGCAGTATCTTTGTTACAGTCTTTCGTACATTCAGAACACGCTTCCCATGTCTTCAAAATGCTTAATTCAACTTCACTGTCACTGAACGTGGGTCCAAACCAAGTTTTGGGGTTTTACAGTTTCGTTTCAGCAATTGAATTCTTGATGCTAAACATTTTGAGATCACTTGATAGGTAAAGTTGTTGAAGAATCTAGCGACGTCAATGAAGAAGTCGCAGAAGATGCCAGCAAATTGAACAACGAAGACAAGTCAGAGTCTTACAAGGACCACCTAACTGCTGCTGAGAAACGATATATAGAGCAGAGGGAGAGGCTCGACAGGCACAAGATGGCGAAAGAAGCCAACAAATCGCATAGAGACAGGATCCAAGGTTTCAACCAGTATTTGGCTAATATGAGCGAGCACTACGACATTCCTAAAGTAGGGCCTGGTTGAAAGGAACCGTACTTGTTCTGCATCGATCAATGTCCACCGGTTTTTCGGGGCCAATCTCCTGGTGCCGATGTAATCTGGTGGTTGTATTCAACAACTGGTGTTCTGTTTCTTATACTCTTCAGTTGCTGTAGAAATGTATCTTTACTGTGATTTCTTTCGGCTAAACGGAAGGATTCATCATACTGGCACACTCTTTCATCTTCGAACCCACTTATCTGGAAATTAGTCGTGTCCTTTCTCCTAATCAGTTGTCTTGTCCAGATGCCTAATGCCCAGCTTGACCATAATCAATCTCTCGAGCAGAAGGAAAGACGGAACTAGGAGGATTAGTCTGACTGGTAAATTGACTGATTATCGTTTTGAGTTCTACGAATGCTCGTAGTGGATGTCACAGATTTTGAATATGTTCACATCTAAGCGTGAATAACTTGTCCTGAATCCGAGTATCCGTTATGTCATTATGTTCCACTTGATTGCTAGAGAATGACAGGGATGGGCACAAGCTAGAGCAATAGAGCAGAAAGGCTGCTGCTTCCAGTTCCAATACCAACATAAGGTTCGAGCAACCGGAAATCAAAGTCGACTAAAAAGATAAGGGCACGGCAGCCTACTACAACCACCAAGGATGATCGATTTTAGCTTTTAATACGTAAAACAACGAATCCAATACAAACTAGGCACCAAAAATACAGAGGCCCTTATTGCGATAAATACACGAAAGTTGGCGGAGCAGTGGCACTTCTCTGGTCTTTTTGTTGCTGCTCAAAATGAACTCTCAAAAAATCAACCTTACTAACAATACAGAACACTAGGCTACCACACCACATCTTTCCCGTCGCAACTATAAATGTCAAAAGGCACAGCAAAATAATCCATCCCCCTGGCCCTCTCCCAAAGTGCTGCGGGATCAAGCTATAGGGCCCTGACCGCTTCTCTAGAGACGCTGAAATAAATAGATACCAAGTGTGCCGTATAGCGCTACCACTTGGAGGCACGAGGCAGATAAGAGGCCGAAAACCTCCCAGAGATTGACAGAATCACCGGGTCTCATCCTCCAGAGCACGGAAACCAGCTGTGAGATCATCGTGCAACTTATTGAATTTGGCCACCAATGCAGGTTCTCCCTCAGCCGGATCCTCAAACTTCTGAGACCTGCATATTACATTGAGCATATAACATATTAGAACACCAACTGGTGCAACACTAAACAGCACTGCAGACTCTTTTTCATTGTTTCAGTCCCGGAGGATTTCAGCAACGGCATTAAAAGATACTTACACTAAGCGGTAGAATAGATCTCCCAATCGATGCTTGATAAGGGTGTATGAAATCTTCTGACCATCCATACCAGCTCCTTTCTCCACAGCCTGCAGACAGAAATTCCCCACAGGAAGAAGATTAATTTGGGGAACACAAACAGTTTTACATTCACAAGCCCACTGGCATTACAGGGAAGAAACGAATAAAGAAAATAATTTTCATATTACTGAGAGACGGAAGACCGATGGAATAGTTTACCTGATTAGCCAAGTTGTAGAAGTGAATGATGTTGCGCATCATCCAAACAGATTTGTAGAAGGGACAGAATTTGTCATACCTAGCACACGCACAAAGAAAACGCCAAATTATGAGGAGGAAATGAGACAAGGATCATATAAGTGATGCCCAGACTGGTGACCTTAAGGGTTGTACAAGCGAACTTACGGAGTAAACGCATTCTGAGCAAGATAATCTTCCCTCAAAAGTTTAGCAGTCTCCAAAGTAATCTTATCTCCTTCAGCCAAAGCATCCTTTCCAACAAGCTGCACAATTTCATTCAAGTCATCTTCTCTTTGCAGCACTTCTCTGGCCTTGGTTCTGATGTTGATGAAGTCGGAATCAAATTGCTCGTAGAAAGGTTCCAGCGCCTAAACAATGAAGAAAATTTGAATAAATATGCATACAGACTGTAGAGTACAGAATGTGTGTACCATAAATTAAGCACCGATTCATACAGAGTAACATCCAGAAGATAAAACATACCGTAGAGTACTTTGAATAGGAAATCAGCCAGTTTACAGAAGGGAAATGTTTCCTCTGGGCAAGTTTCTTGTCCAGACCCCAGAAAACCTGCAAGTAACATTTATTAGATCTTCACTAGGTGTCAAGAGCAAGAAAAGTAGAAAATGGGAGAGGAGGGCATTAACCAACAAGCAGGATAGGAGAGCTCATTGCTCATTTTCACTGGCTTACATCGTAAAACAAAGTAGGACCCGCACTAAGTTTCTTGTTAGCCATCCATCCCTTGAGGTTTATGTTTGGATATAGACTTTTGGGTAAAAAAATCAATTGATCCAATGATTGCCAAGGAATTTCCCTCCAAACCATCCGATTCAACTGACAGCTACGTAGGATTTTATTTCATTGGATAGAACATAAGTTTTGTCAAACAAGAAAGAACTGATCTATCATCCTTTTCAAAAGTTCGTTCATGTAGTGCAAGAAGATCCTCAGCAGGAACCGCGAAAGCCAACAATATTGATACAAATAGTGGTATGCAATATTTTTCACCGCATACTACAGATTGTAATTGTTAAGGTTGAAACTAAATTTCAACTGACCACCTACACTGAAGTTATGAAGAAATTTCTAATCTAAGTCGTAAATGAGCTTGAAACCAAGCATTGATGGCACCCATTCTCAACCAATTAAATGGCCAACGCCCAACAGTGTCATAACCTTTCATTTTGAAAAAGTAATCCTGTCATTTCAATTCAATGAGAAACATATAAGTGTGGATATTCACCTGGACGATGCTGAGCGTAGCAGATGTGACAGGATCAGAAAAATCTCCACCAGGAGGAGAAACAGCACCAACAATTGTAACACTGCCAGTACGCTCTGGCCCACCAAGGCATTTTACCTTACCAGCACGTTCATAAAATGAAGCAAGACGTGCTGCTAAATAAGCAGGATATCCACTATCTGCAGGCATTTCAGCCTAGAAAAGAAACAAAGAATAAGAGATTTAGTATAAGGCAAACAACAAGATCAATATGAAGGAGGCATCACTCGCTCGGAAACAGCAAATAGGAATGGAACAAAAGTTTGGTGCCCACACAGGACAAGTATAATGATCATCTGAATCTAATTGATGGGAAGTAACTTGGTGCAAAATAATAAGTCTATTACCCTAAAGACATATAGAAACAACTAGAAAATATTAAACTGAGCTTTATAAAGTAAGTACAACTCAGTCTAATGAACTAAGAGCAGCTAAAGAGGGACTAACCAATCTTCCAGAAATTTCACGCAGTGCTTCTGCCCATCGTGAAGTTGAATCTGCCATCATACTCACATTGTAGCCCATATCTCTGAAGTATTCAGCAATAGTAATTCCTGTCCAAATAAAATAGTGATCATTTCGTTAAAGTTATTGATGTTACTTTTTTGCCACAAGTAACACAAGAGACCGATGAGAATGTTCTGGCATGTAACTAACTTGGTATGAAGCAACCAATGATGCACATTCAAGTTGAGGCAGTTCATTTTTATAGAAAATATATGAAATTCGTGTTTCTTATTTAAAGATTGTAGGCCAGCGAATTTCTTAGAGTTTCACGACAAAATAAGAAAAAATTCATTAGCAAGCAGTATGCCTCTCCCTCCCTAAGAATCAATCAGAACCGTACCTGTATAAATTGAAGCCTCACGAGCAGCGACAGGCATGTTTGATGTATTGGCAACAAGTGTTGTCCGTTTCATCACAGATTCCTCACGGCCATCAGGCAACGTCATAGTCAATTGTGGGAAATCCATGAGCACCTGAGCTTATGGCCATTCTTAGATTACTAATGCACGTAAACATACAGATACACATATTCAGATATATGACACGTACCTCAGCCATTTCATTTCCTCTCTCCCCACATCCAACGTATACAACAGTATCAGAATTCGAGTACTGCACAGTCAATGCATTTTGTTATTCATCCCAGTTATGATATAAAACTATTAACTAAAACAAACCATATACGATTAGTCACAAGAATTTAACCTTGGAAAGTGCTTGACTAATGACAGTTTTCCCACATCCAAATGCTCCAGGAATGGCACAAGTTCCACCAAGCACAGAAGGGAAAAGAGCATCAAGGACACGCTGGTGCGACATATTCAGCAGAATCATGAGGGTCCACATTGTGCAAGTTTAAAAATAAAGTAAAGAAAAGAAATGCACGAATGGTTACCTGCCCAGTTAGGAGAGGGGTATCAGCAGCAAGCTTTGATGCAACGGGTCTTGGTGTACGAACGGGCCAGGTCTATATATAAAAAAAAGTGCAACATAACACATAAGATTCATGACACAAGAGCAGCAGACCAAAACTAAATCGTATCTCAAATGAGAAACCTGAAGCATGGTGAACTTCTTCTTTTCACCCTGAAACTCAAGCTCCAACACCGTATCCTGTAATCAAGAAAGCAAATGGACCAAGGTTCATTAGGAAATGCAAGCAGTCAGTAATGAAAAGAATTCCAGACAAGAACTATGTAGTATACAATCAGAAAAAACAATAAATATCTCAACCTCATCAAGTTTCATATCACAAACAGAAATGGCAACCCTAAAAGTGTGGACTGAAGAAACTCAACCACGGACTTTTCCCACTTATTTCCACCGTATATATAATTAAAATTGCCCAGTCAAGGGCACAGAAGGCGTGTTAAGTGTTAACTCATTAATAAGCAAAGGGGTTTAATGCATATACAGGTAATATCATGGTTGCCAATTGTCACGAATCACATAACAAGTGGGCATAGCATTCCGATACTTGCAAGGGGTTAACCAGAGAGTATAAGGAGAGCAAAGTGAAGTTACCTTCAGAGAATATTGACCAGGAGGTGCAATGTAGGAAATCTTTCCCATGGCATCTGGAGGGAGGGCCACATGATGCTGCATAAGGCTGTTCTCGAAAACAGTCTGAATAGAAGAAAGAACATAATTTAGAAATGAGAACCAGCAATACCAAATCACAAACTAAAATAAGCATCCAGAGTCCCTCTACAAGAACGAATCTACAGAGCAGATGGCCAATGGTAAAACTCACAGCATATAAGTCTCCACCGGTCAGAAGATCTCCCTCACCTGCCACAATCACAAGCCAAAATGAGATAAGGGGAAGCCTGCTCTTCAGCATCAAATGCATATTTTTATTAACAGAAAGCAAGTTTCCAGGTTTGGAACTTACCCAATTTTTTAGGCTGGAACTCCCAAAGTGTGTCTTTGTCGAGAGCCGGGACAGAAACACCACGAGGAATATACACATCCCCAGATCTCTTTGCAATAGTTTTTAGAGGCCTCTGTTTTAATGGAACAGATAAATCAGCGATTTCCACCAAAATCTAAGTACTGCTATGAGAAAATTTCTGATAAGCATATAGTTGAAAGATCAGAAACTTGAATCTTGACCAAGACGAGAGTATCAAGGATCAAACCTGAATTCCATCAAAAATATTCCCCAATATTCCTGGTCCCAGCTCCACAGATAGAGGCTGGAAAACAAACATTACCATTATACCCGAACTACAACAACATTGGTGAGTTCAAGCCATGACTGAACCATTTTACCTTGCGAGTCCTCAGAACAGGGTCGTTGACCATCAAACCAGCTGTTTCCTCATACACTGAAATCAAATAGAAAATTTTAAGTACCAAGTAATCCAACAAACTGCTAAGATTTTCAGTGGACAAACAAGACTTAATAAATAATGGGCATACAATTTTTCTCGCAAAACCACCATTGCAACAGAAAAGAATGAAGCATAATTTGATGAGGTGCAGCGGATGCAAAAAGCACTAAAAAGTAACTGTAAAACACTGAAAGCCAACAGGGAGATACAGGTAAATTCCGAACCTTGAATTGTGGCTGAATTCCCTTCCAACCGAATGATTTCCCCAATCAGATTGTCATGACCAACACGAACCAGTTCATACATAGCAGCACCAGCCATCCCATCTGCAATGACGACAGGCCCGGATACCTAGGAGAACAAGTATCGTGTTAAAAGAAATGGAAAAATTGAAACAAGGCAATTCAACCAGCTAGGAACTTATATTAAAACGAAAATAGAGATGGAACGTCTTCCTAAAAGTGATAGTAGATCGCTGAGTTCAGTAACAAAACCAAAAGATGTAGAAATTTGACTGTCATATCATGAGTAGCAACAGAAGTAACATCATCGAAGTCCGACTTGCCTCCCACACTACAGAGGAAAATTTGTACTAGGACACCAACTAAAAGTACTCAAACAGCAAGGAAATAGACATCTTGTAATATACCGTTCAAGAATGGCAATGTATTGTCCATCACGGAAGGAGTAGCCAATGTTTTCTTTGTTTATACCTCGTATGCTTCTTTGGAGTGTAGTCCTTCACTTTCGGTCAGAGGATCATAAAAGGGGAAAGACGAAAGGGACTTTTTAACTTAATTTTTTGCATCATAACTTCCTCTTTTTTTTCACTTCCAGAGGTTGATTGGCCATGAAATTGAACCAGTCAGTCCAAACTACAGCACTTATCCCCAAAGGCCAAGCTTCTATACGTCGAAACAAACAGAAACAAGTATGCCTAACGGAAGCAACCAAAATTTGCCTCTCACGGAGACTCTTCCAAATCCAATTCGATCTGTACTGCAAGCGATTCCACAGAGCACTCACAAACCAAAGGCCCGATACCAACAGTTACAGATAACACAAATCAACGGATCGGAGAGGTCCAAAACTTGATCTCCGCGATCACACAATTCAGTCCACAAACAAGATCCAAATGTCCATCCACTTTAAACTCGCAACAGATTTCCGAACGAAAGCATTTCACAAACTCGATCTCAATTTGCCATCATCAAACACAATCGCGCAGATACAGCAACAAAACCATATCGAATCCGAACCAATTACACTCCAAATTCCAATGCCAAACGAGATCATAGATAAGATAAGCAACAGAAAATTTACCTTCCGAACGTATCCATACTCGCTCTCCTTCTCCGAATCCTCGAAGGTGGTCAATCGAGCTCCGTAAACCGACGGCATCTTCTGCAGCAGAGAAAACCGTAAGCGAAATACGGAGAAGACAAAAAGGGAGGAGGAAGGCTCCGATCCCAATCGAGCCAAAAAGGAAAATCCTAAAGGTTCCGATCGAATCAGAACTCACCGCAGATTAAAAGTAGCACGGGAAAACGAAGAAGTGGAAAGAGATTTTGAGTGTCCCGGTGAGATGAAGAAAGAAGAGAACAGAGGAGGGAAAGAGAGCAATTATTAGTAGTAGAAGGTGCTGTCGTGGAGACTCGGCACGGGATCGCGAGATGAGAGCAGGGAGGGTCAGATCAGGTGCATGCGAGTGTAGGAAAAGAAGCTTGTACAGATCGGATGCTTTTGGGCCGCCCCATGTTCCAGCCCAGACCATAGTGGTTTTTAGGCCGATTTCCTCGGCCCAGGCGCTAATGAAAGAAGCAGCGTCGGGCTTTTGGGTAAGATGTATTAAAAGGGCCTATATTAAATGAGTTGTAGGCCTTGGTAGTGACTGCAATTTCAATCCGTTCGGCGGGATTTATCCGACCTGATTTGTAATGGGACGGATATTATTCCACCTGCAGTAGCGTGGGAAGAGGGTATGAGTATCTACTTCCGATTCACCCTGTCTCACCTCTTCCTGTTCTTGGCCCATTTTATTTTAATTTCTTACGGTATCTATGCATATTTCTCCTATTTTGACTTTTCTTCTACTAGTTAGAGTCAATCTTTCAACTTTTCAGACTCAATTACTCATTCTATTATATTACTATTTTTCATTCATAATATGCTTCCCCCTTCGTTTTTATCGTAAAAAATAAAATTTGCGTGTATTGTTTTTGAATAACATGTAAGGGTGGGTCGACCCACCCCACCTCGTACTCGCACGGGTTTTACCCGCCCCAATCCGAAGTAGCATAGAGCGAGGCATGGATATCGAGGTACCCGCCCCATTGCATAACTAGTCCTTGGGAATTAATTTCGACATTGGGATTGTGAAATCTCATATGTTTTCTTTTATAATCATCCATATTGGTCCTTACATTTTTCATTCTTTCACTCAACCTCATATTTCACTCATACGCCGTAACTGTTTCTTGCTACTCCAACTGGAAGCGTTCATTGTTCTCCCGAGGTTTACCCTTTGCTTTTTGTATTAACACAATGATAAAAAGATGAAGGAAAAAGATACCAAATTGCATTTTACATTTTTTTTAATTGAAATTCCGAATTTATAAACAAACAAAAAATCTACCGAAATTTCACACACAAAAAAACCTATATTTTTTCAACTCTGATCTATATCTTGGAATTCACGGCGGGAGCGGCGGCGGCAAACGCGACGTAGAATTTGCCGGTGGTGAGCAGATCGGGCGGGAGCAGCGCGAGTGCGACCGCGTGCTCGGCGGCGTCGCCGGCGGAATGAGTCCCCCGGCCGCCGGTCATGGACGTCTGAGTGAAACCGGGGCAGAAACAGTTGACGCTGATCATCAACTTCCCTTCCGCCGCGCGGAGCCGCCGCGCCAGAACCCTGGAGTAGGCGTTGAGCGCGAGCTTGGAGACGGCGTAGTCGGTCCAGTGCGCCGGCCAGCCTGTTCCTTCCCACGTCCCTTCCTTCACCTCTGTCAGAAACTTCCTCACCACTTCTTCCTCTATCTGTTCCTCCGTCAGCGCCTCCGCTTCGAGAATCGCCTTCAGCCTAGGGTTTCTCACTCTCTGCGTTCACATCTAAAGTTAGTCGGTGATTCAATTGTTTCATACGGCTAAATATCTCTTGTTGGTACTCTAATAGGAGATTTTTTTTTTGGGTTTGACTGTTTAATACGATATGATTTTAGAAACGCGCTCAGTACTTATACTTACGGTGAGAGAGCCGAGCCTGGAGCTGAGATTGAAGATGCGGGGGATGGAGCTGGGGGAGCGGCGGAAGAAGGGGAGGAGGGCTTCGATGAGCAACTTGGGGCCGTAGAAGTTGGTTCTCATTACCGTCTCCGCGTGTTTCACCGAGTTCGAATGTATCTCGTTGAACGACACTGCCGCATTGTTCACCTGATCGTCATTACATTGTAGAAGGAGAACAATAGAAGCATACGGAGTCATTTTTAGGGATGAAAAAAAAAAGATTCGATATTTGAGTATTTCCAAACCAACTTATTTTGGGTCAAGTCAGATTTGGGCAATTTTACTTTTGAGGTACTCATCGTGATTCGTGCCAAACTTTTTAGTTCTTTGTTGAATTGAAATCATACGATTGGATACTCGAAAGAAAATGAATAGTTTGAATACCTAATTTCAATGCAATTTTTTTGCCTTTTGTTAGGAAACAAACACAAAGGTGGAAACACCGTTAAAAAGGCACGTAATGAATATGGTAATATTGCTTACGAGAATGTCCAGCAGGCCAAAGTCTTGACGAAACCGGGAAGCGAAGGCTTCGACGGAGCAAGGATCCGACACGTCGAGCTGCAAAAAGGTGACGTTATCGAGGCCGAAACGACATCGCAGCGTCTCGACGGCTTGCTTACCTCTTCCGACGTCTCTCGCCGTTAATACCACGGTCAGCCCCTGCTCCGCCAGCTTCTTCACCACCGCGAACCCGATCCCCTTGTTCCCGCCGGTGACCACCGCCACCGTCTCCTTCGACCACCACCTGCGTGCAGCAGTACTGTAGGGTGGTGGTAGCTCTTTCACTTCCATGTCTAGAAGGGATGGCCAAGCAGCTTCTGGTGGGAGAATGAGAGTTTGAGGGCAGAGGAGGAGGAGGATGAAATGGTTTGCCGGTGGGTTAAGGGCTTGATGTATTTATAACAGAGCACTAAAATGTTAGAGAAAGAAAATGGAGTGTGAGTGGAGACTGGAGAGGGTGGCCATGGAGAGAAAAAAGTGTGGGGGCAGAGAAACTGGCAGTCTGCGCAGATAGCTCTCGCATGTATGCACCTCTGCCACATGGGGAATTCTTTTTTGATCGAGTATTATTATATGGTAGAATTTGAGTGTGTGCTTTGTAGTAGTTTGTCCACTTCACATTTGGCAGAGGATGTGTGCTATATGTGGGAAACCCACGGAGATGGAGGAGGATCTCCAAGTTGTCTGTCTTCGTGGTTTCGGTTATCTTGATTGTCGTTTAACTGCACCTCCTTCAAGACCAAAAACCATCTCGTCCAGCTTACTACGATAATCGACCGAATTTCGATTATATCGGTTTACCGGTTAGTGGATAATCGAAACTCCACCCTACACGGTATTACTCCGAAATCGGGAAGTCGACCGTGTAAGAAAGTACAAAAGCACATAGATCTACGTGATTTACTAAATATCATGACGTGTGTTAGCTGATTATTCACGAGCAGGAGACACAAGTTTCAATGTACTTTGAGTACGATACAGATTACATAGGGGTTTAGAAGGTTATAATAGATAGCACCTTCTCAACTTGGAAAGAGAGAAAAAAAAAGTTACAAAACAGAATATCTATTGTGTACAAGCCCATGCATCGTGTTAGCGAGACCTCGCGACTCATAATAGACGACAAATAAAACATCCTTCAAGTCCTTTCAACACATAGACATTTCGAGAGGGAACATGGTATACATCAATTCTTCACGATTTGTTTTCTCACGTAGAAAAGTGATTGCTCAGAAGGCATCCAGAAGGATCTCGTAGACTAAGTGACCACTGAACCAGGGTACTCCATACTCTCGAGCGAGTCTCGGGGCCTCAATCTACTTAGTTCGTAGTTTGTACTATTTGGAAAATTAGGTAATAACAGTGATGTGAATTTATCTATAAGAGTGACCTTTTATTGGATATAAGACTCAAAGTTAAATTAATTTATCTTTCCCAATAAATTCCGCGGTTGTTTGTATTTTCTTATTCCAAGTCAAGCCCTTCGACCTTTTGAAAGGACCGATGCCTAATACTGGATACCCCTTTGGAACTAAATTCCTAAATTGTACTATTCAATCAAGTTCCCAAAGTTTATCCGAAGGAATGAAGTTGCTAGACTGAAAATACAATAGAAGAAAAAATAATATAGACATTCAGCACGCGTGCTAAAAAAATCGAAAATCAAAAGGAAAACAACTCAATATCCTAATCATTCTAAAAGCATTGATTAGTAGGGTTCTTTGCATTTTCTGCTACCCTATCGCTAGAAAACAATATCAATATGCACATGTAATTTTTTTAATAAACTACTTACATGAGAGAATAAATTTCAAACCACACTCTCTAAGAAAATTATCCAATCATAATAACCCATTTCTACTAAACTTTATTACCATTAGTTGGAAAAATTACCCAATGAATGAAGTTTTCAATTCTAAGTGTGGAAGTAGAAGTTTTATTTCTTTTCTTCTGTTGAAATTTGAATAGAATATCCTACCCTTACTAAAGTTCATAAAGGAGTTGTTGCCGGACATAAACATAGTGGACGGTAGCCGGTAGGTTGGGCGTCACTTGCAAGTTGCAATTAAAATGCTCTCATTTTTTCCGCTAATGGAACCACGTGAATAGTGAGTGCATGCTGATGAATGATGATCAACTCGCAATGAGTCGTAAAACGAGTTATTTTTGTCCACGTAACTCATAATGAGTCATTTAGATCATGTTAACTCGTCTGAATGATCCCTTGGTATCCTAATCAATTTGTCAGTTGTTTTTCCTATTGAATCATATATCATTTACCACGAGGAACAATCCATCACGGCCGGTAAATTTTGATCCTCATGAACGCCTAACAAAACCTAAGAGTAATATAGATTGATGCATCGATTGTATCGATCAACAACCACTTACCAGGGAAGAAATGTAAAAGCGACAACTGTCAAAACTCGAATACATAAATTGATGAATTCAAATCTACATTCGAGTCAACTCTCACCACTCTGTACCAATTCCATTTGATCGTATTCGAGTTCTCAATACTTTTTTTATAATCAAATGCTATCTTTTTTTTTTAGGGTAATGACTATTTATTAGCCAAACATTTTTCAGATTCTTTTTTATTAGCTAAATCTATTGAATTACAAATAATTAGCCAATTGTTAACTTTCAGTTAGCAATTTTGTTAGGAATATTGATTTGACAACATGATACTGGTTTGAAAGAGATACACAGAGGTTAACATTTTGATGCATTACACAACGTTTGGCTAAGTTTTAGTATTTCGATAAATTTGACTAACAAAAAAGAATCTGGAAAAAAAATTTGGCTAATAAATATTCGTCACCTTTTTTTTTATGTCAGAGATATAGTCATATTGAGACATATTAAACGGTAGTATACACGTCAAAAGCAACACTAAATCAGAAAGTTAATTGTTAGGGGAAAGTCTTTTGCAACAGATTCCCTCAGGATGTCTGCCTGGATATATATACACATTCAGTTCCATTCTTCTTGACCACTCTTTTTCTTCCATTACCAAAGTCTTGCCATGTAGTGGACCTCTGAGTCACCAGCATCTCTCAAACTCTGAAAAATTCAACAAAAATGGTGGTGTGTTCATTGGAGAAAAAAAGCTACAATTTCAACATGGTAATCTGGTAGAGGTACAAACAAACAAGGAAAAACAATATCAGCATAAGAAATATCTGGTCCTCTAGCAGTCGGCAGCTGTTTTTTCCCCTCCTGAAACGTACAAAAAGAATCAGTAGAATCATAACCCATGTAGAAAACGCCATGCATACCTCGCAGCAACAGTCAGGCAGCCAGAAAGAGCAACAACATCAGGCAGAAAAAACAATGGAACAACATGTTTTCAATATGCTGGACTGGATGCACAACCACTGCTAAGTATATCGACAGCCGCTGGTCAGTAGGGTTCAACCTTCAAATTTTCCATCGATGGACATCAGAGCGATTAACAACACAGTAATAATAATAAGAGATCTCTCAGCTGCATTTCCAACGCTTTCTTCGCATTTCCAGCAAGTAAGACCTATCAACATTCATCTGTTCACAAAGTACTGAATAGTATTTGAGCATAAACCAGCAATATCAGTAATGTACATGCCACATCTGTATATCCTACCTAAATGTTGATATCAACGCGTAACTATTTAATTGAGGGGAAGGTGGTTGTTCTATACATCCATAGAAAGCAGAAACAAGTTGGTGCTTGAGCATTACTTAACTGTTCCAGAGCAGATATAGGCTTGCACATCAGAGTAACAGATCAGTTTTCGTCACTCCACCAAGCTACACGACATTGGCTCTCTCCACTTTCCCAGTTTCCTTCAGTCGTTTCAAATCTGGCGTCGTGGATCTTATTATAGATGGAGATGTTAGGCTTCAATCATTTCCCAATCATACTGTTCAATATCACTTCTGCGTGTTGGCACTTCCCATCCTTACACAAGACTGCAATGGTGGAACTATAACTAGCCACATTTGGAACTAATCCCCTTTCCCTCCATTTCCTCGAGCAACCTCAAGGCCCTGTAGGAGCTACCTTCATTGCAGTATCCACTGATCATTGTGTTGTATATGACATCGCTACGCTCCAGCGGCATTTCTCTCATGGATCTAAATACTTTCGCGGCATCCTTCATGTTCCCATTTTTGCAGAATCCATTTATCAACGCTCCCTACGTATAGGCATCAGGAACCAAACCAGCATTCTTCATGAAGGACAAAAGTTGAAAAGCTTTCTCCATATCCCCAGACTTCACATAAGTATTAAGCAAGATTGTATATGTCACTGCAGAAGGAGTGAAACCTCTATCTTCCATCTCCCTCACCAAAGCAGTCACTCTACCTAAATAACCAGCACTAGAATACCCCTGAATGAGAACATTGTAAGTAACTAACGAAGGCGATAGCCCATTCAACTGCATTTCATCTAACCAGCTCAAAGCCTTGTCAAACATTCTCATGCTACAGAACCCACCTATGATATTGTTATACGTGATCAAGTTTGGAACGACGCCTGCTCCTTTCATTCGACCGACCAGCTTCTCTGCTTCCCGGAGCCTCATATCTTTACACATCCCACCAATTAGAATATTGTAGGAAACCACATTAGGCACAATGCCACCTTCACACATTTCTTCAAACAGAGCAGAAGCTCTGTCCATTCTCATTTCATTGCAGTATTCATTCATCAGGCAATTGTAGGTATAGAGATTAGGAACTACTCCACTCAGCTGCATCTTCTCGTATAACTTAAACCCATCTCTTCTCAGTCCTTTCTTAAAGAGTCCATTGATCAAAGCAGTGTAAGTATACTCATTAGCAGCCAAACCCAACTCCCACATTTTATTGAACAGCAATCTTGCCCTTTCAATATCACCCTTCTTACAACAACCATCAATCAAAGTAGTGTATATAACAACATTTGGAGATAGACCCATCTCCTCCAACTGAGCCAGAACCTTAAAAGCTCTATCTAAATCACCAGACTCGCAAAAAACCTTTCACCATTATCTCAAAACTGTACACATCCGTTTTAACCCTACCCTTCACTCCTTGGAAAAAACTCCAGGACCTTTCATAACAGCCTGACTTAACCAGACAACCCAACAGGTTATTGAATGTCACGGCTTCAGGGACAAGGCCTCTCTCAAGCATTTGATGGAAATAGAACAGAGCATCATCTGTCAACTGGGAATGAACATGGGTATTGACAATGGATTCATATAGAAGGACACTAATTGATGAGCTTGGACTAAAGTTGGGTTGTGTTAAATACTGGAGGAGAGATGAAACGGAGAAGAAAGGTGAAGGGATTCGATTAGAGAGTACCCGCTGAAGAAGCGACTGTGCATCCGATACCATGTTGGAGAGGAAGAGATGTTGCAGGACTAAGGAAACGGAATGGCTACTGTGATGGACACCCTGAAGAACAGAGGAGTTGAAGATTGAAAGAGCCCTGAAAGGCGGGACTTTCACCATCTTTGGGACTATATACAAAGCCTGGCGGTGCGTTTCCAGCATCGCTTGGCTCATTTGCCTTTTGCCGACGAATTAGCCGGAGAATGTCAGATGAAACGGTTGTGCCGGCCGCCGGAGGTCGCTTCCACGGTCGATTGGAATTTGGAAGAGATGAGTTGAAACACTAACCGAAAATCAATCAGCCCATCAGCCGGCGGAGGGCCGGCTAGGTTAAGGCCTAAGGGCAATGAGGCTTTTGATAAGTCTTGGCTTGGAATTTTTGGGCTCGTTCTCTCTTCCAATTGGCTGGCACTTCAGCTTTAGCGTATTGAAAGCGAGAAACTTTTGAAGTGATGAGGAAATGGCCATTGTTTGCCGGACCCTGCTCTCGTATTCGCAGCTCCGTCGCCCTCCTCGGAATCAGATGCTCTCCATTGTTCCCACTCTGTCCTTCTCAAACTGCCCTCCCAAGTTGCACAAATTCACCAAACTGCCACCTTTCTATACCTCTTTGAAGCTCTCCACCGACCCATTAGAGCTCAGAACTTTATTAGCATCTTCGTCATCGTCGTCGTCGTCATCATCCATGGAGTCTCCCCCTGAAGGTTACAGAAGAAACGTGGGTATCTGTCTCATCAACCCATCTAAGAAGGTACGGTGTTTCTACTCTTTAGTTTCCCATCGAGAACTAGAGGCCGCATTGGAATCACTCGTCTGCCAATCCTGAAATTTGCAAACTGTGTAGATATTTGCTGCTTCAAGACTGGACATACCGGATTCTTGGCAGATGCCACAGGTGAATTTCCGATCCCATTTCTCTACAATCTTTGGTGGTTAAATTTTTTTGCTCGGCCTTGTGGTTTGTATAGCCTTCTGCATTACTCTTTTATCTCGGGCCAAGTTCCTTACACTGATGTTTCAGCTGATTGTAAGCTGCTGCCATAACCTGAAATGTCGTTGGTAGGCACTAGCCATTAGCTACATCATTAGATAACTAGAGGAGCCATTGTGCAAGTTCAGTACGAATGATTGAGAATGCTTCCTCCTCCTGGTTTTGTCCAACAGAGGTGTCAATTTGAGATATTGTAGGGGAACTTTTGAGAGGAGAGGACTCAAGCAGTCAGGTACTTCGATTAGTTTCGCCCCGAAAGTCTTAGATGTTGTGGGTTTACTTCATCTGTAGCAATCATTGGTTCTCCCAATCATAATAGAAGAACCTGCATCTCATTGAAGGTGAGACTGAGGTACTGATTCTTTCTGTAAGTTGTGCGATTTTCGGAAGTGGCACTGGACCAATGCCTACACTATATTGTGAAAAGACAACTTCTGTTTGTTGCCAGATTATGAATCATATAGTTGCTAGAAAGGAATCACTTGTTAGAAAAATTTTGCCTGTAGAAGGTTTGGAGTTAGATGATCACGATTCATACCGACTCCTTGTATTGTGAATTTGCTGGTGTGTTTTCACAGCGAAGGTATAAGGCAGTGGAAATGCAGAGGGGGAAATGTGACATTCTCTTCTTGATGGTTAATTTGAGAACAAACTTTCACTTATGACATATACATATGCCAGAATCTCATTTCTTCTGAGTGACCATGGTCCTGCACTGTCCTTTTTATTTCATGTACAGCTAACTTGCTGATTGGTTATACTGCTTTACTTAGCTCTCGTTGCTGCATCTATCGGTTTCTGTCGTGTTATTCTTAACAACACTTGTGGCAGGGTTGCATTGACGACAGCGAAGATCCAAAAGCTGCTGCTCTCCGTGAACTAAAAGAAGAGACGGGAGTCATCTCTGCAGAGATCCTTGCAGAGGTTTTTTCCATTTATACATAATGCTGCTTTCGACCCTTGGTGTGATCCATTATAGTTTTGACTCCAATGAATGTCAGTGCTGTTTGTAACTTGATTAGCGTCCCGTTTAACAAGCCTGATTCCAATACGAAGGTTGCACTTGATCATATATATATTAACATGGGCATCAACATTGCAATCTTATGGTTTTGTTGCATAATGAGATCGTGCCTAAACAAGGTTTAAGACTGTGGTATCATGATTGTCTCATTGTTGCAGGCACCCCTTTGGGTGACATACGACTTCCCTCCACATGTCAGGGAAAAGCTTAAACAACAATGGGGAACTGACTGGAAAGGTCAAGCACAAAAGTGGTGAGTGCAGGCTGCAGGGTTAATAAAACAGCTTGTATTGCTTCTTAATCGTGACTCGTGAGTCTCGACTCCAACCTCATCCCACGTCTTAAACTACTTGCTCGAAAACGCTTGCAGGTTTCTGCTCAAGTTCACTGGGAAGGAAGAGGAGGAGATCAATCTGTTGGGTGACGGCAGTGAGAAACCGGAGTTTGGGGAATGGTCGTGGATGTCAGCTGACGAAGTAATCGATCGCGTGAGTTATATCACGTAGTTCGCGCGAGCTATGGAATCGAAACCATGATTTTGATCCAGTGGTTCTCTTTTCTTACAACTCACACAACTTCCCTTCCCGCTGCTGGTGTTCATGTCTCAAAATGCAGGCGGTAGATTTCAAGAAGCCAGTCTACAAGGAAGTGTTCTCAGCCTTCCACCCTCACCTTCAGTAAACACAGGAATGGCTTTTCGCTTCGCAACTACGGCCGAGATTCATCTTCAACTCACACTCACGTACATTTCCTTTCAATGTCACCATGAATTACAGGAAGTGCCGTGTAAAAATTCTTAAATTCTAGGTAAGGTGGGTTTGTTGTTTGATGGTGACTGTTGTGTGATGATGCGAGGGCACGCTGAGAAGGTGTTCGATGAAATGCCTGAAAGAGACGGTTTCTGTTTCGGTTGGACTACCGCCATTGCTGTAAACCTCCATTCTCCCGGGTTCGGATTGTTATCGGCGGCGGGCGATTCTCCGTATTGATTCCTTTTATATATTTTTAATGGTGGGCGGCGGAGAAAACGAGAGAATGGAGGAGAGAGATAATAACAAAAGGAACGTTCTCTTGTCTTCTTCTCAAAACGTACGTAACGCTCTTGTCTTCTTCTCCGAAATAAATAGCGATTTGAACTTTGAAGGTCCACAAACTCCACTACAAAAAAAAAAAATCACGGCAGCCATGAACAGCAGCGGCACAGGTTCGAAGCTAGATTCTCCGGCCGCTCCTCCGGCTAATCCTCTCCCGTGGAGGACGCGCCTCGCAGTCTCCGTCGTCTCCGCGCTCTCCGATCTCGGCCGCCGCCACGACGGCACGGTCAATCGCCGCCTCCTCAGCTTCCTCGATCTCAAGTGCCCTGCCTCCACCACTCCGATCCAATCCGTCGTCTCCTCCGACGTCACCGTCGACGCCTCCCGCAACTTGTGGTTCCGCGTCTACGCTCCCGCCACATCCGCCGCCGCCACAGGCGGCGGCGGCCTCCCGGTCCTCGTCTTCTTCCACGGCGGCGGATTCGCCTTCCTCAGCGCCGCCAGCGTCGGCTACGACCTAGTCTGCCGTCGATTCGCGCGGAGCCTCCCCGCGATCGTGGTCTCCGTGAACTACCGGCTCACGCCGGAGCATCGATTCCCCTGCCAGTACGACGACGGATTCGACGTCCTCCGATTCCTCGACGGCGACGGCGGGGCGTTGCCGGAGAACGCCGACATCGGGAAGTGCTTTCTGGCCGGGGACAGCGCCGGGGCGAACATAGCGCACCACGTCGCGGTTCGGGCGGGCGGGTCGGGTTTCCGGAGGCTCCGGGTCCTGGGGCAGGTATCCATACAGCCTTTCTTCGGAGGGGAAGAGAGGTCGGAATCGGAGATCCGATTCCGCAGCAACTCGGTGCTGGTTTCGCTTGACCGGACCGATTGGTTGTGGAAGGCGTTCCTGCCGGACGGGTCGACCCGGGACCACCACGCGGCGAACGTGACCGGGTCGGATATTTCCGGCAAGGAGTACCCGGAGACTGTGGTGATCGTCGGCGGGCTGGACCCGCTGCAGGACTGGCAGCGGAGGTACTACGAGTGGCTGAAGCGGTCGGGGAAGGAAGCGACGCTGGTCGAGTACCCGAATATGATCCACGCGTTCTACATGTTCCCCGAGCTGCCGGAATCCGCCGAGGTTTTCGCACAGGTGAGGGATTTCGTTGCCCGGAAGTCCGCCGGCTGAAGTGCCGTGTAAAAAATTGTGGTGGGATGTGTTGGTCGGAAATACCCTTTTGTTGTTTAGTGGTGACTGGTGTGGAGGGCAATGCCGACAAGTTGTTCGATAAAATGCTTGAAAGAGATTTTTATTGTGTTGGTTGGAATACCGGCATTTGTTGTGTTGTTTCTTTCTCCGTTCGATTTTTTTTTCCTGCAGATCAATTGCCGTTACGCGGTGTCTGCTCCGACGAAACCAGGGGCGGTAGCCGGAGAAACTTCCGTTCACTAACGTACTGGATTTTGCATATTTGTTGGAAGGTCCAGGATTTAGGTCACGATTTCTGTGCTGGATGTGGTCCAGTTTAGCTAGTGGTTGCTGCGGATTGGGACGTCTCGCAATTTTGCCATGAATGGGTCTGCTACTAAGGAATCATTATGGCTATCTCGAACATGATGAAATGATTGAAAGATACGGAAATAGTGCATAAAAATAAACATCTTAGGAAGAAAGTTTATTTGTGTGCAGGAAACGAAACGCTTATAATAGGCATCCAACTTTATGCATTGATAACTTGGAAGTATTTGAAGTATAACTATTGTTTTGGATGGTTTCACAGTTTCTGAGTAGTAGTAGGGATGGCAATTTTGATTTGATCCGTTTTACCCGCATTATTTGGCCTGTTTTGAGGTGGGTCCGACCTGTTCCGTAGACGGGGTGGGTGTGTGTACTCTCATCGACCCGATCTGTCCTGACCCGATTCATTCTCGATCCGTTTTTTGCCTAAATTACATGTAATTTAGCTATAATAAAGTTGTAAATTAGTGAAACCCTCAATTTTTCTAATAATTTAACTACATTTATCATAATATTGTTTGTTTTCTTGGCTCTATAATAAAAATAACAAATATTGCTAATGTTTTTCATATAAACTGCATACCCATTGGGTCGATCTGCCCCGACCTGCGACCCGTGATAAATTACGGACCTGCCCCATTGTCATTCCTACGGAGTAGTTTTGTTTGTATAATTCTTGTACTCTCTTTATTTCACTCGAAAATAAAAAATAAAAACTTGAAATTTTTGAAGTCCAATTAAATCAAAATCCCAACAAAGAATTTTTTGTTTGTTTGAAAGGTATGTTCATTGAGAATGCGAACGACGCGAAACCCAACCAGAAGGAAAAGTAAAAAAAAGTGATTGTTTGTGAAAACCAAATTAGAGAGGCCCAAAATATGTGGGCTAGCTCCTAATAGGGCCTAGATCCGGGCCAAACCAAGAAAAGGCTTTCGAAGCTCTAGCCACTCATCTGCCCCCTCTGGATCCTCCACCACCGCGGCCGAAAACCACCATTGTTGTTTGGCCACCCAACCGACGTCGACGTCGCCGTCATGCACCAAAAGAGGGGATTGATTCCCGCCGTACCAGTGGTGGAGGGAGAATATAAGAGGGTGGGTCCTGGTTTGGATGGAATATGATTAAATTAAGTACAATAATTAGTCGATACAAAAAATTAAGGGCGTCTTATCGAGAATAGTTTATCGAAACGTGTTGTGTTTGAATCTTTGCGACATCATTTCTTAAGCACCTGGTATTTCGATTTATTGATATTAAACGATTCTTAACAAAGAACATCATTTTGAAAACGAACGACTAATTAAATCATGAATTATTATTTTGTGTAAGATTCATTATTATACTTCTCTCAAAAACTTGAGTTGTTGATACTAAATTGTTCTTTACAAAGAACGTCATTCGAAGAGTACATCTAACTAAATCATTAATAATTATTTGGTACAAATGGTGATATATATGATAGTTTCGACTACTATCGTATTTTAATTTACCAAAAATTTTCAATATAAAATTATATCATGAATGATTAGCAAAGTTAACAAAAACTATTTTATCATGTGTATTTTTCTTCTAAGTGGACCCACTTTAGACGAAATCCTGACTACGCCACAGCACCGTACCCGAATGGAGGGATGAGGAAGAGAACCTCCCATCACATCTTAGATCTGACTATTATCACTAATCTAATGGCATGTTTGGAGGTTGAGATTCTCCAAATAGATGTATTTGTTCAATTTGTGTATTATCATTTGATGTATTGATTCAATGCATGTATTAGAAAAATACTTTGTTTGGAGGGGCAATGATGAAACAAAAAGTAGGGTAGACAATCCCCTGTCAACAATCTCACCTTTTGGTAGAAATTTAAAATCATTCGTTTTGAGTGATTATAGGTGGGCTCAACAAAAAGGTAATACATGAATTCTAACTTGATATGAAACAAAAAAACGATTTAATCTTATCATTATATATATTTGCTAAATACCTCACTTCAAATCTCAACCTCTAAACAACCCCTAAATCACCATAACGGAGAACAAAAGCTCAACCATCAGGTGGGGAAAGGGATACCCATCAAAGGGAAAGACAAAGCCTTTAAATGGCTGGGATGAGCTGAAAACAAGAAGGGAAACATGCTTAGCAGAAGATAAATTGAAGGTCTTTTATTGTCTTATTATTTCTATCTTGTGATCTTACCCACAAAGGTCTTATATATTCTTAGTATCTATATTGTTTTCCTCATTAAAATAAAGTACTGAGTATTTTCGAAACTCTCCAAATTTGGAATTTTTTTGAGGTACGTATAAAATACATATGAGTATTTTATTTCATTTATAAATTGATATTTCATCTAGTATTACGTCGATAGTCATAACATATATGAAGTCGATTTTTTCAAAACAAATAAATGTGTAAATAATATTCATTTTAATAATTTATTTCATTAAATACGCATAAATATGTTATATGGGTTTTGCATATTTTTAATACGCGAATCATTAAATGAATGGAAAAAAAATGAAACAACTTGAAATTAATAAAAATCAAAAAATTTAAACGAATATTAGGCGCCGCACAAGAATAGAAGCAATCAAAACCCCTCGAGATGTGCTGACACGTGGCAGAAAAGGGGTAAAGCAGATCCACCTTAGGCGCTCTTGTGCTTGGCCCTCGCGGCCAGGGGCAGGAGGAGAGTCACGCGCCATGCGATCTAGAAACCGCCAAAGATGGCGACATGGGCTGGCGGCCCAGAACCGCTCAATAATGGCAAAAGACTTCGTTTAGCCGCGAAAACCTCCCACTTCTCCCGCCTAAGGGGCAAATGTTAGGCCAAATATTGAGGTTCATGGGCCCCAAGGCCATAGTCACCAAAAAGCCCATAAAGAGGTTAAACAGGCCCGAATAGGGGCAAAAACGTACCAACCCAACTTGGAGGCGGTCTGTCTTCTCTACTCGCGAAAGACCGCCAGACACGTGTACTGGCGCGTAGCGGGAAAACCGCCCGACAGTGTGGTCTAACGGATTTCTGTCCTTTAGGTACGGAGACTGACAAGGGTACGGACCAAGTGCGCATCTGATAAAGCCAGAGGCGACATAAGCACCCGACAGACTATTAAATGCGCACAACCCAGCCACAACTAGTATAAATACAAACGTACCAACCCAACTTGGAGGCGGTCTGTCTTCTCTACTCGCGAAAGACCGCCCGACACGTGTACTGGCGCGTAGCGGGAAAACCGCCCGACAGTGTGGTCTAACGGATTTCTGTCCTTTAGGTACGGAGACTGACAAGGGTACGGACCAAGTGCGCATCTGATAAAGCCAGAGGCGACCTAAAGCACCCGACAGACTATTAAATGCGCACAACCCAGCCACAACTAGTATAAATACCCAATGATGGGGATCATTTATGGTAACTTGGATACGCTGAATTCTCTCTCTTATTTACTTTCTATTCACTTCTTTCTCTAACTTTAGCATCGGAGGAGGTCCTAGGATCCCCCTGATAACCTTTCTTGTAGGATTTCGAAGGCCGCCCTCAACTGTCGAAGCCGCCCAAAATCAGTGAAGCCTCACAAAATCGCCTGGGACGATCCAGGCACAAACAGGTTTGATGTTGGCATCTCAGAAAATTGATAAGAGGAACAAGAAACGTCATTTGTTGTCCTTTTTGTTTCTAACATAGTAAGTAAATTAACAAAAATCAAGTGGGGAGAAAACTCTTAAGCGATCATTTAACACTAATAAATATAACCACATCTTGTTTCTTTTCTGGTTCCGTTCGATTCTGCCGCTATTTGAGAGGTGAGGAATGGAGGCCTTTTCTGTTTTCATATATGTTTGTCTCTACATGTTTAAACAATATTGAATGTTACTTCTTCTTGTACCTTTCCCTCTCATGCAACCCAGTTGTGTAGTATTAAAATGGATGGAACACAAATAGATAAAATTATTAACTCATTATAGATAAGTGTAAAGAAAAAAATTATCCTATAGAAGGGCCAAAAAGTAGAGTAACTTACATGAGGCACGATCAAACCTGGGTAGTATTCACATTGTTAGAAGAGATCTCAATAATGTTGCACATATTAGGATAGCAGAGAAGTGTGGCTTGATATGGAGTTGATCTTTCATGTAGACCAGCTCCACCAGGACGATGTTACTGTTCCCTTCACTTAATCAATTTACAAGTACCCGTAAATTTTTTTATGAGACTAGGGATGACAATGACTCGAATTGTTGAGTAATTTGTTTTAATTGTCAAGAGTCAAGACTCATATTAGAATTGGTGTTTGGGCCCATAGTTGTACAATCGTGGGCTTAGGGCCCATAAGGAGCAAATCAGGTAAAGCCCGAAGGAAGGGCTCAGGTGAGGCCCAGCGAGGAGCCGAGAAAAGGAGGGCATAGGGAACGGAGAATAGCGGGCAGCCACACTATGATGGGACAGGAAGTAGGCCGCCTGACACAGAGTGCCGTTGGTGACATGAAGGTAGATCTTCCTAGGATACTCACCTCGAATACTGCAGGACTGAGCATTAATTGCTCACGGCGGGCGGTCCAGATAAAGCAAGGCGTATCTAGGGCGCTTGACACAACATTTAATGCCTCATACCCGACCTAAATTACTATAAATACATTCGTATCTGCATTAATGATAACTCAACTACTCTCTCTCTTTCTAAACATAAACATAAACTCTTATCTTCTCTCTCTAACTTTAGCATCGGAGGGAGTCCGGGGTGACCGCCCACGGACCCTTGTTTTGCAGGAGTTTGGAGTACACCCACCCTCTGGAACAGACGCCTTGCTCACCCTTCATCAAACCGCCTGGAACATTCCAGGCTCAAACAATTGGATTGGACTCAAATGGACTTATTTGTACTTTTAATGATTTTGTAATTGAATTGGGTTTATATTGGTTCCAATTTGTGTCTGATCCAAATGAGTCTGTTTGGTCCGGTGACTGTACAAACGAAATGACACTATTGATCATCTAATTAGAAATGAAACCCCAAATTTTGTTTTACTTTTTAGCATACTACAAAAACATCTATCATATATGAAGGTCAGGTTCTTACATCACACAAAACAAAAAAATATTTATCTTTTACTTATTATCAAACCAATTAATCTAGTATTTAAGAGGGCTAAACAATACTTCTCTCTACACTCTTTTTTCCCCTAGAAATGGATCCCGCAATCTTTATTAGGGCTGGCAGTCGGTTTTCCGGTTAGCTGCTAACCGGTCGATTTCAACCGAACCGACCGGTTTTCAGCTAGCCGAAAAACCGACGAAGAAGAGGGCGGTCGGTTGGCGGTAGAGGAAATCATGAGTCCGGTTAGCCGAGTAACCGAAGCTGGTTAACCGCGACTAACCGGCCAACCGACCCACAACCGAAAATATAAAAAAGAGGAGGTGAGAGGTGACCCTTCGACTGACCCTTCTCTCTTTCTTCCTAACTCCTTCGACCCTTCTCTCTTCTTCTCTCTTTCTTCCTACAGCAGATCCTCCTCCCTTCAACCCTTCTCTCTTTTTCTCTCTTTCTTCCTACAGCAGATCCTCCTCGGCGCCGGAGTCTTCCTCTGCATGGAGGCCAGGATCCTCGCGCCCGTCGCCGCGCCAGTCGCTGCGCCCGTCGCCTTGCCCCGCGCCAGTCGCCGCGACCCCTCCAGGCTCAGAAGTCAGATCTGTTTCCAATCACCGTGGAGTCGACGAGCGATTTCTGCGGCGGCGGTTCGAGAAGTCTCCCGCCGCGAGTAGTCTCCCGCCACCGCGAGTCGTCTCATGCAGCGGTTTTCTTCCGGTGGAGGAAGGGGAGAGAGGAGAAGATAAGGTTCTGGTGGAGGAAATGGTGGGGAAGGAAGGAGAGAGAAGAGAAGGGTCTGGTGGAGGAAGGGGAGAGAGGAGAAGATAAGGTTTGAAATTGAGTGGTGCAGATTTTTTTTTTAATTTTTTTTTTTTTGGAAAATGTAATTTTTTCGGTTGGCCAGCTAACCGAGCCCAAAACCGGAATCGCTCGGTCGGCTAACCGTGCCCTTTCTTCGGTCGGTGGTCGGCAGCTTAAGGGGGGTCTCGGTTTAACCGATAACCAGGTTTTCGGTTTTTGGTTAAACCGAAACCGACCGGTTGCCACCCCCTAATCTTTATTCATGAATTAAACAAGGAGTTTGCACTTCAAGGTGATCAAAATACAACCAATAAGCAAGGACGCCGCCAGGTGCCTAAAAAATGTGAACTCGGGAAACAGGTGACCTAAAGAGGCAGGATAATCATCAATTACATTGGCCTCCCGCCTCCCTGTAGACATGCTCAATCCTAACCTGCCGGTCTCGCATGAGCCAACGACGAATTTCCGCGACGCACGCAAGTGTAATGTGGATGTTGAGGTGTTGCAGTCTCAATGAGGAAAAACTTGATTACGACAGTATTCGTATGAATAAAGAACTTTCCTAGCTCCCGATTCCCATACGAGCTTCAAACCACGCACAGTTCCGGCCAACTCTATACGGGTAATCGAACCCCTTCCTAAGTTTTTTTTCCCCCTACAATGATAAAATATTAAAATCACAGTTATTCAAGGAGTTTGACATTTTTACCCATTCATCAAGGAGTTTGACATTTTTACCCTTTACTCTTAGAAGACCATCGTTATTCCACCATCCAAAAACCGCATCAGGAGTCGTACGTTCTACAGCAAGTGAGCATCGGCTAAGCACAGTCAAACAAACCCGATGGGAACAAACTGTGATCTCATCGTCATCGTTGACAAGAAGGGGATTCTTCCGGCCGGCAGCAGGTAGCTGGTTGGCTTCTTCTTCTTCACCTCTATTCCCTCTCAATATCCGGCAAAGAATCATCGAAATGTCAATCCCACAACTATAAATGGCGAGCTGACTTTGGGTTTTTTTTTGTCAAACAACAAATGGATCGCATCCCTTCACTGCCATATCCAGAAATGGAGAACATCAATCCCTTTCCGGTGGTCGTCGATTCCCCTGCCTTGCGCCCCGGCCTGCTCTTCGATGTCGACTCCTACCCGGATTTCGACATCATGGATATGGCGGATCAGCTTGATTACCACCATGAGGAGGTAAACGCAGAGGAAGAAGAAGAAGCAGAGAAGTTCAACTATGAGGAGGAGGAGGAGCAAGCCTTCAATTCCAGAGCATGGTTCGACATTCTCAAGCACCGCCTCTCCTCCTCCTCCTCCCCTGCCGCCGCCAAAACCCCTGAATCGGCCGCCGCCGTGGGTAGCCGGAAATTGTGGACCAACGAAATTATCAAGCTGGCAGGGGCGAGAATCATTCAATCGAGGTCTTCCACTGATGGGATTGATGTTCCGGCGATGTTCGGCGGCGGACTTAGCCAGGAAGAAGCCAAGGACGTAGAGCTCATGGAGCACCTCCTCGAGTGCGCCGAGAAAGTCGGGAAGGGGGAATTCGACCGCGCAATCGAACTCCTCGGCCGCTGCAACTGCTGGGCTTCGCAGACCGGGAACCCGGTCCAGCGTCTAGCATACTACTTCGGCAACGCCCTGCGGCAGAGGATGGAAGAAGGAACAGAGGAGGTCGGAGCAGAGGCAGAGCAGGACGACGACGATCGGAAGCCGTTCGAATCCGACACGGCCGTAACGCTCCCGGACGAGCACGGGGTGGAATTCCACAAGAGCGTGCCGTTCTACACGGCCTCCCAGCTCGCCGCGGTCCAGATCATGATGGAGAACGTCGCCGGAGAGAAGCGGATCCACGTGATCGAGCTCCGGATCTGCTCCGGCCTGCCGATGATCGCCCTGATGCAGGCTCTAACTTCGTCGGGTCCTACCAATTCGATCGAGATGCTGCGGATCACCGCCCTGGCGAACGACGAATCGGAGGAGCGATTCATCCACGGGTCGGGCGAGCGGCTGGTGGGTTTCGCCAAAGAAATGGGACTGCCTTTCTCTTTCAAGATCGTCCGAATTTGGGATTCCCTTGCCGGGGCGGTGCACAAGGATCAACTGGATCTCGAGCCGAAGGAAGCCGCGGTGGTGGTCGCCGAATTCGCGCTCAATCCGCTGATCGCGAGGCCCCACCGGCTCGAATCGATGATGAAGCTGGTCCGATCCATCCGGCCGCGGGTGATGGTGGTGACCGAGACGGAGGCGAACCACAACGCGCCCGATTTCGGACACCGATTCGTCGAGACTCTGTTCACCGCCGGCGGGCACTTCGACTGCCTGGCGGAGTGTATGGCGGGGAACGACGCGGCGAGGACGGCGGTGGAGTCGTCGTACTTGAACGACAGGATCAGGAACATCTTGGTGGCGGAAGGGGAGAAGAGGATTGTTAGGGATGTGAAGCTGACGGTTTGGAGGAAGTACTTTGCCCGGTTCGGAATGCTGGAGATCGCCATTAGAGGGCTGGCGCTGCAGCATGCGAGCATGGTGATTCGAGAGTCTCCCTGCGCGGGTTCCTGCCTGGTTGCTCTGGATTTCAAGAGCTTGGTGATTGGGTGGAAGGATACGCCGTTGGTGTTTGTTTCTGCCTGGAAGTTTATGAAGGCAGTGCCGCAATAGCTCGCGAGCTGATTTGTGTATTTGAATTCATGAGCGAAGTTCAGTGTAGTTCTCGCCGCCTCTCGGGACGACTAACTGGGTTGCCCGTGAAATGACGTGAGTTATTTTTCTCTTGTCTCGTCTAAGGTTGTGATCATTTGCTTTTGTATCTTGAGTTGGGAGTGGGTGTGGAGTGTCAAGAGAGTTTCTTTTTATTGTTAATTTGTGTGACAAAGAGAAAATATCCCTGTCGGCAAGCAACATCAACATCTAAATTCGGAAGATATTTCCAACATAAAATAACTCGATATAAGTAATAAGTTGTAGAATTGGAAAAACAATAGGTTAGGAACTTAGCTAATAAGCAAAATACGAGCTCGAGAGGCTATCATGTAAAAAAAGACAACGAAATGTACAACAACATAATCTCTAACAATAACCATAGGAACATATGTGACGAGGTCCATTCTGCGACCGATATGATCCACCCTGCAAGGATTATTAAACCGTATCGTCGATCGATCATAAAAACAGTCTACTGCCATTTAAATCGGTATATGCCATAGAAATATCACGAAGACATCATTCCAACGATTTTACGCAGTTAAGTAGACAATCCCAAGTAATCTCGTCTACTGATTTCGATATTTCAATTATCTTTATCGAAACTGCTTCACAATTATCTCTTCTGATTATAAGAATAATAAGTAAGTAATTGATAGACAAGTGTCACAATTATTTGTTCCCTAGTTTTTCTCTTTAACAATTTTGTTGTTGTGGTTTTTTTTTTTTTTTCATAAATGGGAGAAAAGATCTCGATATTATCATTTTCCTTTCTATATTTTCTCTCCCTTGATAGATAAATTAAAACTTCTATCATTATCATTCATAAAATATAAGCAGCAGAAGTAGGAAAAGTTGTACAAACTAGGAATACTATCAGGTTAGCAAAAGGGCGGAAGAAAGAAAGAGAAGAAAAAAGCCAAACAAAAGCAGTCCAAGCCGGAAATACAAAATAGAAACAGTCCCAACCTGGGATTCTCAAAACCAAACAAAACCCGACGGAAGAGTTGCAACCAGCCCGGCGGAAGATGAGAGGGAATGCAAATACAATCACAATCAGCGGACCACCAAAACAAAAACAAAAAGAAAACAATATTAGCAAGGGACGAGAATAGGATGTAAATTGAACACGAATGGAAATGGAGTGGGTGGGGTACCTGTTTCGTAGGGCTGGGAAAATAAACCAGACCGTTAGAAAAATCGTGGTCCAAACCGTACCGTACAGTTTGGTCTGGACTGTAGATCGTTAAGTATGGTCTGGTCTGGTCCATGATCTGGTTTATTTTATGTTTTGATCTCTTGGTCTAGTTTGGTCTAGACCGCGGTTTACCGGACCAAACCGTGGACCCAACCGACTTGTCAATACGTGTTAATAGCCAATTCGATCACCCTCCCAACTCACACAACGACACCCAAATCTCAACCTTAATTTTGAGAATCTCGTCTCTCCTTCGTTCACAACCACATTTAACCAGAGAGTAGAGATAATCGTGTCTCCATATGACATTATGTTAATGTTTATAACGTTATGGTGCAAGTTTGTATGCTTTTACTTTGTATTTTTGTTATTTCTAAGATTTAGGATATCAAAATTATTCATGCATGTTAAGATTAATATTTTAAGGCAAATAATAATTATTTTTCTTGGTTATTGGTTCAATTTTTTGTGTAGTTGACTAAACAAATTATTCATTTTTCTTTGAGTGTGGTCTATCTGGACCAGACCAAACCAGACCGCACAGGCGTGGTCTAGACCGGACCATATAGTCTGTGGTCTGGTCTGTGGTCTATACTTCAGCCTCTCGGTCTGGACCATAGACCGTATAAATGGTCTGGTCTAGACCAGACCGCACCGTTTCCCAGCCCTACTGTTTCGTAGTACTGACTTAGGTCGAGTAATACTCTGTGTTGTAAATGTTATGAGAATGTTCATGTATACTATTTTGAGCAAACATGTAAATATATATAATCGTCCTATTCGATAGACTCCACTGTGTCTGCCAAACGAATGTTATTCCCTTTTAGTACTCAAAGTTACAGAATGATTCATCTCATTCCATGATAGAAAAGGACATACATTTTCCAGCATAGCGATATCTCAAACTCTGGAAAACAACAAACCCCAACGAATCGACGAGAACCACACTTGACTGGATCATTTCTTTTCGAAACAGACTCCAGAAAAATCAGTTTGAATTTTGGCAAGAGTTTCATTAAGAAAATTCTCATATCTAAAGCCATAGGGGTTTGGTGCTATTTATAAAAAAATTAGAGGGTGCGTAGGTGAGTAGTTATACCCCGAGTAGTTATACCCCGACCATTGCACTGCATCGGTTCGACCACAACAGTTGGACAGATTGGTTTATCTCAACCACCACATCAGTTTGTTTCGGTTCAACTTGATTTGGTTCGGGTTGGTTACACAAACCATTCTATCCAATTTCCAACATGTATACAATTCGACCGAATCTGAAGGTGAGTCGCGTACTTAGAAAAATCCAATCGGACGCTTTTCTCATCGAGCGCCCAAAACCCTGTCAAGGTAGGCCGAATGAACAAACCTTCTCCCATGATCAGTCACTTGCAATTCTGCAAACGCGACGCGAAGCTAAAAAGAAAATTTGTCGCGTTTCAGAGAAAGGCAAATAAATCTCACCGTCTGCAATCTGCTGTAACTCGTAGCACAATCAATTGTCGTTTGTCGTCATCCCCGGAAAAAGGGAATCCGGCGGCCGGCCGAGTGCACTGCAGCAGCAGCGGTTGTTTTCTTGTTCTTACCTCTTGTCCTTGCCTCTTGTCCTTCTTGTTAAATAACCGGCAGGTCCGACGACAATAAATAGCGAGTGAGTAGAGAATCGAACGAATTGCATTGCACCCAATCTCCTCGATTGCCAGAAATGGAGAACAACATCAATCACCTCCACGCTTCAGCTTCCCCAGCCTTAACACCAAACCTCTTCTTCGATGAGGGATCCTTCCCTGATTTCGGAATCATGGCGGAGCTCGAGTATCACAGTGGCTCCGAAGACGACGACGATGGAGAAGAAGAAGAGGAAGAAGAAGAGAAGTTTAACTCCGACAACAAGCAGCATCAGCAGAAGCAAATCTTCGACCCCGGAGCTTGGTTCGACATCCTCAAACACCGGCTCTCCTCTTCCCCTGGCAAGATCAACCCCGAATCGAGCACAAACTGCACCCGAGAGTTCTGGACCAACGAAATCATAAAGCTGGCCGGGGCCAGAATCTTACAATCCAGGTCGCCGGCGCAAGGAATTGACGTCCCTCACCTCCTCACCGGACTCACCAATGAGGAATCAAAGAACGTGGAGCTCATGGAGTACCTCCTCGAGTCCGCCGAGCACGTCGGGAAGGGGAAATTCGAACTCGCACTCCAGGTGCTCGACCTCTGCACCCGGCTATCTTCCCAAACCGGAAACCCGATCCAGCGGGTCGGGTACTACTTCTCCAGCGCCCTCCGCCAGCGGATCGAGCTCCAGAAAACCCGCCGCGGCGGCGAATTGGAGGAAGACGATCATCGGAAGCCGATCGAATCCGACATGACGGTGACGCTCCCGGACAAGAGCGCGATGGAGTTCCGCACCAGAGTCCCGTTCTACACCGCCTCCCAGCTCGCCGCGGTCCAGATCTTGATGGAGAACGTCGCCGGAGAGAAGCGGATCCACGTGATCGAGCTCCGGATCTGCTCCGGCATGCCGATGATCGCGCTGATGCAGGCCGTAGCGAGTTCCCCCAATCCGATCGAGATGCTAAGAATCACCGCTCTAGCGCACGACGCGGCGGAGGAGCGGTTCATCCACGGGTCGGGTCGGCGGCTGGTAGGGTTTGCAAGAGGGATGGGCCTGCCGTTCTCTTTCAACGTGGTCCGGATCTGGGAGCCGCCTTCGGCGGCCCATAAAGACAAACTGGGCCTTGAGCCCAGGGAAGCGACGGTTGTCCTCGCCGAGTACGCGCTCAGCCTGATGGTTACAAAACCCAACCGGCTGGAAGCGATGATGAAGCTGATCCGGTCCATCCGGCCGCGCGTGATGGTGGTGATCGAGACGGAGGCGAATCACAACGCGCCCGATTTCGGGCACCGGTTCGTCGAGACGCTGTTCACCGCCGGCGCGTACTTCGACTGCCTGGCGAGCTGTATGGAGGGTAACGAGGCGGCGAGGGCGGTGATGGAGTCGCGGTACATGAACGACCGGATCAGGAACATCTTGGTGGCGGAAGGGGAGAAGAGGGTTGTTAGAGATGTGAAGATTGGGGTTTGGCGGAAGTACTTTGCTCGGTTCGGGATGCTGGAGATTTCGGTGAGAGGGTTGGGGCTGCAGCATGCGAACCTGGTGATTCGCAGCTCGCCGTTCGCCGGTTCCTGCCTGGTGGCGCTGGATCGGAAGAGCTTGATGATTGGGTGGAAGGATATGCCGCTGCTCTTTGTTTCTGCCTGGAAGTTTATGAAGGCGATACCACACTAGCTGCTGGTGCTAATTTGGGATTTTTGTATTTACCATGGCAACAAGAAACAAACAAACGAGGTGGCTTTTTGTTTGACGTTAATGGATGGTTATAGTGTCATGTCCATATTTGCATAAGTGCAGACATGCATAAGTGCTAATGAATAGACGTGCATGAAATCAAAGTTTGGATTTACAATAACTTAGTTCACTAAGAAATATAGCTAGGACATGTTATTCATGATCTTATTGTGAGTGTGGAGCCACCTAACCCAACGCTCGAAGAAGATAAAAGACCATTTTGGGGATTGGAGCAAGACGGGGTGTGCTTCGGGATGAGATCGGCTAACTCCCCTGGTGGCTGGCTTTGAGGAGACAGAAACTAAAGCAGAGCTAGAGAACTCTCTGTAGATGGAAGGGCTCGAGCAGGATCAAACATTTTCTCTGCCTCGTGTGTGTCATGACCGCCTGATGACCAACAAGGCAACAATGAACGAGTGAGAAGGAAGATCGAGACTAACCGCAGCTGCAGGCACTGCGAGGAGGTGGAGGAATCAATTGAACATATCTTTAAGGAACTGCTGCAATGGCGATGGCGCCGTATGGAGGAAGCTTAGAGAGAAAATAGCGGACAAAAAAACCTCGCGATTATTCATTCGAAGACTATTTACTTGCTAACTTTTTGGATTTGAGCTTGGTTTAACATCGTCAGACAAGCTCGGGATTGGACCCAAAAGACAAATGTTGTGGCTGCGAACGTCACTCTCAACAAGCCGATTGGTTGGGAATAGGGCTGTTCATTTGGTTTTGGTTTTTTGGTTTTAACCGAAACCAAACCAATTGGAAAGCTAATGGTTTCAGTTTTTTGGTTTTAAACCAATAAGCAACTTAATGGTTTTGGTTTGGTTAAAACCGAAAAACCAATAGAAACCATTAAGAAACCAATAAGAATAAAATTCTTTATCAACAATTTTTTTTTTCTCTTTTGAAACGCATGCCAACCAATAATTTGTTATGGCCATTTACCATTATTATGACGTTTATTCAATAAAAAGGAGGGAAATAGGAATAAATATGAGTGTATGAGTACATGTTGGTTTTTTGGTTATCCAAACCAAAACCAATAAGGGCCTTAATGGTTTTGATTTTGGTTTTTGGGATTTGGTTTTTGGTTTTTCATACTTAATGGTTTGGTTAACCAAACCAAACCAAATTGACAGCCCTAGTTGGGAACCACCCGAGGAAGGTGAACGCAAATCCAGATCGATGGATCAGTCCACACCCACTCGGGGGAAAGCTGATGCATGTGAGCTTATTCGTAACAACCTTGGAAAATGCAACGGGGCCTTCACTTTGCAATCTCGGTGTGTGCTCTATTACTTGTGCAGAGTTGAAGGGAGCTGTCGAGGGGCTAAACCTGGCGTGGAAGGAAAGCTATAGGAAGGTGGATACCAACCTTGACCCCAACACGACACAAGCAACTATATATCAAGAACCGAAGCGATGATGATCACAGGCACGACCTTCTTGCTAGTTCTGTGAAACAACTTGTAAATCTCGATTGGGAGGTGCAGGTTAATCATTGTGGACATGGAGGCGACCTTCGTCGCTGATTACCTCGCGAATAGAGGTCATTGTTCTACTTTTGGACAACATTTTTTTTGATGTGTGCAACCCTACCTTTTAGACAGTAGATGTTGGACACTTCCATGAACGTTCAATTTCATATATGATATAGGTGCTTCTGCGATCACTCTTTCTTACCAATAAAAGAGATCCAAAATCGCCATTGGCAGTGTCATCATCAAAGGCTAAATTAAAATATTAACTCTATATCTCTCCCTAACGTCCTTTTCCTAAAGAAAATATTTTAAATGCTCTGATGGCAGCAGAAGTAGGAAAGTTGTAGAAAGTAGGAATACTATCAAGTTAGCAAAAGGGGCGGAAGAAAGAAAGGAATTATAAAAGCCAAACAAAAGCAGTCCAAGCCGGAAATACTAAAAAAGAAACAGTCCCAACCTGGGATTCTCAATACCAAACAAAACCCGACGGAAGATGAGATGGAATACAGATAAAATCACAAACAGCAGACAACTAAAACAAAAGGAAAAGCAATATTAGCAAGAGACGAGAATAGGATGCAATTTGAACACGAATGGCAATGGGATGGGTGTGGCTTACCTCAATACGTATTATGTACGGGTCAGGTAGGATAATATTTGTGGCTCTCTCAATACGAAACAAAAATCTGACGTAAGATGAGAGGGAATACGAATAGAATCTCAAACAGCGGATCACCAAAACAGAAGGAAAGCAATATTAGCAAGAGAGAAAATACATCAATATGTATTATGTACTGTTCAGGGCGGATAATATATGTGTAGGTACGAAGCGGGGTGATCCATTTTTATATGCTATTTGAAACAAAGAGTATAACAGGTACCCTTGATAGTTATATAACCCTTGAATGGAGTATAATGGGTGTCCTTGAATTGGGCTAATAGATATGTATCGGGTATAATGGGTACCCATACTACGCAAACGGGTGTTAGCGAGTAACTCGCAGGTATCCAATATTGAAAATTTCAATCCCCATATCACATCCAATAATAAATAATACGAGTATTTGGGTACCGGTCATAACCCTAAAAAAAAGGGACAATTATACCCAAATACCGATTTCCCGTTGTCCATCCCTATCCGAACCCTGAGCAGAGCTTGATCATGATCCGAAATGACCACCACATAGATCTACCACCGAACCCAGTGCTGACAGGTTTTAGATCGGCTGTGAATTTTACCCATACAATGGGTCGGGTAGGGGGACGGATAGTGCATATCCGTTACCCTACCCAAAGTAGTTCGGGTTTTATCAATACCCATACCCACATAAGAAACGGGTAGAAAATCCAAACCATGCCCATATCCATTCGGGTTTCGGGTATCCACGGTTATCCATTGGTAATAGTTTTCTTTATAACTCCAACCAATATGTTAATATTTACACATATTCTCACGTTACATAAGACGAAAAGTACAACAATAATTCACTAGAATGAAGAAAATTAATTAAAACAACACAATTTCATAAAAAAATTATATTTAGAGAAAAATATTATTTATTTCTAGACAAAATACATATGCATGTGTATAATCGGGCGAGTTCGGGTTGGATAGTGAGAAAACCATGTCCACCCATTACCGCAATATTTGAGTTCGGGTTTTACCCATATCCACTAAATGTCCTTCGAGTTCGGATTTTACTCTACCCGATTAAGTCGGATTCCGGCGGATATCCACAATTACGGATTTTTTTTTGTTAGAATGTTACGGACATTTTTGCCATTCTAATCGTAATTGAATTTTGCAAAAACAAAATTCTACCACTCGTGAAGTTGAATTTGGATTTAGAAAAATCCAACCGGAGCCTTTTTCCCATCCCAAGGAGCGCCCAAAAACCAGTTAAGGTTGGCCGGCGAAACTAAAAAGAGAAAAATTGTCGCGTTCCAGAGAACGGCAAATAAATCTCACCGTCGAGGATCTGCAATCTGCTGTAACTCGTAGCACAATCAATTGTCGTCACTCCCGGAAAAGGGAATCCGTCGGCCGGCCGAGTGCACTGCAACAGCACCGGTTGTTTTCTTTGTCCTTCCTTCTTGTCCTTCTTGCTAATTATTCGGCAGTCCGACGACTATAAATAGTAAGTGGTTGAGTACGGAATCGAATGGAACACCTTAAAAATGGAGAACATCAATCACCACCATTCTTCAGCTTCCCCAGCCTTCACACCAAGCCTGTTCTTCGATGAGGGCTCCTTCCCCGATTTCGCAATCATGGCGGAGCTTGACTCCCACAGTGGCTCCGAAGAGGGAGAATACGAAGAAGAAGAAGATGAGAAGCTCAACTATGACGACAACCAGACGCAGCAGAAGCAGATCTTCGATCCCGGAGCCTGGTTCGACACCCTCAAAACCCGCCTTTCTCCTTGCAAAATTGACCCCGAATCGGGCGCAGACGGCACCCGAGAGTTCTGGACCAACGAAATCATCAAGCTCGCCGGAGCCAGAATCTTACAATCCAGGTCGCCGGCGCAAGGAATCGACGTCCCCCACCTCCTCACCGGACTCACCCAGGAGGAATCCAATAACGTGGAGCTCATGGAGTACCTCCTCGAGTGCGCGGAGAACGTCGGGAAGGGGAAATTCGACCTCGCACTCCAGGTGCTCGACCTCTGCGACAGGTTCGCTTCTCAGACCGGCAGCCCGGTCCAGCGGGTCGGGTACTACTTCTGCAACGCCCTCCGCCAGCGGATCGAAGCCCAAAAGACCAGCCGCGGCGGCGGCGAATCGGTAGACGATCATCGGAAGCCGTTGGTGTCGGACGCGGCGGTGACGCTCCCGGACAAGAGCGTGATGGAGTACCGGAACAGCGTGCCGTTCTACAGCGCCTCCCAGCTCGCCGCCGTCCAGATCTTGATGGAGAATCTCGACGGAGAGAAGCGGATCCACGTGGTCGAGCTCCGGATCTGCTCCGGCGTGATGATGATTGCGCTGATGCAGGCTCTGTCGAGTTCCCCCAATTCGATCGAGATGCTGCGGATTACGGCTCTGGCGCACGACGCGACGGAGGAGCGGTTCATCCACGGGTCGGGTCAGAGGCTGGTAGGGTTTGCTAGAGGGATTGGGCTGCCGTTCTCGTTCAACGTGGTCCGGATCTGGGAGCCGCCGTCGGCGGCCCACAAGGACAAGCTGGGCCTTGAGCCCAGGGAAGCAACGGTGGTACTTTCACAATACGCCCTTAGCCGGATGGTCGCGAAGCCCAACCGGCTGGAGGCGATGATGAAGCTGATCCGGTCCATCCGGCCACGGGTGATGGTGGTCATCGAGCTGGAGGCGAACCACAACGCACCCGATTTCGGCCACCGGTTCGTCGAGACGCTGTTCACCGCCGGCGCGTACTTCGACTGCCTAGCTACTTGTATGGAAGAGAAAGAGGAGGCGAGGACGGTGATGGAGTCGTGGTACTTGAACGACCGGATCAGGAACATCCTGGTGGCGGAAGGGGAGAAGAGGGTTGTTAGAGATGTGAAGATTGGGGTCTGGCGGAAGTACTTTGCTCGGTTCGGTATGCTGGAGATTTCGGTTCGAGGGTTGGGTCTGCAGCACGCGAACCTGATGATTCGCAGCTCGCCATTCGCGGGTTCGTACCTGGTTGCTCTGGATCGCAAGAGCTTGATGATTGGGTGGAAGGATATGCCGCTGCTCTCTGTTTCTGCCTGGAAGTTTATGAAGGCAATACCTCACTAGCTATGGCGACAGAGCTGTTGTAATTTGAATGGCTGATTTTTTTGTTTTGATCTTTAATGGATGGTAGTGTGGCTGATGAATGATCCACTCGAGGCACGGGATCAGGTGCGAACATGGTAACGGGTTTCGACAGAGTGTCGTTCCTGTTCATCTGACGACGTTACGCTTCTCATGTCATTCAAGTAGGAATCAGACTACAGTTTGTAGTAGATGTATAACTGTAAACAATATGAACAAACTTTGAATCATAGGCCACCATAGTTGAGGTGTCGGAGATCAAGTGACCAATTAACCGAGGATGTGAAACAGTATCTGACCTTAACCATAAGCAACCTAAAAAATTCGAATCCAGCAGCGGAGCGCAAGCTAAGCCTTCTGATTTGGCTTACATCCACCATCATGTGGAAGGCATATTAGTAACGAGAAAGTTCGCCCATTGTCCTCCAGGTTGTCAAGAACGGCGAACCAGATCTGTGAAGCAAGCTCGTGGGCGCGGAGTCTCTGGAATTCCCACAGGCAATGAACTGATCTGCTCACACCATAACATAACCGTATTCATTCAGCTTTGCATAACTGTGCAGACAACCATAAGTGCCAATGAGTACAACAGGATTCATAATAAATCTTATTATACGCAATGGATGGAATGTTCCCTGACCCTTTAGACGTGCATGAAACATATCTAGGAGATGCATCTAGCGGCTAAGTGTGTCAAGTCTGGCTGTACAATAGCTTAGCTCAGTAAGAAACAAGTAAAAGATGTTATATTTGGATATCATATCATTGCTGGTGAATGACAACGTTGTTTTAGAGGATCCAAAATTGCCATTGGCACACAGTCACCACAGGCGTACAAAACATCTTCTACTCTCTCTGAGACTTCAGAATCTCTGTAACCCATGACAGATCTTGATGTTCTCAGGAGCCTTAATAGAACGTATGAACTCCGACGATCTAAACAGACAAGCATGGCATACACTAACTTATGAGCCAGAGCCCTGAATTACTGATTGCTAGGGACGTTGCAAATGTAAACTTATCAAAGCAAGCGGAGGAAGAGGTGCACCTGTTACTGTTCTGTGAAGTATGCCAGAAGGAGCTGTTCAAGTTGCTCTCTGATAATAGCAGCTTTGCCACAAGAACTCCCCGCGAAAATACATTAAGCCCACTGCAGGCTGACACAAGCCGATTCCACTAACGGTGGTCTGATGAATATTTCTATTAGAAGATGATCACGAAGCTCTCCAAGTGTATGTATTACTTAACGAGAGCGGCCAAAGGAACAAATAAATCTGGCCGTCGAGGATCTGCAATTCTGCTGTAAATTGTAGCACATCAACTGTCTTATTCCGTAAGGGAATCCGTCGGCCGGCCTGAGAGCACTCCAGCAACCGTGCTTGTTCTTGTTCTTACTTCATACTTCTTGTCCTTCTTGATAAATATTTCGACAATCCGACGATTATAAATAGTGGGTTGAGTAGAGAATCGAATGGATCGCACACCCTTCTCCGCAATTTTGCCAGAAATGGAGAACACCAATCACCTCCATGCTTCAGATTCCCCAGCTTTAACACCAAACTTTTTCTTCAATGAGGACTCCTTCCCGGATTTCGGAATCACGGATATGGCGGAGCTTGAATACCACAGTGGCTCCGAAGAGGAGCGAGAAGCAGAGGAAGAAGACGACTTTCACTACGACAACCAGCCGCAGCAGCAGCAAGTCTTTGATCCCGGAGCCTGGTTCGACATTCTCAAACACCGTCTCTCCTCCTCCCCTGGCAAGATAAACCGCGAATCGGCCGCAGATGGCACCCGAGAGCTGTGGGCTAACGAAATCATAAAGCTGGCAGGTGCCAGAATCATACAATCTCAAGGGATTGAATTCGACCTACCTTCATTGCTCGAGAATCCATTTCAACTCACCGGCGGCGGCGGCGATGATAGCGGCGGCCGTGATTCCACCGGACTTACCGAGGAAGAAGCCAAGAACGTGGAGCTCATGGAGTACCTCCTCGATTGCGCCGAGAAAGTCGGGAAGGGGAAATTCGACCGCGCCGCCGTTCCCCTCCGCCTCTGCAACCGACTGGCCTCCCAGACCGGCAACCCGATCCAGCGGGTCGGGTACTACTTCTGCAGCGCCCTCCGCCAGAGGATCGAAGGTCGCGGAGCGGCAGAAGACGAAGACGACGATCGGAAGCCGTTCGATTCCGACGCGGCGGTGACGCTCCCGGACAAGAGCGCGGTGGAGTTCCGCAACCGAGTCCCCTTCTACACCGCCTCCCAGCTCGCCGCCGTCCAGATCTTGATGGACAACATCGCCGGAGAAACACGGATCCACGTGATCGACCTCCGGATCTGCTCCGGCCTGCCGATGATTGCTCTAATGCAGGCTCTATCGAGTTCCGGCGATTCGATCGAGATGCTTCGAATCACCGCCATAGCACAGGACGCGACGGAGGAGAAGTTCATCCACGGGTCGGGTCGGAGGCTGGCGGGTTTCGCCCGAGGGATGGGATTGCCGTTCTCTTTCAACGTGGTGAGGATATGGGAGCCTCCCTCGGCCCACAAGGACAAACTGGGCCTCCAGCCCAAGGAAGCGACGGTGGTGTTCTCCGACTACGCGCTCGGCCCGATGATCGCCCGGCCCAACCGGCTCCACGAGATGATGAAGCTGATCCGGTCCGTCCGGCCGCGGGTTATGGTGGCGATCGAGACGGAGGCGAACCACAACGCGCCGGATTTCGGCCACCGGTTCGTCGAGACGTTGTTCACCGCCGGCGCGTACTTCGACTGCCTGGCGAGTTGTATGGAAGGGAACGAGGCGGCGAGGGCGGCGGTGGAGTCGTGGTACCTGAATGACCGGATCAGGAACGTGCTGGTGGCGGAAGGGGAGAAGAGGGTTGTTCGGGATGTGAAGATTAGGGTTTGGAGGAAGTATTTTGCGAGATTTGGGATGCTGGAGATTGGGATTCGAGGGCTGGCGTTGCAGCATGCGAGCATGGTGATTCGCGAGTCGCCGTTCGCGGGTTCTTGCTTGGTTGGGCTGGATTGCAAGAGCTTGATGATTGGGTGGAAGGATATGCCGTTGCTCTCTGTTTCTGCCTGGAAGTTTATGAAGGCAATGCCGCAGTAGCACAGAGCTGTGTTGTAATTTGGATTTACATTCCCATGCTCAACAAGCATACAAACAATGACTGTCTTTTGTTAGTGACTTAGAGCATCTCCAACAATGCAATCCTTCTTCAAGTGTGGTCCATACTGCCACCTAAGCAACTCTAGCAATTACTTCACTCATCAATTTCATACTAGCTACATCGATGTCATTCCAATGCAATTGCACCCTGGGTCCCACTTACATTTTAATACCACACAAATGGTTGTGAAAAGAAGAAAGAAAAACAAAAACAAACAAAGGACCCACTTGCAATTGCATGTCAGATTTTCATTGTGTGCAAATTTTCATCCCTTGAAAGTGGTCTTGCATCAATGTCATCCACTTTTTCAATTGCACATGGCTGCCACCTCAGCTTGCAATTCCCTCCATTTGCACCATTGGAGATGCTCTTAGTGCCATGGTTGAGTGGTTGATGCGTTAACCCACGTGCTGCTTGAGCGATAGCGGGGCTTTTTAAACCACTAGGGTGCCTGCATACTAATCGGGACTTTCTGCTACTAACATCGGGAAGGCGAAGGCTTCGCCTCCGATACCAAGAGTGTCGTCTGGAACGCTCAAGCGGTGCCACTGGGAATGAAACTCAGGACCTCCCACATCCAGAGCTCAATTGGTCCAGTGGTTTCACCACTAGGCTATGTTACCTTTGGCGATGAGAATGATTATTGCATTACAACATCAACTTTTTTAATTTCGAACTTCTTCCCAGCACTCTTCCGTTTCATCTCCAAAACGCGTTGAAAACATCTCGAATCTTTTCTCGATCAAGATATTATCCGCTTTGGGTCCAAGCCTATACGATTTTTTGCCTTGAGGTACATATGAAAGTGACTTTCCAGAAGGTGATTCGTCATTGTAGTCCTCTACAGTGAGCACGTTTAGTTTAAAAAGTCTTTCATTTCACTTCAAAAAATATTTTATCAATTGAAGTTGATTACTTGCTTATGAATCATATATATCTCTCTTCCACCGTTGCATATTGGGTACAAACCCTTCACAAAAGATAACATGAGCCGGAATATCTATGGGAAAATTGATAATAAAAAAAGGGTAAATACAATTTAATATCCAAACCTTTTATTTTAAACAATATAATAGCCAAACCTTTTCGAAAACAATCTAATATCCAAATCGTCAACTTTCTGTCTGTTTGAACGTTAGTTGACACTTCAAAAAAGTTCGAAGTACGACACTTCATCAATACCCATCGATATCTTCTCTGAAAAAACACCAACATATCGTAGTTCCAAACCCGTGAAGTCCATGACTCCACCATGATGATATAGAATATCTAAATATTCAGTCATCTGCAATGCCAAAACAAGAAACAAAGTTGTATTGTGATAATTTCCCCTAAACAAAGCTTTTATGAAGTGTCAACTAACGATCAAACGAACGGAAAGTTGACGATTTGGATATTAGATTGTTTTCAAAAAGATTTGGCTATTATATTGTTTAAAATGAAAGGTTTGGATATTAAATTGTATTTACCCTAAAAAAAAAACTGGCCAAATGAGAGCCTCTCATAACGTGCATAGATCATCACTTGGAAACGAAGCCTTTCGTCCTTCCCTGTCCCTGCCCGCAAATTCTCAACTACCACTTCTTCCAATTCCCCTCCCTCCGCCATTCTTTCTTCTTTATCATCTCTTTCTTTCTGTTGTTACTACACTCATCTGCTAGACTGCCACCCAACCCGCAAAACCTCACTTTTTCCCGCCCCTTCTTTCTCTCTATGATCGGCGCTGCGGGATCCAATCCAGTTAAGACTCATTTCTGTATCTATCGGTTTCAGCTCGTCTTTCCTTCATTTCTCAGCTTGCAGCTTTCGACCATTTCTCCCCCGCTTTTCTTGTCCTTTTCACTTCTAGCCCCCCTGTCCTTTCTGGGTTCCTTTTGAATTCCGTCCCTTGCGGCGAAATTAAGCTAATTAAGGTCCCGAAAACCCAATAAATTTTGGTTTTTTTTTTTCTCTTTTCTTGATCAATTGATTTCTGGGCTAGGAGGTGCTCTTCCTGTATGTAATTGTAATGGAGTAGTGCTTCGTGTTTAATATTGCTCTGTTTGTTATGGAGATTACCTGGAAAATTATGATCTTTTCGTTGTTTGTTGATGATCAACCAATGCATTCTTTATCATCACCCTAATCACCAGCTCTTTCAACTGCTCCTGATTGAATATGTCTATTGCAAGAGTTGCCCTCTTTCCTTGCTCTAGTGGTTCCTTCAGCTCTCAGTACTAGCCTCTCAAACGGCAATGTTTGTTGGGGGGAAGCATTATTGAGATTGAGAAGGAGTGAAGTGAAGAAATACCGGTATATGAAGAAAACCTGTACCTTTTCTTTTCTGGGTCGAGCATGGTTGAAGATGGTGCTCCAGTTCTGACATGTTTTTAGAGGCTTAAAAGTGTCAGATCAACCCACAAGTGCCAACTCTTTGTGACTGTCCATGAATTGATCATGGTTCCAGCTTAACTGTGTTGGCCTTTGAGGGAAATTTTTTTCTTTCAACGGTCTATCTATGCCTGTGCAATTTGGTTGGCTGTTTTCTAGTTTTGACTTCTGGGAATGAAATCCTGACTGAGGGACATACGACCGTGATATTACTAGGCAGGAAGCTTGTTTGCACTCTATTTAGCAGCAGAGTCTAGAGGACTAGGGATAAGCTTAATCAAATAGGCATTGTGGTGTGTTCTCACTCGCTCTGAAAGATTACTCTTGGTTCTTTTCTCAACCAAATAAGAAGATAAAAGTGTCGGTTAGTCTAAGTTATTATATGGACCTAACAGCCACCTTGTTTACTTGAAGTTTGTTTGTTAGGAATTAGGATACCCTGTGCCAAATGAGAACTATGCAGTTGTGGAATCTTGTATTTTTTTTCTTCATTTTTTGCTGTTGATTCCAGCAAGAAGCTTTCTCTTGACTTCTTGGCTTATGTTATCCGTCCACACCCTATTATTTATGGCCTTGCTCCATCAAACCAGTGAAATTTCTGCCTGATTCTATAATGTCTGAACTTCACACTTCATCATCTTGCTAGCTCCTCTGCTATTGATGGTTTTATTCTCCACCTGTTTCATGATCAAGCTTCTTTTTTCCGTGGTTGATTTTTGCAGGCTTCTGATGGGCATGGCAGATAATACTGGCAATGACATTGTTGTATATGTTAGTAATACACTTGGAGAGCTTCCTGATCATCTGCTAATAGAAATATTCATCAGAATACCGTTCGTGGAATGGGTCCAGTTGGCTTGTGTAAGAAAGCAGTGGGCTGATATATTTCGTGGGGAATGCTTGTGGCAAGCTGCTATTATCAGAACATTTCCCTTTGCTGCTCTAACTAAAAGATGGCCTGGGCCGATACCCCAAGGGTTGAGCAAACGGTACATCTTATTCTTTTCAGTTCCCATTGCAAATTATTCTGAAAGTGTTCTTTTCTTGTCATGAACTGATGGTCGATCTTGAGAGCTATTTAAGAGTAACTTTTTTGTTTCTGTAGCTGCTACCCTTATTCCTCCTAGCGTCTAACCAATATGTATTGCCCATGCAGAAATGGGAACCAGCAGGATTGCTACTTTCAGTATTTGAGATTTTTCATGCTGAAACACGTGCATGTGTATTTCCCTAGACATTGCGTACCAGAATGCCATTTGAAATGCGTCACTGCTATGATATTGAACTAAATTATACTTTTTTCTTGTCATTTAAAACTCACCTCTAGTGCATTCTATGCATCAGGAGATATGCGGCTTTGCATGTAAGTAAACACATCTTTGGCAAGATCGACGAAATTGTGGGTCATACTTACTTGTTCCTCAGAGAGCAACTTGAACGTTCGCATGTGCCACCTCCCTCTGGCATACTTCACGGAACAATAATAGGTTCACCTTCCTCCCCTTGTTTTGATTACTTTACATCTGCTACTTCCCTAGCAATAAGTAATTTAGTGCTCTGGCCCATAAGATGGCGTATGCCATACTTGTCTGTTTAGATCGTTGGTTGGAGTTTATATGTTCTATTAAGGCTCCTGAATATCAAGATCTGTCGAGTTACAGAGATTTTGAAGTCTTAGAGAGTAGAAGATATTCCGTTCGCCTGTGATGACTGTGCTAATGGCAATTGTGGATCTCTAAAACAATATTATCATTCACCAGCAATGATATCCAATATAACATGTTTTACTTATTTCTCAATGACCTAAGCTACTGTAAGCTAAACTTGACACTCTTAGCCACTAGATGAATAACTGAGATGTGTTCAATGCGCGTCTAAAGGTCAGGGAACATTCCTTTCATTGCGTATAATCAGATTTATGAAGCCTATTGTAATCATTAGCACTTATGGTTGTCTGCACAGTTATGCAAAGCTGAATGAATAACGTTATGGTGTGAGCAGATCAGTTCATTGCCTGTGGAAATTCCAGAGATACCGCTCATGAGCTTGCTTCACAAATCTGGTTGGCCGTTCTTGACAATCTGGAGGAAAATGAGCACACTTTCCAGTTACTTAAATGCCTTGCACATGAAGGGGATGTAAGTGTTGTTGTTCCACTCAACATTTTCCCCTTAAATTTTGCATCAGCTTCAAGCAAAACACGATTTCATTTGGCTATATGCCTACTAGCTGCAACAATTTGAAACTCGAAGCATCATGCTTTTACGACACTTTGGTCTTCTCCTCTTGCCCTCTGCAGGTTTTCCTTCCTTATCCATACACGAAATCCGTAAAGGTACAGTGGAGGGTGTTTGAGAAGCTGTTCACCGATTTCCGCGATTGTTTCAATCATTCGGAGTATTATGAGGCCCTGGCCTGTGCAAAGAGCAGGTTCCAGCCGATCCCATCTGCTTGGTTGGGTTATTGAATCCCCCGGCTAGCCATCCGCTGCAAATTATTCCCAGTCTCAGTGCTGCCATCTCCAGTGTGAAAGTTGTACTTACCTGTATATACAAGTGATGAGCATGTGAAGAGAAAATGCAGCACTGCTCTGTTGTGTTGTTAATACCCTTTCTTACTGGTTTGGTGGCCGGCTTTCAGAAAAGGGCAAACTCCGGTTACCTGATCTGCCGTCCAGTCATTCTCTCTCGTTCCCATTGTAATTGTTCATTCACCTTGTAATTATAGCGACGACGTGATTGTATCTATGGGTTATACATGCAGTAAGGTACTTGTAAATGTGCATTTGCTCCTTTACATACAGTAAGCTATGAGTATTCCAACAAACCTTAGTAGCAAAACAAGCTCTGTTCAACCAACAATTCTTTCTTTTGTCTATTTTGTGATTTGGTTTGAAAAGGTCCGGTATATTCTGGTATCTGGTGGGTAAATGCCACATTTTGTCACTAAAATTACGAAATCATGTCATGTTTAGTCACTAAAAAATTTTAATATCAATTTTGGTAAATCGAATTACTGAAACTGATCACATTTAGTCACTCTCCTGTTAGTTTTCGTCCAACTCCATTAATGGAGCTGGACATAAACTAACGGGAGAGTGACTAAATGTGACATGTTTCAGTAATTCGAGTGATTAAATGTGACATGTTTCAATAATTCAAGTGACCGGAGTTGGACAGAAGCTACAAGAGAGTGACCAAATGTGACCAGTTTAAGTAATTCGAGTGACCAAAATTGATATTAAAATTTTCTAATAGTAATCTCAGTGACCAAATGTGGCATTTACCCCGTATCTAGTTATTTATTTTGGAATATTTATGGCAAAAAACAAAAAACTAACCTTCATAGTCTAGTCATGTAACCGCTTGTAAATGCTTTCCGAGGTTGGAAACTAGATAACCTAGTTACTTACGTTGTGTCATTTTCGTATTTTACAAAACGAGTATTTGCAATGAGGCAATTTTAACATCGTTTCAGTACAGTTAGAAAACATAAGGAGCAATTGGATTTAGCGAATTCATAATTACTCCATTTTGAGACAATTATAATTATCTGTGACGTAATTTTAATTTTTTTTTTCCGTTACAAACTCATTGTGTAAATTAAGGCAATCGACCTAATTACACATCATTCTCAAATTTCTCCATCCAAATAATTCCCAATTGCGTCATTCCCAAAATTCTCACTCCAAACGATCCTAATTGCCTCAAAATCAACCGATATTTTATTTAACCAAATGGTACAATTGAACTAAAATTTCCATTAAATTCCTCTATCGGTTTATCCAAACCACCTCTAAATTATTCGGATCAAATTGTGTGATCTTGTTACAGTGTTCCAGTAATTATACTTTTCCTTTTGACCGCAATCTCTGGTCTGATCAAAGGAGAATGAAATTTGGAGAATTGGTCGGCAGTCGGTCGGTCGGTCCAACTCCAAGGCGTCCGTTTTCCATCCTGTCCTGTTTCCTTCCACCCTTTGGGTCCTTCCGCTTGCCTTTCCCCTAATCCCATTCCCCTTTCCTTCCCCATCATTTGACTTTGAGCCAGGCGCCAGCGGAGAACCCTAGAACAAGGTTCGCAGAAAGAAAGGACGAGCAAGAACAAGAAACACCATTTTCAGAATCAGAATCGGATTGTTCTGCAGCTTTGGGGAAAAGGGGGGGAAAGAAAAGAAAGAAAAGCGAAGAGATTTTATGGCGAATGCTGAATGCCATTTGAATCTCTTGTGGATCCATTTTGAGTTCTTCCCAATTCCCTTCAGGTTAGACATCTCCCTCCCTCTTATCTCTCTCCCCGCGGCAATCCTTGGTTTTGCTTTCTGTCCTTCCTCGATTGAGGCGAGGCAATGGTTTCAGGGAGAGAGCGATGCTTGTTTGTTGTACAGGTTTGGAGATTTAGATTCAAGATTTTCTGGTTCCTCTGTAATTTTATTGCTTGTGGTTTTTTTTACCCAATTGGGTATTAGACTCGTGTTCTATTCCCTTCAGGCATGCCTGACGGGGTTTTCGTCTTCGGTTGGCTTGTTTTTGGATGGAAATAGAGATATCCTAGCTTGGTCCAGCGCCAATAGTTGGAATTTTCGTAGAAATGAAAAAGCTTTTGCCTGTTTTCGCAATCATAATCATTCGCCTTGTTTGGACAATTTCCCAATTATGATTTTGGGGATGAGCAGATTGTTAGTTGTGATAGGAATATGAGCTCTAGTCCATTTGTATTTGGGATTCTGCTCGCACTATCGGTAAGCCAAGATATTTGGATTCTTTGCTTTGAATCAGCCCTCAGGACGGAAAGTGCACCAATATTGCCTATCCTTTTGTGCATAGCAACAAATGGAATCTCTAGATCCTGCTTGCACCATTACTAAACAAATATGAAGCGGGATAGCTGTAGCTATACTATATTCTGCGTCTTTGAAATCAGCATCACCCATACCTTTGTTCATCCTGTTAATCACCAACAATGGTTTTCTTCCCTATAACCCCATTTCCCGTGACTTTGTTAACTGTGTTTCATCATGCATAAGTGAATCTAGTGATATGCTTAGGCTTGTAATTTCCTCTGATTTCCAAATAGGACAGTATATGAGGGAAATATTTGATTGAAGACTCAATGGACACCTTGTGTAATTACTAATATGGTTTATTGTATTTATACCCTTAGTATGCGTTCTCTTAAATGTTTCCTTTCCTTTTTTTTTTCAGATTCTGGAGTCACTACTGAGATGTTCAGTCAGAAGTATAGGGTCTGTGATGATGCATGCATTTTAGTACCAATTCAACATTGTCCGCAATGCAATTAGTATCACATGATAGTCATAACGAAGACATTTCAGAAAGTGAACCCATCTTGTCCCATTCTGATACTTCACCACAGGTTGATGGATCATCCTCTTCACGTGATATCACTACATTAGAACGAGATAGTGATGTCCATGGCGATGATTTCCAAAGTGTTTTCATAGATGAAACTTGCCTTCTGGTCAACTCGGACCAGCCACAATGCCGTATATGCCTTGATTGTGAAGGTCTATCTATTATGCCATTTCCCTTTTTGTTTTAGAATATTTTTATCCCAGTATGGTTGCATTCGGGCTTGCTGCTCTATTTCTGAATATGATTTGTGTTCGTCAATGCTAAAGCAAGTGCTCACAATTTCAGGTGATGACTTAATAGCTCCATGTCATTGCAAAGGCACTCAAAAGTATGTCCATAGATCATGTCTAGATAATTGGAGGTCCACAAAGGTAAATTGTTGTTCATATGTTTTTTCATGGTCCACTCAAAAGTATGTCCATAGATCCTGTCTAGATAATTAGAGTTCCTGGTTTTTGCTAGTTATCATTGCACTTAAAAATTTGAAGATAGTAGTTCTTTCAGAATGATGAATATTCAAGAACTGTAACTTCAGAGTCTGGTTATGAGCAACTGAAGCTTTGATTAACTTCACTCCATAATTGTTACAGGAGGGCTTTGCTTTTGCTCACTGTACTGAGTGCCGGGCGTTATTTGTACTGCGTGCAAATGTTCCTCCTGACCGCTGGTGGTTGAGATTGAAATTTCAGTTCCTTGTTGCCCGGGACCACGCGTTCATTTTTATTGCTGTTCAGCTGGTATGTTGATGATTTTTCTCATCTTTCTTTATCAGATTTGAAATATGGTTTCAAGTGCATCTTTTGGTCTTTTTTCTGATTCCGGGAAAGGATAATGAATTGGTTCTTTTCCTGATTGATCAAAATGTGAATTCCTGAAATGCTGATTATCAGAATTGGGTTACCATTTGCTGAAACTGATGCTATACTGCTCTTTTATAGCAGCTAAGTTAATCGAACTTTATTTCGGCTTACAAGGGTATGACAACAGTGGAGATGGGTAATTTGTAAGGTTCTTATGCGTTCAAGTTAAAAGCACCTAGAAATCTAATTGTTTACTTAAGAAAATTGTTATGTTACTTCTCAGTGTTACGCTTGCATTTTCAACTTTAGAACTTGATTATCTTGTCTCGAATTTCTTAAAGTATGGATGAACCTGTGGCAATACCATTATGATACCTATTGCCATTGTTGGATGTGAGTTGATGTGTGATTCATCCTTCTCAGCTGTACCATAAAGTTTTTTTTGTCTTTTTGAGATGGCATCACTTGACATGCATTCCTACCATATAGCAGCCTTTCAAGGGTGTAAAGAGTTAATTAAGTATTGGATTGTGCAGATTGTTGCTATTTTGGGGGTTCTGGTGTACAGATTTTATGGAGAGGAACTCAGAGAAATGTTTGGCTACGAAGAGCATCCTTATGGATTTTACACTATGGGGGGTATGTACTCTAAAGTAATATCTGCACGTGTGAATTTTTCTATCGAATATTGTAAGAGTGTGGATGTCTATCCTGGGTTATCATTTTTTATTTGGATTTTCTGAATCATCAGATATGTCTTGTCTTAGATTTTGAGGATCCGTGTTTACTGGCTCTTTTCTTTGTCACCTTATAACAGTTTTGGCTATTGTCCTTGTGGGCTTGCTCTATGGTTTCTTCATTGCCATAATATGTGGTCAAAGGATTAACGAGCGCCATTATCATGTCCTTGCCAAACAGGAGCTAACAAAGGTATGCCAGTTAACTTGTAGTGCCCTTTTGTCATGCTCAATATGTTGTTGTGACCTACTTTCTCTTTTGCCTCTTGCCACATGTTTACCTCTACAAACCTCATTCAACAATGGTAGTAGTGAATGGTTAAATGAACAGTCATCAGCATGCTAAATTGATAGAATATGGTGAACTGAAAAAGTTAGCAAGCAGTTTTAACAGAGATGTGAACATAGCTGTTTTCAGGTTTGGCACGTCTCTTTTCTGTCATAGGTATCTGTCAAACTGGCAGGCTAGTCCTGCCTCCTCTGAGATCTGGGAAGGCTACGTCTGGTTTGGTATCAACGTACAGGCACAACAGCAGGACGCGCTATTTTCTGTCTCTTCTAGTTTGGGAGTAGATTGTGGTTTGGGAATAAGCAAGCTACATAGAATACCATGCATGCACTAGACTTCAGACGAGCATAAATATATAATATTGTTGTCATTTACGATATGAATTTGCATTCAGTTTGTTAGCTGGCTGTAGCTTAAAAGAGATTCAGCCTTCCATATCTTTATCCTGTTTTCTTGGTATGAGAGAGCAGTTATGTTCTCCTCCATATAACTTGATTCTAGCAATGTCAATGTGGTACTTTTTGCAATGTCAGGAATACGTGGTGGAAGACCGAGACGCAAGCAAGAATGTGACTGAACTTGATCCAAGCCACGTTACAGAGCTCCAGATGTTAGGCCTCTTCTAATTTGGAGGCTCCTCTCGTCTCGGTAAGTGGTTTCTGGCATCTCACGCTGACAGTTGGTGCCTCGTTCCTTGAAACGTTTCGAGACTGCAATAATCGTGCTGTGCTTTCTGCTGCATGAACTGTTATAAGACAAAAACAAGGAGATTTGATTAGCTTACATTCTCCTCTCTTTCTAGTCTATCTTATATTAAGTCTGCCGTCACCAAATTTTCAGGTTCTTCATGATGCTAGTGCAACCCTGGTGATGTAGCTTTCGAATTCCACCATACTTCCTCCTCGTTCTGTATATGGATGCTGCACAACAAATAGGATCCAGGTCAGGCCCTGCTGTTGCCTACTATATATGAAACGTTTTCTCTCGGCACAAGTATCTCAATCAAAACCTGCACAGTTGACAACCGATGCGACTGGTTTTGTTTCGTTTTTTTTATTTTTTATTACATCCTTTGTTTTTGCTTCGGTGACTTCTGAGTTCCAGCAAACAACAGAAGAGAAGTACAGTAGAGCTCATCCATAGTATATGGAAATGGGAACTTTCTTTTGTTTATAAATTTGGACAGAGCTTTTTTCCTTTACATTTTTAATTGTACATAGTTTTGCAATCAAGATTCAGGATCAGGAGATAGTCTGTTGAGCGTTGTTTGTTTGCTGAACACAAAAAAAAAGGGTTAATTCTCTTATATCCTGTTAACTTATATGTTAATTTTCTGATCCTGTAAGTAAATCACACTATCATGGATCAAACCCTTCTTATTGTGCCTTTGAAATTGCCACTAAGCTATCATGTACAGCTTAAATTGTAATTATAATGTGAATGTTGAATCCTTATTTAGGTGTGGGATATGTTACCACTTGGCATATGACATGGTTAAACCCTAAATCAAAATTTATTTATAACGTGAGATGTAGAGAGCACACTTATACTTACATTGACTTTGACAACAAGGTATTTAATTTTGTTGAAGATGTTTTATTTGTGTACAATAATCAAATGAACTCGGCATAAATTTTTTGTCAAATAATATGGATATACCAAATTCTCAAACAAACAAAATTTTTGTTATACTGTCAAAATGAGAGAATCCACGATCGACTACAAACACAGGTAGAACGATATTTGTAAGATGACTACGAAAGACAAGCACAATGATATATTTAAGATGTCTTGGAAAATGGAGGATTTGAAAAATGTTTGTTTGAGCCAATGTAGGATGATGGAAACCAACTTCGCTAGGGTTTCTATATTTATTATTATAATTACTAATATGGTAATTCTTATTATGGTTAGTAGTATTCAAGTAGGATTAGGATTATTAGCAGGGTTTTCCTATATTCACTATAAATATGTACTAGGCCTATTCATTCGGAATCAATAAGAAGAATACTAAGAAACACTCTGCTAACCCCTATTCTCCCAATCCTCTCAATTCTCGTTCCCAATCCCTTTAAAGACCTAGGCCGATTCTCTATCCTTCTCTTCTCAAATCCCTAATTCCCAATCTCACGACCAGACCCGATAGAACCCTAATACCAGGTTCTATCATAGTCATACCACTATATATGAACGTGATTTCATACTCAAGTATTAGGGTTGGGAATCTAGACCAAATCGTATGAAAAATGGCGGTCGAGATCGTATCGTATGGTTTGGTCTGGACCGTGAGACCAAAACTGTGGTCTGGTCTGGTTTGCAGTCTCATTCTTTACTGTGTGGTCTGAAGTACTCTGGACCGCGGTCTACCGCAGTAAACCATAACAGACCGTGACACACTACCTACTAACTCGTACCAAAATAACACTAAATTAAACCTATATTGAAGAACAAAGTTAGTTGATTCTTCATCCAGTTGAGAGCCAACAGATTGCCCAAATGCTCGCTTATTCGTTATCTCTTTATCAAAGAACCACACAAACACTAGAAAGATTCATAAAAAAATATTCACCGACAATGTTTATACTATGGATCGATAAAATATAAAGACGAGAAAAAATTCATTCACCTTGATGAGATAAGAAAAATTAGTGAGAGATAAGCGACCATCTTAGTGGTTCAAAACGACCTCGGCGTCATCACGAAGGTGATAAACCGCGAGAACCTTGGAATCACCTGAGAGAGAGAGAGAGAGAGAGGGAAGCGTTAGCACAAAGAGGAAGAGGGAAACAAGGCTATTTGATGTGAGTTTTTATTTAATGGATACTGGATAAAGTCGTGGAGACTGGAGAGGGAGTTTGAAAATTGAAAAAGTCCACTTCTCTCCTTATATATTTCTTCTCGTTTTAATCACTAAATTTTTGTTTCACTAGCATATTGGTCATTGTACTTTTTATTTTTATATATACTAGTGAAAGGCTTGGAGGGCTGGATAAGAGCGAACTTTTTTAACATGGTCTGCCTGGTCTAGACCGTACCGCACCGCATAGACATGGTCTTTTCTAGACAGTATAGTATATGGTTTGGTCCATGGTCTATGTTCCAACCACTCGCTCTGGACCACATATTGTATCTATGATCTGATCTAGTCTGATCCGAACCGCACTGTTTACCACCCCTACTACCAATGACGTAAGTAATAAGTGATTAGCATTTATGCCAAATTATCTTAAGCATAAAATTATATTTTTCGTCTTTCGTTCGACTTTCAACGAGCTGGATATAAAACTAGTTTCTTATGCAAGAAATAAAACAAACCATAACAAACACAGCTCCACCTATCCTCACTTTCCAACTGCAAGCACAAACGTTACCCACGTTGCCCCCCGCCGCCGCAGGGTTAGGCAGCAGTAGCAGTGTAGCACCGGCAATTTCCAAACCGCGCCACCGCCATTATTTCCGTTTCCCGGCCAATCCTAACCGTCCCTAACCTCCGTCCTCGATCCCAACCCTCCAATTTTTCTCCTTTATCCAACCGCTCCTCTCCCTATTTAACCCCCCAAATTTTATCTTCGCGTCCAGTTTCTTCTTCCCTGTTCCTTTCTCCACACTCCAGAGGAAAACCAACCCCATCCATCGTCGCCAATGGCTCGCTCCCTTTCGCTATCCTCTTCCCGCACTTACCTCGCAGCGGCGGCAGCTTCCAGATCTTCTTCCTCCTCCTTCCGCTGCCTCGCCCTCCGCTCCAACTCCAACATCCCCAACAACAACGCCGAGCCCGCGGCCGCCGATGAATCCGCCGATCCCCTCGTCGGAAGGCTCGAGGACGCCATCCACCGCATCATCGTCCGCCGCGCCGCCCCCGATTGGCTGCCTTTTCTCCCCGGGACTTCGTACTGGGTTCCTCCCGCTAGATCTACCGCCGGATCCTACGGGATTGCCCGGCTCGTCGAGAGGCTTGCGAATCCATTGACGGAGGAGGAATCGCTCTCCGGTTCCACCGTCCGCGGCTGGCCTTCCTCGGATTATTTCATCAAAGGTAATCGAGTTTTGGAATTCGCATTCGATTTCTGTATTTCCCTCTCTCGGTTTCTAGGGTTAGGTTTTCTTCGTGTGTCTCTGTTCGTGATTGGGGATTATGTTTTATCTTGATCGGGGATTCAGTTTGGCTTCAATGGTGATTGCTTCGATTACCCTTATGGCAAAATGAGATTCTTATGTGCCTCTTTGGTAATTCCCCCCCAACATCCCTTGCCTGAGAAATCTTACAGCTTCAGGAATGGGAAGAAATCCAGACATCTTTAAAGTTGGTGCTTTTCAAAACAGGAAACTTCGATAATGTAAATGGGAGGCTTTGTGACCTACAACTTCATTGTTGTATGTAGTACTCTGCCTGCTCTCTGTCTTTGTTTTCGCTGATGGTGTCTGAAAGGCCTTCCTTTATTATGTTCTTCAGCTGGTTTTGTATTGTTTGGGAGGAAGACGTTCTGCAACTTTTGTTGCCATTTCGTGGGGGGTTTTCTTTTAACATTCTCCCTTTCCTGCGTCTTCCAGGTGCCAGCTTCGGACAGCTGCCTGTAGATAGCTTGCCGGATGAAGTAGAGAAGGATTCAACTCCAGACGAAGTCAAGACCGAGGAACCGTCGAGTCACGCCCCTAAATCTGAGACGGAGGAAGGATAATTGATATGATGGGTTGTCGCATCTCGGTGAGCTAGATATTCTTCATTAGATTCATCTCTCTCTCTCTCTCTCTCTCTCTCTCTCTCTCTCTCTCTCTCTCTCTCTCTCTCTCTCTCTCTCTCTCTCTCTCTCATAGATACACACAATACAAACACAGAGTCACATTCAGACAGGCACGCTAGAATGGGATGCCATATTCGATTAGTTTGTGGTTTAACGTATGATATTCGGATGTGTATTATCATATTTGTGCTTGTGCATCGGTTTATCCTGATCAAAGTCTGAAGTGATGTGTTTATAAGTTTCTCTGCACAATCTACATGGAATGAGAGCTTGAGCTTCAGTGTTCATCGGTTTATAAAATTGCAACTGCTTTTGTTACTACGAGGGCGTGGTAGATTGTACATATTTGACCTACAAGCACGAGAAAGTGATTGTTTGAGATGATCTGAGATGAATCTATTAGCCTATTGATGCACCAGCTTATCAGCTTTCTTTGAACAATATGGCACACTGCTGTTTTTTGACAGAGGCTCGTCCGGATTTGGAACTTCAGTGTAAATCAAACAATGGAAAGGAAGCGGGAAGAAGCTACCTTTTTTGAAGGTAACAATGGTGATAAAAGAACGAACGACCAATTTGGAGGAGGAGCTGTACAGATGCAAAACCCTGGTGGAGGTTTTAATAATTTGATCTTCCAGTTGGTGGCTGTGTAGTAGTTTGGTAAAGGATTGCCCGCAGTTTCATTGTATGTAGCAAAAAGTTGAAGAAGATCCATCATCCATAATTATGGTTATTCCCCGTTATAATGCTAAGACTGGAAGCCTTCTCTGTATCTTTGCATGTACATATGTTTTCACAAGCCCAAAATATAGTACTGCTGTTTTCTCTTTAACGTATCAATGTTTTCCTCCCAAACCTGCAGATTGTTCCTCAACGAGTTTGAAGGTGGTAGAAATGAATTGAATGAGGTTGGTGTTCAACCTTCTAAGCTATGTTTGGCTTGAAAAGTTCAGGGAGATGATTACATTCATCGATCAAATCATAGGTCTAAATAGAGAATATATAGTTCGATGGTGTCTATCTAGGGATGTTCAGGAGATGGTGTTGGATTATTAGGTTTGGTGGGACAGCTCGTGAGGATTAGTGTTGGTCGAGTTTTTGAGCAGTTTGAGGTTTGATTTGTTAATGGGTTAATAGCAAGGTTGGTTACTGAGATCACTAAAAACGTTCATGTTTGGTCACTAAAAATATTTAATTTCATTTGTGGTCACTAAAATTAGTTAAATGATTTAAGTTTGGTCACTCTCCGTCCATTTCTGTTAAATTTTGCTTACGTGGTAATCAACCCGTTAAATGATTTAAGTTTGGTCACTCTCCGTCCATTTCTGTTAAATTTTGCTTACGTGGTAATCAACCCTCATAGTTGACTGTTAAATGAGTGACGTGACAATTAAAATATTAATTAATTTTTTTTTAAAATCTTTTCAAATTTCCACCTCATTATTGCAACCATTAAAAAAAATTGAAAATTAATTTCTTTTAATCCTCGCTACCAGGTAGGAATGGCAATGGGGCAGGTCCGGGGCGGGTATCTTGATACCCATACCCGCCCCATGGCAGGTCGGGTCCAGGTCGGGTAATTTATCACGGGGCGCGGGTCGGGGCAGGTCGACCCATTGTGTATGTAATTTATGCAAAAAACATTAGAAACATTCGTATTCATTAAAAGACCAAGAAAGAAACCATAATATGATAAAATGTAGTTAAATTATTGAAGAAATTGAGGTTTTCACTTATTTACAACTTTATTATAGCTAAAATATAATGTAATAAGAGGAAAATCATAAGTAATTTGACTAATATTATATGTAATAATGGCAAGAATGGGTCGAGAATGGGGCGGGTCAGGGCAGGTCGGGTCGATGAGAGGTACCCATGCCCGCCCCGCCCCGCCTGCGGGGCGGGTTTGACCTGCCTCAAAACAGGTCAAACAGGTCGGGTAAATCGTGTCAGGTCGAAATTGTCATCCCTACTACCAGGAAGCACCCCGCCGTGAGCGCCGTCGGGGAACGTCAATCAAAAGTGTCAGAACAGAAGCGTGCAATCGACAATCAAGATCAACACAAGCGAACACAAATTTAACGTGGTTCACTAACAAAATGTGTGCTAGCTAATCCACGGGGAGGGGAGAACAAATTTCACTAATTTGAGGAGAGTACAGGTTACAAACCAAATTTCAAACGGACAAACCAAACAAACTAACTCGACTGACCCTTACTACAAACTAGGGTGATGAAGAGTATTTATAGAACTCTTCTCCTAATCCCAAACAGAAAACCAAACACCTTTTCCCCAAACATATAAGGAAAAAAGTCAAACAAAACCCAAAGTCAAATCAAATTCAAGTCATATCCTAACAAAAAGAAATTACCATTTCCCGGTCAAATCACAGTGGAAACACCCCGCCGCAGCTGTTCCTCGTTCCCGGTTGGCAGTAGACCTGGTAAGCTCCGACGAGCTGGACGACGATGGCGACATTGGCAATGTCGAGGAGCCAGTATGGTTTGTAGAAGCAGAATCCGGTCAGGAGGTTCTGTCACGACCTTACTCTCGATCGTGCGGCCCTAGCTCTCAACTCCGTTAGAGCGCTAGACAGCCTTTCTCTCAAACTCACAAGCAAGCAAAGACAAGAACAAAGACAAAGGATTGGGAGAACTCTCTAGTGTGTATTACTCTAAAAAATGATGGAATGAGTTACAAGTGAGGGAGATGGCTCCTTATATAGGCCTCTCCTCATACAAGGCATCAATGCCCCTCATAATGGTCCCTCTACATCAATACACCCCATAAAGTCCCCCCATAATGCACTCTAATAATGCTACCCATAATGTAGCCCATAAGTGCACCATTAAGCTCTCATTTAGGTGGAGAATCCTAGGAGCATCTCTATGCTACTAGTCTTCCATGCATGCCACATGTGCAGCCGCCTTGTTGTCACCTTGTTGGCGCCATGTCATCTGCCACATGTGACAGTTCCTGGGGATTGGTCGCCGAAGGCTGCGTAGCCGAAGCAGCCGCAGAGCATGTAGAAGATGGTGGTTACGACAATGCTGACTAGTGATGCTTTCTTCATCGTCTTGGCTTCCGATAGCGGGGCTTTGATCGTGTCCTGAAATTGCCAAAACCATGGAGTTTTAGATGCAGAAACAGGGGAAATGAAGAACCAAGGGAAGTATAAAAAACAGGGGAAATTGTTATTAGTGTTATGTAGTACCTTAATTTTTGTTGATTGACGTTCCCCGGCGGCGGGGTGCTTCCAATGGTAGCGAGGATTAAGAGATATTATTTTTTCAAATCTTTAATATTTTTAATGGTTGTAATAATGAGCTTGAAATTTGAAAATGTTAAATTTTTGTATTTTAACTTAAAATAAAAAAACACGAGATGTTTTCGTTTAGTTTCTTGATTTGACGATTGTAGTTTGCTTTCCTAACCCAGTCCACATTTCCAAATCCAAAGAAAACTCAAAAGCGCATTACAGTCTATGGGCTAGTTTGCCCCTTCTGTAGCTTTTGCATAAGCAGCTTCTGGCTGGAGCTATTAGAGAAGTATTTTTTTTTCAAAAAAAGCAGTTGAGAGTTTGGCTGAAAACTAATTGAAGTGCTTTTTAATATAAGAGGTTGTGTAAAATGACTATAAGATATCGTTTGGTATAAACGAATTCCATAAGTTTTGAGGAATTCATTTTGAGATGAAATCTTTTTATGTTTTTGGTATATAAAAGAATTCATTTTCAATTCTAAATTTTGAATTCTACGGAATTGGAACTAGTTATAGCAATTCCTAGGAATTGAGATGGAATTTGAAAATGAATTCCACAAGCCATCTATTGATGGTTTTGTCTTATGTGTCCCTGTGATGCAAGTGGATGAAACATTCCTTATCGGCAAGTACAAAGGCACTCTCATGATTGCCAGTAGAGCGGATGCAAATAAACAAGTCTTTCCTTTAGCCTTCGCCATTGTTGAGGGAGAGAATACCGAAAGCTATACATGGTTCTTCAGACAAATTCACCTTCACATCACTAGGAGGACGAACTTGACAATTGACTCTGATCACCACACCGGGATTAGAGCTGCCATTTTAGGTTTGGATCCAGCCTGGAAGTGGTTCCAGAGGTGGTGCATACAACACTTCTAGAGCAATTGGGAAGCTTTACAGATATTCAATCTTTGATCCAATGACTTGACTTTGTATAAAAACATACCTAATGTAACGTGGTAGAGGCCCCTGGACTCGACTCGCATCTATGCTTCTCGAATTGAGCTCTAAAGTAGGCTTCACAAACACGTTCCCAGACTTAACAATTTTCAGCCAATTTTCCAGTTTTGGCATAGCCTTTTGATCAAGTTCAAAAATTGTCTTTTGGACTTCCTATCGAGCTCCCAAGCACTTCAATGTGTAGAGGGACACTCCAGCTTCAAACAAGCCATTAATCTCCAATTTCCATCGAGCCAATTGTAAGATATGAATCTCCAAAGTAGGCACCATGAAACTATTTTTACACTGAAACAACCGATTATGTCGACCTAATCCTAAATGAGGTCGACCTAATCCTATATGAGGTCGACCTTATCCTACATGAGGTTGACCTAATCCTATATGAGGTCCACCTAATCCTAACTGAGGTCGACCAAAAAGTGCAAGTCACTGTGACATGCATGTCACCGTAGGCGCACCCCCAAATTAATTATATTTGAATTAAATAATTAAATATATAAATTAGATTTGATTGTTTAATTTAGAGCAAAGAGACTAAGCGAAGAGTCTTGAGTTTGCCTATAGCTAGGATATGGATAAGGAGAATGAAGGAGAGGTGACATCTCAAGTTCTTGTCATTGGTAATCTTTAATTTGACGAATTGGAGACTGAGAGACGACTAATACTAGTGTTTGCTTTTTGGTGTTATGAAAATAATAAGTGATTAGGTGAGAGATGAGAGTGACTTAAATTGGAAAGCCATAATTGAGTTGGATGGGGACTTCTGAGTTGTAAAACAAAGATGGAATGATCTACGTATAATTAAATGACACTCTTGGTGGTTGAGGGTCGTGTAGTAGTGAATGAGAGAGTCTAGTTGAGAGGATAAAATATACACTAGCTTATATTTCGGTATTGATCGGTATTTCGGTATATACCAATCTCAATCCCGTAATCCCTAATACCGAATTACAATTGAAATTCAATCCCAATCTCAATCCCAAAAAATAATATTCGGTAGTACCAAATATAGACAAATTCGGTACAGTATTCGGTATATCCCAAATACCGGTACCAAACTTCCAGCCCTAGCCACATTGCATGGATTTTGATTTGAAACAATAGCATGCAAATGCAATTCTGGAAGGAATGGCAACGAAACCAAATTTCCCCCTTTTTTCTTCTTCCAAATCCAGTGATGGACTATAAGAGATTTCTCAAATACTTAAACAATCCTTTATAGAACATTAGCATTTCACATCAATCATAAGGAAACATATAACTAAAGAGCTTCAAATATGCATCCAAATACCCCAACAATCTAACAGAGATGAAAGGCTCTGATACCACTTAATAGAATTACTTTTAACAGATGTAATTCTCCGGAATTCATCTCGTCGGATTATCAAAGGTTTGTAGAAATACCTGGAATCATGTCGGTTGATCGTCAGAGACTTGATGCGGAATATGAGCGACGATATTGAACTGGACGATACTCCTAGAGCACGATCCAGGAGGTTTTGTGACCTTCCTCAACCAAGCCTCCTTAGTCCACTAACGGGAACCCTCCCGTATTCTTGATGGGGAGAATGTGTGTATGTTGGTCTTGGTGTGTTGGGGACCACAACCTCTTGCACCTTTATATACAAGTTTCACATGGGCTCCCATCAAACCCAAGGTGAACAAGTATTGGGTTTCCACCCATTTAGGCCCATATCAATGCAAGACATCTTTGGGCTCCTGATTCGGATCACTTTCAATTAGCTCACATAACCAAATAGCTCATATAATTATAAAATATGTAGCCCATATCAATATAAAAAATAGAATTTCCTAACATATCACACTAAGGATACACAAGGAAGAGCTAGCCAGGAGGCGTGCATGCAGCAACACACATTCATAATAAAAATAAAAACAAGCAAACCCAACAATCCAACGACATAAACACGCACGACACAATCCCACACTTGCGAGCGCGCAACAAACCAACGACATAAACACTCACGCATCGGAGCGAGAAAAATGTAGACAAGACAACAATAGCTAATCAGTACTCAATGCAGCCAGCGCATTCTTGAGGGCTTGAATCGTCTTGTCTTTCTTGCTCAACTCAGCCTCCTTTCCCTTCAAAGCCTTGTCTTTATCCTGAACCTCTCGACTCAACTCCTCCACTTTCTTCTGAATCTCTCTCCTCAGCTCTGCCTCTCTCTTCTTCACGGCCTCCACCTCCGCCTTGCTTGCCGCCGCCGCCTGCTCTAGGTCCACAATCACCTTCTTGTCGTTGGACAGCTCCAGCCTGTTCCACACCGTGCCGAACCGCGGCGTCACTCCATACTTGTACCAAGGGAACATCTCGTTCAGCCTCCTGGATTTGCCGGCGGTGTCGCTATAGAACGAGAAGCCGTCACGGTTGACCCTGCACTGGTACCTGTGGCAGGGGCGAGCCAGACATGTTTGTGGGTGCTTTAGGACACCCTTAAAATTTGGGAAGGCAATTATCGATCTTCCGGTAGTAGTTTGAGTATAGGAAAAAAAAATAGAGACAGTTTAAATGATTTGAATTCGTGACATTGTTGTTATTAATAAACATATTATCAATTAGACTACAAGTCATTTGTTGTTGTATTCAAAACATAAGTTTATAATTATCGCATAACTACCCATTATTCCTAAATTTTTTCCAAAACCTATGAATTAATCCCCAATCTGGCAACAGGAAATCCCTTCTCCATCATTCCAACGCACTAAGAATAAGTTTTGGAATCACCGTATCATAACACGATTGTACGGCCAGAATTGTACATGATTTTACAGGTAGGAGTTTTGTACCCTGTCCGCCCCATATAACTATATTTTCACAATTAGATTAACTATCCACTCCTAATAATGTATGGTGCTTTGTGGGCCTTATCGACATGAATTGAATTGGTGTTGCCAGTTGCCACCATCAATTAATCGTTAATGAAGAGATGAACAAAGCCCAAAAAACAAAGTACATGCATTAAAGCCCACAAATAACCTAGAAGTTTGTCGTCTCCTGCTTTATTAAATTGTGAAAAGACCAAAGCATCCTTCCTTATTCTGCGCAGAGAGCAGGAAAAAGGGAATGGAGTGGGGTGATACGGGGAACCTCCATAATATATACTAGCATTGAACCCGCACGTTGTGCGGGCGAGTTCCATCTTTTTATCAACATTAATCAATTTTATTTCAGTATTTTGAATATTTTAATGTGTCATCCTATAATTTTTGTAATTTCAGTATTCAAAATTTTGTAAAGGTATTAGTGTTTTCCAACATTCATAAAATTTATAAGTTTAGCTTGTGCTTATAATCTAATCGTTTTATGAGTGGGCATCAAAATAATCTCAATTTTTAAAATTTCAATTCTATTGGATATATGTTGTATTTGGAAGATTATATTACAATATTTTGCATAGTCATATCACTATATACATATTTTCTCACATTAAGATAGTTGGCATAGCTTTCAAAATGATAATAAAGAGCTTTTGTTTAGAGTAAAACGGAATGCATGAAAGGTTATATTGAAAAAGTTTGTGATAAAGTATTTTGTACTGAAATCGTGTTGAGTCATAGCTCAATCGTTTCCTACCGTTAAAATTACCTACCAATTTGGATCCAATATCCAGTATTTTCGATCCAACCGACATGCTAGAATTTCTTAAACATTGTTCAAAAAAGTAGAAGAGTTTTCTAGGTGAAAGAGGAAAATTTCCTTAATTCTACCCAAACCTGAATTACCGCAGGAGAGATATTAAAATATTATAAAGATAATTAACTATCAAACTATGGAAGAAAACTAAATAACAAAAAATAAAACTACACGGAAAAAAAGTTTATTTTTTAAACTTTTTAAATTATTATTATTATAACTACATTTTGTTTTCTGGAAGGGATACCCGGCCATTACACCCCGATATAAAATATTTCTGATTCTGCGCGCGGTGCCACTAACCTGTGGAGGTCCCTGGCGAGGTCCTTCAGCTGCTGGCCGCGGATCACGGCGCCGTGGATCCTGAGCTCGCCGGAGAGGTCGAGGTGGGAGACGAGGGCGCGGTCCCAGCCGGACTGCTGGGAGTAGGCGTCCCAGTGCTCCTTCACCACGCAGACGGAGATGAAGTTGTGGTTCCCCAGGTTGTCCAGGAAATGATTGTCCGACGATATCTCGATCGAGTTCACCATCTTTGATTGACTGGAGCTGGAGAAAGAAACAGAGATAGAAGAAGAAGAAGAAGAAGAAGAAGAAGAAGAAGAAGAAGAAGAAGAAGAAGAAGAATGAGAAGGAGAAGGAGCTTGGGGTCGATATGATGTGAAAGAGATGTATATAGGGCAGGCTCCTTTTTATAAGGTTTCTAGCTTGCTCTTATCTTGCTGGAGGAGGACGATGGCGACGACTTAGACTTTGCATTTGCCAATTAAATCATAGATAAATGTACCACTCGCTTGCACGTAATAAGCATGCATACGCATTCCTTGAGTTGATACATTAATAAAATTGATGTTATGTATCATAGATATATATATGGTTCAGACTAGCGTATGAATCTTATGATTTTGGTTGGCGAATTAGGGATTGAGGTTCACCCATTAGTGGTTAGGGTATAGTAATATGTCGGGCATATGCAAACCCTATCACAGGCCCATTGAGTTTTTCTATTTTAGATCATCAATTAACCAGAGTTTGATACATAATGTTATACACTAGCCTCTAATAGGTGAACTTCAATCCCTAATTTTCCGAACCAAACTATGAGATTCGTCTAACCTTAAAATAATATAACCAACGGTTCCGATTTGTACGTCTAAATATATCAAAATACACGTAGGTGTGAACGGAGGCACATAGAGCATACGTCAGGCGTACACTAGCCTTTGTCATATATTTAATTCATTCAAACTTCAAAGTACAGATAATAATACATCGAATTTGAACTTTTAATTGGTATCATTAGTCCAATATGATGATATAACATAGAATTACAACTAATCAATCCATTACTCTAACCCGTTAACCTTCAATTTTGAATCTCAACCCAAAACCTCAAACTAGCAAACAATTTATCTCAAAACGCTAATAATGCAATTGTGAAGTTAATCAATAATAATTGGAAAATTTTGTGATTGGCTAGTTTACAATATGTTCGCCTTTTTTTAATGATAGATTCATAAGATTTGTCAAAATCGTGTAGCTCTGTTAGTACGATATTGTTCACTTTGAGTCAAGTCCGTCGAATTTTACTCTTAGATATACTCCCCAAAAGATCTCGTACTAATGTGTTTGATGAACACTAATATACAAGGGTTAATTTTCTTATATCTTCGGTGTGGTACTTGGATTGTACTATATATATACGCCGCCAGATAACTCGGCGTGACTACTGCTGCTGGCCATTACGTTGAGACCTATATATTATTATATTTAAGTTTTAATTCCAAGTGGAAGTATATTAAAGATTACATAGGAAAGAAGTGGCAGGAACATGCTGAGCATATAGCAAGATGACGTGCATGGATTATACGTCATTCTAATAAACATGGCTTATATTAAATGAAAGAATTAGACAATTCCATCTCGTTAAACAAGGTGTAGTGCATTCTTACTCCGCCAAACTCCATAATGAAAGTAGGAAGGGTAGATTCGTTTTCACAGTTATTTACTAACTTCTTTTATTAAATGAAAGAATTAGACAATTCCATCTCGTCAACATTTAATCGAGGTGTAGGTGCAATCTTACTCCGCCAAACTCCAGAATGAAAGTAGGAAGGGTAGATTCGTCTTCACAGTTATTTATTAACTTCTTATTTACAGAAAAATACATCAGTAATGATATTTGAACCATGGTCTCTTTGAACAAAGATAAGAAACATAAATAGTTACAATAAACACATTTGTGTGATCTTTTTCAATTAAAAACATACAAGAAACGTAAATCTAAAACATCATAGGACTTTTCAATATTGGTTAGCAACCGAAATGTCATTTATTCAAATATTCGGGAGCTTCGGGAGAGAGACATGGCTTTGAAGGAGAAGGAGGCAGAATGGAACAGGAAGGAGACCGAGCTGAGTCGATTGATTCACGATCAAGAGAAGACTTTGAAAGAGAAGGAGGCTGCACTTAACAAGAAGGACAGAGCGATTCAAGGCCTTAAAAATGTGTTGGCGGCATTGTCAGAACCGTAGTACTAAACAATGATCGATCCTTAATTCGCTTGTTTTGGAAATAAAAAGTCTGTAATTTCATATCGAATAAAAATTTCTTCAAGGATTGTCCCTTCGGGACATCCGATAAACTTGGAACGATACATAGAAGATTAGCATGGTCATTACTCAAGGATGACATGCATAAATCTAGAAAATTTTCTTCAAGGATTAAACTTTTGACAGATAAATCCATGAATTTGGACCCATTGTCATCCCTAACATCATCAATAATGCGTCCACAATCACGATATGGCAAAAAACCGAATTAGAGACAACTATATTTCTCTTATGTTATGGGACAATCCAAGTACCACATCGGTTATACAAGGGAAGGAACCCTTGTATATTAGTGTCCACCAATCTCATTAGTACGAGGCCTTTTGGGGAGGACACCCAAGAGTAAAACCGTGCGGGATCCGCCCAAAGCGGACAATATCGTACTAATGGGCTGCCCAGTTATGATAAGCGGTATCAGAGCTTGATTTTCTGAACCTGAACCAAGCCCGGTTATTACAAGTGGTATCAGAGCCTGATTCGGTGCGGGGCGGTGGACGTCAGTTTGGTGGACCCTCATTCGGTGGCTTCAGGATTTGCGATCTGCGTCTGGTTTGGTGGATTCACGAGAGATCCATGTTTGGGCTCATGATTTGGCGGATCAAAGAGAGTTCCGCGTCTGGAAAAATTCTTGTAACGAGAGGTCCATCGATACAAGGTGTATGGCGGATCAAGATAATCGCTGAGGTGAGGACACGATGTTCGTGGTCCTTGGCTTGAGTGGAGGATTGTTATGGGACAATCCAAGTACCACATCGGTTATACAAGGGAAGGAACCCTTGTATATTAGTGTCCACCAATCTCAATAGTACGAGGCCTTTTGGGGAGGACACCCAAGAGTAAAACCGTGCGGGCTCGGCCCAAAGCGGACAATATCGTACTAATGGGCTGCCCAGTTATGACATCTTATAATACAAATTTCTCGACCGATAATCAACTCTCGAATTGACTAGGCGATGGAAGATAATGTTGGAAATGTGAGGTGAATAGCTATGGACGAGTCGGCCGATTCCCAAACTGTACAGATTTAAGAGCCTATTTGCTTGGATGACTCCATAGCCGATTCCTCTATCTAACCAGCCTCTCTCTCTCTCTCCCAAGTAACCAAAAAAATGAGATCAACTCCCAACAGGCGGTTTGGAGCCGCGCGCTCGTCACCCGCCTCGACCTCGCCGGCGGCGAGCTCAAGATCCACGGCGTGACGATCCGCGGCCAGCTTCTCCGCGACCTGGCCGCGGACCTGTACCGGTACAGGTGCAGAGTCAACCGCGACGGCTTCTCGATCCGCCGGGACTCCGCCAACGGCGAGTACCGGAGGCTGAACGAGATGTTCCCTTGGTACAAGTACGGCGTCACGCCGCGGTTCGAAACCCCTGTGGGACCGACTGGATCTGTCCAACGACGGGAAGGTGATCGTCGACTCGAACGGCGCGAAGGCCGAGGTGGAGGGGATGAGGAAGAGAGAGGAGGAGCTGAGGAGGGAGATTGGGGAGAAAACTAGGGATTTGAAGGAGAAGGAGGCGGAGCGGAAGGGGAAAGAGGAGGAATTGAGGAGAGAGATTAGGGATTTGGAGGAGAAGGAGAAGGAGTGGAAGGGGAAAGAGGAGGATCTGAGGAGAGAGGTGAGAGAGAGAGACGGGAAATTGAAGGAGAAGGTGTGTGAATGGGAGAAGAAAGAGGCAGAGCTGAATCGGAAGATTGAAGAGAGGGATAGGGTTTTGGAAGAGAAGGATGGTGCGTTGAAGAAAAAAGACAGGGCGATTCAAGGCCTCAAGAACGCGCTGGCCGCATTGACAGAACCGTAGGGGTGTCAATTTGGGTTCGGTTTTTCGGGTTTACCCGAAACCGAACCGATTATATACATTTTTTGGTTTTTTGGGTTCGGGTTTCGGGTTTTTTGGGTTTTGGGTTTTTCGGTTTCGGGTTCGGTTTTGCTTATCGATTTTTTGGGTTCCGGCTAAAAACCTCCAATGAATAGAACTCAGCCCGTATTTTTAGGCGTTCGGGTTTTCGGGTTTCGGTTTTGCTTTAACCGAACCCGATAAGGAATTTTCGGGTTTCGGGTAACCGGAACCCGCAAGTCCTTATCGGGTTCGGGTTCGGTTTTAGTGATTTCGGGTGGTCGTGTATTAGCGGATAATATATATATGGGCCAACGATGCATTGCTATTAGAAATCAAGATATTGGAGTTGGACTCGTTAATCGATTCATAACCTTTCGAACACAACCAATATCGATATCTATTCGAACTCCTTTTATTTGTAGGAGCACATCTTGGATCTGTCGATTATGTTATGGCCGGAGTCCGACGCATGGCGACCTGGTGGACTTGGGAGAAGCCGTAGGTATTATTGCGGGGCAATCCATTGGAGAGCCGGGTACTCAACTAACATTAAGAACGTTTCATACCGGCGGAGTATTCACAGGAGGTACTGCAGAACATGTAACCGAACCCGACCCGAACTGACACCCCTACAGAACCGTAGTACTAAATAGTATTTTACTGATTGATCCTTAATCTGCTTGTTTCATAAATGAAAAGATAGTTAATTCGTCATGCCAATAATCATCAGCATAATATGTAGTACGTATAGTTTGCTCGAATAATATGTCACGAATCGAGAGCAAGGATTGAAATATCGTACTATACTGGTGGTTCGACCAGAAAATATCATACTGTACCGACGATATTTAGCGGTTGAACCACGATTAAACCACGATTTTGACATAAAATATCCTGCCGCAACCTTTTCCGACGACGATATCCGAGCATTTCGAGTTTCGTAGTCAAACGAACCACTACGTAGTTCACTTGCTTTGTTGGATATGGACGCGTATCCCTGACCACGATGCTGGGCTCTCTTTCTTGCTTCTTTTTCTTCGTTTAAATGGGCCTGGTGTGCTTTAGTATAACCAGGCCGCTGGGTCCTTTTTACTTAGTTCTGTAATCCCCTACCCGGCCTGTTATTTTCAAATTACATGCATATTTCTTTGTCTGGAGTTGGGCCCGCGGTAGAATTTGAGGATAGAGTTGGGCTCGCGGCCCATTTTGCTTAACACCGGGTCCAATGGTGTGGTAAGTTCAGTTTTAAGGGTTCATTTGTTTTAGCCGCAGGGGTGTACAAAGGTTTGGTCTATATCGGATTAAATTGACTCAAATTGATTTGGACCAATTATACTACACCAAATAACAATAAAATGTGGTTTTTTTTATTCTTAATCCAATGATTTGATTGAGAGGGAGGTTGCAAGTTGCACTACCCGAACTTCAAATACAATTTTTGATTAATCATAAAACTAAAAAAGAAAAAAAAATCCAATGATTTGTCGAATTTGGAAATCTCATTTAGAGACCAACTCCTTAACAATAAATGACCTTATTATTATACTCGTATATTTTACTTATTTCCATTTTATCGGTATTCACTATTATAAGTCATAATGCTATATTGTTGTCTTTTTTAAAATCTGCGATACTTCTGGTACACATAGTGATATATTTTTATCTTAACCGTGAGTTAAAAAGAGTTTGAGGTATGATCTATCAATAAACCGGTAACGGATAAACTACGACCTCGGTTCTTTAAACTCAAACTTGAAGATCACTTTAGTTAAAATTAATATTTGGCATTTCTGATTTTTCCAAGTATAACAAAAACAAAATACATCCAGATAGCATATCTCTTAGACTACGATATACTCCATAAATACGCCAGTCGTCGTTACTATATACGTTATTTATCAAACATGTAATTACGTTATTGTCTAATATATATTTGTTCTCAACCGGTAGAATACTATGGCATTTCTTGTTGAAGATTGCTAATGTTTTCCCCCCTCTTTGTTGTGACTTTTTATGGCAACTCGATACTGGTCATCTGGCATACTCCGTCGAAGAAAACTACACAAGCTGGCGGGACTATCTTGGTGATGTTGGGTTTTGGTTTTTATTTTTTCCCGTCAGTGTCGTGTCTTTGCTCCTCGGAGCTTCTTCAGAGCTGCCCAAGTAGTGGCTTTACAGGCTCTTTCATCGTAGTCTGGTTGCAAACAGACTAACGCAATGGATTTGAGTCTATATTGTAATTGTGTCGAGTCTTTGTCCCATGCCCTTTGGGCTTGCCTTGAAAAAAAAAAAACATAATGATTAAATCGTATTTAGTAGGTAGCAATTTACCATGATGGTATACTTACAAAGTTCATTATTTAGCTTAGATTAGAGTTTAATGCTTGACATTATCACATAAGACTTCAATTACAAAATAAGGAAAGAAAGGAGTTACCCACCCCATAACCTTCGCCGAGATTAGGTTTCTGCCATTAAAATGGGAAATTGGAAACGGAAAATAATTGGTTTGCTGGACGAGACAACTCACCAGCTGTTGCGGCTCTCTCAAGTGACACTCCCACGAACCCACCAGCCAAAGAAAACACGGTAGGAAGGAAGAAAGAGAAGGGAAGCACAAATGGAAGGGGGAAAAATGGCAACTTTAGAGGGAGAAAGGGAGTCTTCTTGCTTTTAGTGAGAGAAATTGAGGGCGAGGCAGAGAGAGAGACAGGAACGGGTTCATTTTGAGAGAGATAGAAGGGGACAGTGTGTGAGAGTGTGTGTGAGATATTGCACAGGGGGAGAGAGAGAGAGAGAGAAAGTAGTGCTGATTGGTAGTAACCAAGTCTTGTCCTTTTGATTCACCATACCCATGTTATTGTTATTGGTGTTGTTGCTGTTGTCCCCTAATCTTCCTCAGATTTCTTCCTTTGCTCACTCTTCACTCTATTCGTCTTCTTCGGCTTCTGCTTCTGCTTCTTGAGGTATGTACTTAATTCTTGTTATCTTTTTACTCTTCTTCTTTCTGACTGTTCCCAAACTCTGTATTCATGGCGGTCCTCTATTATTTGGGTCCGAACTGTACTTCTCTGCTTAGATCTCTCCCATTTAGTGGGTTTGTACCTTAAATGGCGACCTGGGTTCGTCTCGTTTTCTGGATTTCTGCTCTGAAGTTCCATCTCTTGGCCCAAAATCCTGTACTCGGGTCGTGTGAAATCTCAAACTAATGGTTAAAGATTTGGATGCTCTTTTGGGAGTTCTAAGTGCGCTGGATCATTTTTCTTGTTTCTAATTCATCTGGTACGCTCGAACTTCCACTATTGGATGAGATCTTGGGAATTCTAGCTCCTAATTTCCTCTAGATCTTGTTTAGTTGTGCATAATGTTGATATGGGTTTCACTTTTCTCAGATGGGAAAAGTTCAATTTGAATCTATGGGTAATGGGTATGTATAAATACTGCTATTCCAGCTGATTCTTACTTGGGATGGAACGTCGCCCTTGTCAGTTTATCTGCTCCTAGGTTTTGATGAACTGCTTGCCTCCCTGAGCTCTGAGTAAAATGCTAGAATGCTGTGATTTTAGAAGAACACTCAAGCTAATGGTGTTTACTGTTTTGATATTGGAGCTCGGTTAGCTAACTCAATGGATCTTGATTGTGTATATTGATTTGTTGAAGCCTGGATAGTCAAATGTTCAGTTCTCATGTTTGGGCTCTTGAATTGGAATCTTAGGACTAGGGAATCTGGACGAAATGTGTGTTTGACTTCCTTGCTGAAGTGAATTCTGGGTGTTTCAAGGCAGTAGACTATGCAACCACTTTTACGAGGAAACCACTGAATCTTATGTGACTATGTCCTGTTTCACCTTATTTTTAGAGTTACCATCCTTTGTTTTGCTTGCCTTCTGAATGAAGGAGTGAATATTTGGAGGAGTTCCTAATTATCTGCATTTGGGGTACTGATGAACCTTTTCAATCTCTCAAGTATGTCATGGAAAGCGGGCCAATTTAACACACTGTTCTAGGTTCTTATTTCTTGAAAATAGGAGCATGAGGGTTGATTTAGTAACTGTTGTTTTTGTGTCAAACTTAGCTGGTGTTTGAGCTCAACATGACCTGGCTAACCGTCATTGGTAATAATGAGTTGTCTTACTATTTATTTGTCTCCTGTGGTATTTTTGTTTCCTTTTTCAAGCATTATGTTCCCACTGGTCTTGATATTGTGCTGAACACAACATCTTGTGTTTTTCTTTTCTTTGCTTCGAATGCGAGTTGTTTTTAGCATAGGTTTTGCTGCTCATATGATCTCAGACATGCCATGGTATTTAAAGATCACTGCATAGTGATTTCTGCTGACAATGTTGACTCTCAAGTCTCAATGGTTCTTGTTCCTCACTGTATTTAAAGCTTTTGCAACCATTGTTATATTAGTTTGTTTCTTAGCTGATTTTGAGGGAGCTTCTGTCTCTTACGTGCATCTTGTTGTCTGACTTCGCTTATATATTATTCTTATGCTATAAAGTCCCTTCAGAATGTTATAGTGGCTATCCCGGCTATGTAACTATTTTACCTCCAATTAGTATCCATGAGATACTTAATGCTTTGAAGTGAAACCATATATCTTCTACTATTGTACTGTGGGTATAGGAGAACTTGTTAACATTATATTGTTTTTTTTCCTTCTGTTGTAGGAGTTCTTTGATCATTGCATCAAAGGAGGTAGCTGTATTACTTCTGGGTGGTGTGTATTAGGAAAGCTAGATAGATGGGTTCCCGTTTCCCATCTCATCAGCTCAGCAATGGGCTCTATGTATCAGGCCGGCCTGAGCAGCCAAAGGAAAGAGGTCCAACAATGAGTTCTGTGGCAATGCCATATACCGGGGGTGATATCAAGAAGTCTGGAGAATTGGGGAAGATGTTTGATATCCCTGTGGATGGCTCAAAGTCTAGGAAGTCTGGACCTATTACTGGTGCACCTTCAAGGACGGGATCGTTTGGGGGTGCTGCTTCACATTCTGGACCAATAATGCCCAATGCAGCTGCTCGGGCTGCATACACTACGTCAGGTGCTGCGTCGTCGGGTGCCATGTCTGGCTCAGCTTCTCTAAAGAAATCAAATTCTGGACCCCTTAACAAACACGGCGAACCATTAAAGAAGTCATCTGGTCCTCAATCTGGTGGAGTGACACCCTCCGGTCGACAAAACTCAGGCCCTATTCCTCCTGTTCTTCCTGCAACTGGCCTAATCACATCTGGGCCTATTTCTTCAGGACCACTAAATTCCTCTGGGGCTCCTCGTAAGGTATCTGGTCCTCTGGAATCTATGGGATCGATCAAGAACCCAAGTTCTGGTGTTCACAATCAGGCTGTCACTATTCTCAGCCAAGATGACGAGTTTTCCTTCAAAAAGAACTTTCCAAAACCAATATTTTGGTCCCTGATTCTACTCTTTGTAATGGGCTTCATTGCTGGTGGGTTTATCCTTGGAGCAGTCCATAATCCCATACTTCTTATAGTTGTTGTGGTTCTTTTTGGTGCTGTCGCTGCATTGTTCATATGGAATAACTGTTTTGGGAGGAAAGCTATCATGGGCTACATTGCCCAGTATCCAGATGCTGAGTTACGAAATGCCAAAAATGGGCAATTTGTGAAGATCTCTGGGGTATGTATACATGCTTATCCTCAAGTAGTTCTATAGCTAGTTTAAAAACTGGCCTTGCATCTCTCATTCGTCTTAATAGCTTAGGCTTTACCTATTCTTGCTTGGGTTTCAATTCATATGGTTGCAAAACTTGTGCTTCTGAAGTGAAAACCCAATTCTATCTAGACCCAGAATGTTCTGACTTGGTTACACTTTGAAGGTGGTTACCTGTGGCAATGTTCCTCTGGAGTCCTCGTTCCAAAAGGTTCCTAGATGTGTTTATACATCCACCAGTTTGTACGAGTATCGAGGATGGGATTCGAAAGCTGCCAATGCTAAACATCGCCGTTTCACTTGGGGGCTCAGATCTCTAGAAGTGAGTGACCAAATACTTCCAGTTCATGCATCTTCTTGCCAATTACATTCATTTGCAAGTGCACTTTTGCTGATATATGAGGAGGGAACTTGTACTTGCTACAGTTTTTGTCCTTGTGACTCTGTAGAGATTTGTCATTTTTAAACAATGTTTTATTACTTGGGGAATTATCTTCAGCTCAAGATCGGATCAACATTGATACATATGGTTAAATCATACCTGTCTTTTGGTTATTTTCCTAAATGTTCCATTATGCATGCCATTTTTCCATATACCTTAGTGGGATATATCTCCATTAAAAGTTTGATAATCTTTGTTGGCAGAGTCGTGCGGTTGACTTCTACATATCTGACTTCCAGTCGGGATTGAGAGCGTTGGTTAAAACAGGGTTTGGAGCAAGAGTGACGCCTTATGTAGATGACTCTTTTGTCATGGACATCAATGCGGGTTCTGAGGAAATGTCTCGGGATTTCTCGAGATGGTTGGCTGAGAGGAATCTATCGAGCGATGATCGGATGATGCGGTTAAAAGAAGGGTAAGTATTTGTTCTCTTCTACCTCCCGTTAGATGTTCGTTTGGGTTTGACAGTTATACTCACTGTTATGTTGTTGGTGTTAATCTTTTATTGTGTACAGATACATCAAAGAAGGAAGCACAGTGAGCGTAATGGGAGTTGTTCAAAGGAATGACAATGTGCTTATGATCCTACCACCTCCTGAACCCTTCACGACGGGCTGTCAGTGGGGAAAGTGCATCTGTCCTGCAAGTCTGGAGGGCATTGTGTTGAGATGTGAAGACACCTCCAGGAATGATGTCATACCTGTGTAATAACTGTTGGTTGGTAGACAGACTCTATGGCAGCCCTTTTCTTCTCCTTTCCTTTTTTCCTGCATATTTCTTCCATTAATATTGGTGGTGGTGATGCGGCAGCAGCAAGGCAGGCAGGCAGGCAGGCAACAGAACATACAGCATTGCTGGTGGTGATGGTGCTGCTGGTATTATGAGTGGTGATGTTGATGATTGTAATGATTATTAGGTGGTGGTGTTTCTCTTTTTGTAATTTTTTTGTTTTGTTTTTATCCGTGGGAAGTTTTACTCGTGTATAGTTTGGTGTTGGCCTCTCTTTTTTGTTTAATCTGGTTTCCATTTTTTCATTTTTCAACTAGGGATTGAAGAAGTCTTTTGGCTATGTGGGGTGGATGTTAATGATTATATTGTAGGAAGGGACAAGTTTTTACCAATGTTTGAGCAGATTTGCCCGGTTATGTTAAATAGAAAGAAGGAAAAAGAAAAGACCATCTGTGAGCTATATCCCTCTGTATGTTATATATATATTTCTCTCTATCTCTGTGTTACTCAGTAGTCAACAAATGAAATGAAGAAAAACAACAGCTTCTGGAAAGCAGATTTGTCAGTCAATCTCAACCTCCATCCCATATGGTAGGCTGGAATTTTGACAAAGATGAGTATAATATAGAAGTCTAGAGTGACAGCTGGAACTTGGTACCACCATTACATTTACATTTATTACAGTATCTTCTGTGTTATCCAGGTTAGTAGGCAAATGGTGCTTAAGTCGAGGGCTGTATGCACCATGGCAAATTCCTTCTGTGGATCCGTCATCCATGAATGACCTTTGTATGAAGATGGTTCGAGAGCCTTTCGGGCGATGTCCAGCGTAGTGGTAAGCGGCTTGCTGCACTGGGACTAACCTGCATCGGTTTTCATTTCCTTGGTTTTTGATAGGTGCGAATCTGCTCTTGCAATTCCAGGTAGTAACCGAAATTTGCCTTGCTCCATAACTAGCTCTCCTTCCAATCGTGTGTACATTACATCATGCTTTTCCAAGTTTTGCCAAGCAAACCTCTCGGCCAAAACAGATGCGATTTCCAGGTCCAGGCTTCCTTCTGGGGAGCTTGGTAAACATAATGTTTCGCCTTCTGTGTACTAGAGGACTGGAAATGAGTCCGAACTGGGATTTGAGAAATCCAGCTTCTCCTTCAGATCATCAGGGAGCTGCGTTTTAATGCAAGAAAAACAAAGGTTCAATGCTTTCTACAGAGACAAAAGTTGAGAAAGTGGAGATACTAAGTGACTAGAGAGGGGGACAAGAGCGAATGACTTACCACCAGAATCTTGGGTTGCAGTAACTTCAGCAGACACTCAACTTTAGGTAGCCTACAACATTGACATACCCAAAATGAAAGAAAAAAGGTCAGAGTTTTATGCATGCACATTTGAAAGCTTCGGAAGACGACCAAGAGGGTGGAACCTTTTAACGTGTATAACAGTGAAGAGACCCCATTTCTGAACAAGTTGGTTTGAGCAACTTTTAACATTGTTTTAAGCATTTCTAGTGCTTGCTCCAGAAGTCTAGTACACTCCAGATAATAGACTTCAGAAATAAATCCCACACGATAATGGTTTTGTGTGACTGAGTGAAGACTCAGAGCGGGAAGTGAGTAGTTCAGAACATAGGTGTTCAATACTCGGGTTTTATACTGCAGATACATAGTAAGTACAGTGAGCACTTTAACTGGTTGCTTACCTTCTCTCGGGAAGAAAAGAGCACTGCAGAACCTTCATTTCCAGAGGCTTGAAAGGCAGAAGGGCAATATCAGCATCAACCCCATCCTGAAAAGTAATACTATATCAACAACCTAGTCCTTTCCTACAATTCCCCATTGGATGAAGACGGTTTTATATTGTCCCTTCTAAGGTTCTTCAGCATTTTGGGGTAAAACTTCACACAACAAACTAGTAATCATAAAGCAAACGCACCTCTAAGATAAGTAGAGAGTTAGCATCACCACCCCAGCGCCGAAGCAAATGAACAACAGGACCAAGTCTTAGACTCCAATGTGAAGCAAATATGATGCAAGGTTCCTGCCAAGTGGTTCTGAAGACAATGTTAATTTGAGCATGATGCAAATTTGAATGATTTAGAGTTGCATTCACAGATTAAGATGTATAGGGACTGAGACAAACAAGGACCATTGCATTTGCAACTTAAAACAATGGCCAGTATATCCATTCTACAAAAAAAATTAGGGCGTCAAATATCCAGAGTGTAGAAAAAAACTCAAAAACTAGTAGAACACCGAAGCGTGAAATTACCATAGCTAAACGAGTAAATGCAATGCACGGGTTAACATAAGATAGCAGAATAACGTCTTACAGTAGTTCAGGAGAGTGAATAGCTGAAAATACATGAAGCTTCCTTTGGGTCATAAGGTCGACATGGGAGAACATCGGCTCACCAGAAAACATCTGCACGGAACCTCCAGAGGAAGAGGAAACCTTTGAGACCTGAAAGTGAAGTTAAAATCCTGACAAAGAAATAGAAAACAGGTGTACCTTCTCTTGTCGTGGCTTACACACCCATTCTGGTACGACGGTAGTGAATGCTAATAGTTCAGCAGCTATTGAAGAGATAACGTAAATCGGAACCTAGATTGTTGGTAAATGAGTTACAAAAGCAAAGAGTTAGGAACCTAAAACTTAGCAGATAGTATATTCAAGGTATATGACTATAGTAATAGAAACTTATGTCATCACTAAGAGAAACCTAGAATCCAAGATGGTATAAAATAGTTGGCTTCATAGATAAATATACATATTGAGCTCATTCAAAAGTGTGTGCAAAATAAATTTTCCGGTCAAGAACTTCTCTCCTCCACCAGCTCTCTTTCCTCTCACTCATAATATCCATAAGGGCATAAAACCAATTTTCACAACCAAGCAGCTATCTAGAATTCCAATCTTCTTTATAAGCCAAAACAAGTTCAGGCCTAAAAATCTCTTCCTAGCAAAAAGTTCAAGGAATGTACACAGGAAAAGGCATCTACTTACATCTGCTGCCAACGACTCAAGGAGGACCGGTATAATTTCCAATAGCTGCAGAAGAATTCCAAGTCGATTATAAGGTATAACGACTGAACCACCAGCTTGAACAGACTGGAGAATGCATGAGCAAATAAAATCTAATTTCTCTTTTTCTAAAATCTCGTCAGTACTCAGTAAGCTTTCAGACAATTTTTTCCAATCATCTTTATCAGCACTGCAACACCTACTAAAAAGCACCATGTTCAAGGGGAGATGATTTAAGACTCCGAAGATGGTAAAAAAGACTCTACTATTATATGATTGACATTGCAACAAAGCTGAAAAATATCATAATCTATTCAATCACAGTCAAGCAAGGTGATCCCACCTTAGATCTGATAAACCCTTAGATGGAATGGTTGAAGAAGCATCATTGCTTTGAACTTCATCCATTAAAGGCAGGAACTGCTTATCTGAATATAACACCAGATCGCATCCCCTCAATGCATCAAAAAAAAAAAGTTCATTGCATGTTTAGAAGCAAATATTGAGCAGGAAAGCCACGTGATATTTCTTTTGGGACCATCAATCGTCCAATAACAGGATCCTATCTCTGAACCTGAGCTGAATGGTTTTAAGACCAAGGTTCCGTTGTAGCATGCTGCTTCTGCATATTTAAGTGTTTGGACCTTCTGCATAAAATCCATCACATCTGCCAAACTGCCATTATCATCAAGCAAAATGATTAGAAGTTTCATAATACTACATAGAGTTTAAGGCCAACCAAAGCAACAAACCATGTTTATCAGATGATGCTACTAACCGAAAAAAGCTTCCCTATCCTGTTACCTTTGTCCAAAATGTGAGAAAGATATAAGACCTCAATTAGCCACATCAATGAACGGAGCAACAAAATAGAGCTCTTACTATCTGCATATCATAGGAGTGTTTTCAGTGTGGCTCTAGTATTGCTATCATCCCAACAGAAAGCGAATAAATTACTGGCATCATCTTAGAAGAGCAATGAGCAAAAATCACCTGTAAAGCGGCATCCACCCACCCAGCTCACTCCCATCCTTGCCAACCACTACCTCCTTAACTTCAGGCCTGAGCAACTCAAGTTCTTCCCTCCTCATCCAATGAGGAGCACCAGACTCCCTGGGACCATAAAAGTACTGAAATTCCATATTCATCGAGATAAGATCCTCCATCATAAGCCGTGCCAGCCTCGCTGCTGCATCAGTCACATAAATCTGACCTCCACAAACATATAAACCATGTGATGATAAGGAAAATACTACAGAGTTTGAAGAAATCAAAACATAATTTAACATGACTAACCTTTGCAGAGAAACCTTCAGCACGAGTAAGAAACGGCAATCCAAGCATCCCCATGACACTTGATATCAGCACAACATCAATAGAAGAAGGGTCCCAGAGGTGCAAATTCTTCACAGTTTTGTACCAAAGTTCATCGTGGATCAAGTCTTCCCCATGAAGTGGTGTTCCAAGCCTCTTCCGAATCTCCTGTTCCTTGTCGTAACAATCACGGGCTGAAATGTGCGAGCTTTCTCCATCAGATACAAAGCCGTTATCAGGAGGAACTGGGGAAAAGACCGAGAGTGCAGAAAGGTCTAGTGGGCAGTCCAGCAATATCCTAAACCCACACACATCTTCAAGAATGTGACACGGAGGGAACTGGTAGCCGCTACCGCTGCTCAAGCACGTCTGCAGAACAAAGAGAGCTCAAAATTAACACGAAGCAAAGGTCAATTCAGTTTCAGCAGATGCATAAACCCAGAGGAGATGCTCACCAACTTCATCGGAGTAAATAACTAAGTAACAATGCTACACTGTCCAGAAGCGTAACTGAGCATAAAGACTTCGTTTTGTTGCGGAATGCTTGGCGCCATCGTCTGGTTACACTGCAGATTCGTCTCCTCTAATGGACGGCGCCGCAATTAGAACTTTCCGGCGAGTGAGAAGAGAGAGGGAGACTGGAATTGAAGAAGAAAGGTAATGAATTGTGGAAGAAGGAAGAAGAAGAAGAAGAACGAGCAGAGGCCAGAGAGACAGAGAAACCCTCTGATTCGCAGTAAAAGTTTATGCCTTTTATAGGGTCAAGTCTATTTTACAAAAAGACCCTCAATCAATACACATCTAACAAAAAAGTCCTATCCTTTACATCTCCGACGCAACTACCCTTTAGTTGTGTGATCCGCCGGCAGCGAGGACGGAGAGCGGAGTAAAGCTACAGTGAGATGAGATGGTACGGCCGCCAGGATCTAAGCAGAAACCGGCGAGATTGGCCGTTGTCTGCGTGTCGCTGCTGGGTTTCGGCTTAATCGCCGATTATCTGTGGGCGTCGTCTCCTCGTTTCGGGGCTTCGACTTTCTCTGGCGCCGGTATCTCCATAACCAGTCGAATCATTCCGCTGGGAGCTGAGAAAGATGGGAGTGATAAGGGAAAAGGTAATTCGAAGGACAAGAAGAAGTTAGCCAATGTGCCGGAGAGATTCCTGTCAGCAACATTTGCCGATTTGCCTGCACCGCTGCTAGATTGGAAGAAGATGGCTCCTGCCCCGGTGCCGCGTCTTGATGGAGCTGCTATCCAGATTAAGAATCTTCTTTTTGTCTTTGCTGGATACGGTACAATTGATTATGTGAGGACCCTGTTCTTCCTGTTCTTTATGCTTGTTCTCTTAGTTCCGATCTGCGCATAGTTGAGGAACTCTTTGTGATTGGTCATATAGACCCATTGAGTGAACTTGGGAACGCGTTATATGCATTAGAACTTGAAAGCAGTGGAGGGAAAGTGTGAAATATAGTATGGTTGTCTATAGTTCCTCCTTTAGTGTTTTGCTGCAACTGATGTTGGCTGGCGAAGGGTTTCAATGGGGCTGCCATTGATCTTATGAAGTTTGGTGGGTATGGATGATTTCATGTCGTACTCGGTCCTTTTGAGAAGTAAGCTGGCAGAGCTTAGTGAAACTAAGTAGAGCATCCAGAGGTGCTCTTTGCTCTGGTATTGAATCTTTGGTTTTGAAAATTGGGATCTTCTCTAGAACTCCATTTCTTTTACATCACTTTGTGCTTGTTAAAAGTTCATGCAAGGCTATAATAGTTGAACAGCATAAAACAGCAATGGTACGCCTCGACGTGCGCCTGCTTTTGCAGTAGTCGAAACCAGATATGCTGTTCATTTGCTGCTATCGTGTTCCCTTTTCCTTGTAGTTTCTTGATATTTAGAAGAATCTTTTCAAGTTTGCTTGCCCTGTTGAATCAATGTCGGCTTCTAGTTGTAATGACTTACTATATAATGCTGATTTCTGCATTTTCTAATTTTCATGTGGAGTAGGTACATTCACATGTCGATATTTATAATTTTACTGATAATACTTGGGGAGGGAGATTTGACATGCCCAAAGAGATGGCACATTCACACTTGGGAATGGTAACAGATGGGAGATACATATATGCTGTGACTGGACAATATGGCCCACAATGCAGAGGACCTACTGCTCATACATTTGTTCTTGATACTGAAACAAAACAATGGAGAGATATGCCACCTTTACCAATTCCAAGGTATGCACCTTTCTCAAATTAGCTTAAATACATGAGAGTCGGAACAAAATTATGTACCACTTAATTGTCTCCTAATGCTTGCAATGAATGTTTTAGGAATATACACTGATATCATGTTATGCTGCTTATTCGCATGCATTTGATCAGACTGGAAATTGCTGTTTTAAGCAATGTAATCCCTGGATGAGCTTGTTAAAATAACTGCAGAATTTGGTTGGACAAGTATTATTATCACCCAACATTATAATGTGACAGCATCTTGAATTCTTGATGAATGTGTGTGAATGAACTTGGGTTGCTCCATACCTAGAACCCAACAGAACTTCTGTGAGCCATATAATTAGTCAGTGAACAGTTGCGCTCAGAATCGAGTTTAAATCAGTTCCATACTTTCTTCCTTTAGTCACAATGTAAAAGCAGCTTCAGGGCTGCAATTGATTTTATGGAACCAGATTCCAACATGGTGATTAGATTTTGATAAGCTTTTATGATGACAAATTTATTTTATTTATCTATTCTTGTGCTGGATGGTTATATGATATTTCTGCATAGTTTATAGGACCGTTATCTTTTTCTGAACACAGATACGCACCAGCGACCCAGCTCTGGAGGGGTAGGCTTCATGTGATGGGTGGCAGCAAGGAGAATAGGCACACACCAGGTTTAGAGCATTGGAGTCTGGCCGTTAAGGATGGAAAAGCCTTGGAAAAGGAATGGAGGACAGAAATTCCCATACCTCGTGGAGGGCCTCATAGGTTTGTGGTCCATGATGATACCTGTTCCTGGTCACTCGTGCTTTTATTCTGCAAACTTGTAGATTGCATCTTCTATTTGGCTCGTGTTACAAACAGCTAAACTACTACTACTGTTTTGGTTTTTCTCAAGGGCCTGTGTTGTTGTAGATGATCGACTTTATGTAATTGGTGGTCAAGAGGGTGACTTCATGGCCAAACCTGGATCTCCAATATTCAAGTGTTCTCGTAGAAATGAGGTAATGTGGCAACACTTATTTCCTCTTTTGTAATTCCTCCAGGAGGGTGGTGGTTCTATGAAGTATCTGTCTGTGATTCAGCCCATCATTTTTTTAAGCGTGTATCCTGGTTCTGCTCAGATAGATGAATGACAAGACATCACTCGGTAGAATTCTAAAAGTGCGTTCTTTATGATGTAGAAGGTGACCAACCTCCGCTTATAGAAGACAGTTCAACCATACTTAACTTGTGTGTCATCCTGTTGGTTGCTAATGAGATTGTTTTAATGGTGAAATAGCATTACTTCTCTCTCTGACTGACAAACAGGACACCGAGTTTACAGTTTTCCCGATGATACGTGTTTCTGAAATTAGGATCTCTGGGATTCACTCAATGCTAGAATCCCAGAGATTAGTTGAGTGAACTAGGAATCTAGGATTCACTCAAGTGTTTCTGATTAGTTGAGTGAACTGGAATCTAGGAGTCCAGATGGGTGCTTCATTATGCATGTCCAACTCCATCAGTTGCATTTCCATTTCTTACTCTATCTTCATGTTTTTATATCTTCGTATTATGTACTGAATAATTCACATGGTCCCTGAATTCACCTCAGGTAGTATTCGGTGACGTGTACATGCTGGATGATGAGATGAAGTGGAAAGTGCTACCGTCAATGCCAAAGCCTGATTCTCACATTGAATTTGCTTGGGCGCTTGTAAATAATTCTATTTTAATCGTTGGAGGGACGACAGAGAAGCATCCTGTAACGAAGAAGATGGTCCTCGTTGGCGAAATCTTCCAGTTCAACCTAAATAATCTGGTAAGAACTTCATTCATTCACTCGCTTATGTGTCTTTGGATCATCTGACAGTGAAAGAATTAGTTAACTGAATTTCAAGCCGAGTTTCTCAACCTTTGGCGAACTTTGGTATCTGGCTTATACTTACTGCAGAAATGGTCAGTGATTGGAAAACTTCCTTACCGAGTCAAGACCACGCTGGTTGGTTTCTGGGATGGGCATGTGTACTTCACGTCGGGACAGCGAGACAAAGGACCAGACGATCCTGCACCCAAGAAAGTCATTGGAGAAATGTGGAGAGCCAAACTGAAGTTGGAACCCTGAAGGCTAGTTTTGTCTAATTCATTATTTGCATTTCTGGCGATTGTAACAGGTCTGTATCATCATTATATTCATTCCTTAGAGCTTTCCCCCCAGCCTTCTTCAGTTTCGTTTGCTTCTAAATCTAGAAGGTAGGAACTAGGAACTGACCGAGTCTTTAGAGTTCACGTCATACCATACTTCCGAGTTAAAGGAATGTATTCGATATCATTTGTTTTCATTCTTAAAAGGACAAGAAGTTTACACAATCCCATCCTGTTTTCACTTTTCAGTTTATCAACAATCTAGTTCTCATCATTTTAGAAGGTTGCGATATTCAGATCTTAAGTACAAGGTTTCAGGTTTCATCTTTGACTTCTACAGCAAGCAACAGGGCCTAATGAGAACTTAATGCCGGTCGGTGGTCAGTGACAGTGAAAAATACAATTACAACACCAATGCTGTAGATGAAGCTAGTTGGCGATGCAATCTCATTGCTTTTTCTTTCTTTATTTCTGATGATTTACAAGGCTACTGAAAAAGTTCTACAACAAAGAGCTCCCCATCAAACCTCAAACCAGCAGCTTCACCAGGCTGAAGCAGACCATCAACCATCCCACCATACAGATACAAAAAACGCCCCGATTGATCTCCACAAGCTCTATGGAATGACCTACGATTTGGTTTATGACCCTTTACGCTGATCCTCTTCCACAAACTAGACGATGCCTGCTGCAATCTCCTGGCATTCAACGCTGGCTGTGGCAGCTGCTCTCTGATAGGCTTAACCGCCTCAATGTCCAGAATCAAGAAGTCATCTTTTCTGTGCCTAAGCGAATCTTCTCCTCCGTAGATCAGCAGCCGCCCTCCCAAGATCGGTGTAGCTGAATGACCAACTCGTCTCAGCGACACACCTTGAGGCACCTTCTGATTTTCATGCACTACCTGCACCCACCTCAGATCACCACCTTCAGACATTTGCAGAAGCCACAAGTCATCCATGACCTCATACCCCAGCCCTCTTCCACCAAAGAGAACCATTTTGGTTCCTCCAATGCAGGTCAACGAGTGCCCTGATCGCGGTGGAGGTGCTGGATAAGTCAGCAGTTCATGCCATGTTCCTGAACAGAAGTCTTCTGATGGATCCAAAACCCAAGTGTCGCCTAACCTCAGGCCATAAAGCCCTATTCCTCCTTGGATGACCATCTTCCTCTCGAAGCAACAAGCAGCATGAGCACCCCTTGGTGGTGGAGGCCTGGAGGAACCCAGTTCAGGATCAAGCAGCCGCCAAGAAAAAGTAATTCCACCACCAACAGCAGTATTCTCCGTGGATAGCACTCGCCCGACCCATGTGTCGTTGTGACGGACTCCACGGTCATTGATACCGCCAAAGAGGATGACATAATTGCCAATAGCAATGCATGAATGCCCAAACCTACCACTGGGGATCCCTGTACTGACTTTCTGCCATTTTACCGTTGTTTGAGAGTTATTGCCAACGTATGTTATCCATGTCTCATCGAGATGGCGTCCTACAAGGAACCAAAAACATGGACAAATGGATTAAAGAGGACTGAGGCATGATCAGAGAAAGGAAAAGGCTTGCTCTTCTATAGTTCAATCAATCTTTAAGAAATTATATTGGTGCTTGAGTGCATTCTTCATTTGGCCAAGGAAAAATGGAGGAGGGTGACCCCAAACCAAGCGTTGAGATGGATGAAAATCCTAGTGGCACCGTTGCATTCTGACCCAGATAAAATCAAACAACAAGCGAAATGCCATTCCAATCCAAGTTTAGACTTCCCTTTGCTTCAAAGACTAGAGGAAAAATCCTTTCCTAAAACCCCTCAACCGGACGTGGAAATGTGATCGTAATTGGATCATGGAGGCATATCAACAAGCACCTTGCGTGCATTACTCAAGATCATGAAAAACAAGCAACAACAAAAAAAATCAACCCTTTGATTCACAATTTCACAACTATAACGATTCGGCAATCAAACCAAGAGGATAAGATTTTTCGGCTACCAACCTCCTTCGCAGCCGCCGCCAAAGAGGACTAAGCAATCAGAGATGAAGTTGAGCGAGTGAGAAGCTCTTGGGCTGGGAATCCCCTCCAATTGATCTGGGTCCGGGAGAAGCCTCCGGCAAGTCACGGTGTCAAGCCGAGACACCTTCTTGTACATCGCCATCCACGGATTCGCAGCAACGTTTCTGAAATTGGGTAAGAGGGAAGATCTGAGGGCGTGGACAGAGGAATCCCCGAATTCCCTGGCGCAAACCGACTCCCAGAGCGCGTCCGAAGTCGCGAGGGAGCTGAACCTCTTGCAGGTGGCGGCGAAGGAGAGGATCGATTCGACGGGGAGCAGGAGCAGGACTGTGAAGAGATGATCTGCAGCCATGCTGGTGATCGGCGGCGAGGATGATGATGAACCATTGCTGTCGGTAGAAGAAGGAGAAGCCATGAATCAGGAAATCGAGTCTTGGTCGGGGCTTCTTCCGTCTGTGGAATGGAAGAATGATTGTTTGACGACAAAAGAAAGGGAGCGAGTGTGAGTGGGGGAGCTGCTGAAGCTGCCGCCTCCATCTGCTGTCGCTGAAGCCTGAGAGTGATAGCTCTTACTATTTTCGTCCATTGGCGGTAAAATCCGCCATTTTTCTACACTCTTTTGGTCTTGGACTGTGGTTACTGCCTACTGGTCAGGATTTTTTTTTTTTCCCGGGAAAATGGTCCAACCGGGAGGGAGGTCCCGCCATCAGAATCTCTATGAATTCTATTCTTTTGTCAGCTTCGGGTTAATTCGACAACAAATTTTTTATCTTAGAATAAACGTCACTATTTACTAAATCGTTATTTTTTTCATCCTAAAACTTAACAATGAGTAGCGAACTATAATATTTCATGATACAAGGAGAAAGCCGATAGGATGCTGATGGGTCGTCCATCGTCTTCACTTGGGGTCGTCAGCCATCACAGTGATTGATTGCATGGATCCGAATAACGAAGTTGGTCGATAGACTAAAATTGCTCTTCGGCCAATCCCAGACCTCTGATACCTCTCTTAAACTGACAAGCCCCCATATTTATCGCTTACTACGTCACCTCTCTCCTCCTCACTCCGGAGGGATGAGAAGCTCGGGACTGGAGAAGTCTTTTCCATCTTTCAACAAATTACACGATTCTAATCCAACACGCATCATTCAGATGAGGTACCTTGTCGTGGCATTAAACGCGTTACAAAGATAACGGTGTAACAAAAATTACACTCTACACTCTAGAAGTGAGTCGGATACAACTATTAAACCTAGTTGGCCAACAATAGAATTGGATTTGGAGCCTTTCATTTCATGGGAAATTTGTCAATTAGTAATTTATTTGATTTTGAGTGTCTATTTATTAGAAAAGGAGAAGGGAACAGACAGACGGTAAACGACAGACAGCCTTTAAAATTACAACACTAAACGACGGCTTACAGGATTTCGAATGCCAATCCGATCCGTGAACACATTTATCACAATCAACTTCTCCTGAAACCTCCTCGTCGAGCTAGTCATCAGTCTTAACGTAAAAGCCAACCATCTCTAACGCAAACTTCCAATTAGATCCCCAAACTCCAAACAGAAGTTAAAGCCAAATAACCTATTTGGTCCCTTCAGACGATTAGCAAGAAACAGGGCATGCACGAGCTTACGCAGCATCCATCATGTTCGCTTGCATGTTGTTGAAGCTCCTCCAATGTGAGTAAGGCTTAGTAACTAATTATCATTTCTGCAAGTTTTGAACTTTGCCTTTGTTTAATACTCTCCGCACAGCACTCTTGGCTTCTTCCAGATTTTCAACTGCATGGCCTTCTTCAAATGATAACCTCTGAACGTTGAACTGCAACGAGATACAATGGACAAGACGCAGGTATCAGAACTACATTCCATCCAGATCAAATAGAAAGAAAGATGGATGGATGTAAAGGGTCACGACTCACGAGAAAGTTATTGTATTTTTACTACTTACCTGTGCTCCTTGGCGGACCCTTATGTCGATTCCTTTGCTGTCTATCGATATGATTGCGGCATCATCTACTTCCATCTCACTCGATAACAACTCCTTAAGCCGCTTTGAGAATATCACATTCAGTTCCTGTCACGAACGAGTGCAGGCAACGACAGCAGATGAAAAAGTTTGAATTTACTCATTCCCATTGTGAAACATATGTATTAGAGGTAACTGACAAGCATAGGTTGTCAAATGTACTGCAGTGCATGCCAGCTGCAAGAAAGAGCAATCATAATTTACCTTGAGATTGTGCTCTCCTCCATCAACTGCGATCTTATCCGGCTGAATGGCCTCATATTCCTTGACATCAACCCATGCAACAGTGCCGAAACCTCCAATGAAGTATATGTCACTGAAAGATAAGGTTCTAGGTTACTTCCATTTACAAAACCATAAGTTTGTAGCTACATGTCACATCAGCGACATCTAACTGGTTCACGTTTCTTCATGCTGACAAATTGACTTCTGAGAGAAGGGGTGTGTGTTGGGGGGAGGGTGGCTAAGAAGAGCACCAGGTAGAGAACTTTTACACATGGCACAAACAAGTAGGAATATCGTAAGGCTACAAACATAATGAAGGGGTGATGATTTATGCCTAGGAACAGATAAGCTTCCAGTCGGCCACAGTATGAGTATAGCCCAAGCCCAACTTCAGCAAATGGTTTTGGATTTTACTTCATAAGATGCAGCGTCATCAGAAGATATGTAATGGGGTACTATAGGCATGGAAAAATTAGATTATCTACAGTTACCTAACGATATGATAGAAACAGACCTTATATTTTGCATTCTGAAGTAGTAGAAATTCCCCCACTGTTGGGAAGGACCTTGCTGATGTTTAGCAATATACTGTTTATGAGCCCACTCCTGGACCAGCAATCAGAACTTAGAAATGACAACAACATTTAACAAATAGAACGAAACCAGCAGGCTCTTCTACGAACAAGTTCCAATCAAAACCATGGCTATGGAAAACTATGAAAGATTTGGTGCACATACAGACATGGGCAAGAAGGGGCAAGAAATAAAGGATGAGCAAGCACCTGTTCATCTTCTGCTAGAGGGTACACATCTCCGAAAATTGTAACTCTTGCATTTGATAAGCTACTCCATCCAGGTATCTGTCAGAGATAACTATTAACAAAATCATAATGCAGAAGGTACAGAAACGGCCACCTAAAATAATGACAGCCCAACAGCAAACCTGCACAACAAGGGTGCATTTTGGATCTGCTAACAAATTCCTTGTGTGTATGGCCAAGGGTGAAAATGAAAATATTGGATCTGCAATTGAAGCACAATCTTAAAGGTAAGGCTATGGGTTATGGCCATTATTATATGCAAATTGAAGTTATCTAGCATCGATAATATTTGCACATAAGAAGACAGTTCATGCAAAATAGAGTCAATCATCGAACTTATAGGTTTAGCATACACATCAATAAGCTTAATAGACCTTCAAAGAGAATTGGAACAGTATTATTGATCACACACACCCCCAAAACAGTATCCATTGTGGCAACCATACACCAAAAAATGATTACTTACGGCCCATCGCATCTGGAGCAAAATCCACCAAGGAACCAAATGGATACCCTTCTCGTCGATGGTGCATCCGAGACATAGTGGTGCATAGATGGGCAAATCTGGCCTTAATAACAAAAAACAACCCCAATTTAGAGATAATACTTCATCAAAAACCAACCATGTGGAGTGATATCATTAGATGGCAAAAGACATCAGCAGTAGTACCTGTTCCATCAGGTTGCGAACTGCAAGGGCTGGTCGAGGTAAGCCATGTGCTGAGGTTGCACTCTGTACACCACCAGAAATTGGAGTTCTGAAAAGCCCTGCTCTTGTACCCCCACTGGTTCCACTTCCATGGGGAACTGTCAATGGTGACTCCACCTTCAATAATTTCTCTGAATCCTTTTGACTGCTTTCAGCTTGCTTTATGAGTCCCTTCATAGCACAAGAGAGGCGATCACTACCAAGCTGTAGCAGCCATTTGATACATCGATTTACGTTCTATATCACAGCAAAGATGATGTTCCAAGTATCAAACAAAAAAGCAGGACAAGACCTACACGCTAAAAACATATATCTAAACCAATCTCACGCTTTCTACAACGACAAAAGATATCTATATGAAGTACAATTTTCTTTGCGTTTTTTGTTTCTCATAATTTGAGTCCTCGTTGAAGGTTATATCCCACAGATTCTTCCCCAAACTCACTAAACCTTTTACTTCTGTTCCTTCCAATTCTAGCTTTAAAGTGCAAGATGGGATCATGGAAGTACCACTAAAGAAACTTCGGCGGATCAACATCTTTGACATCATTTTTTGAAGCAAGGTTGTACATGTATACTTCGAGCACTTGCTGGAAAATAACAACAGTAACAGATCCTGGCTTGAAATTAGTTGCTGAAAGTGGTTCATATCATTAGCGAAAAATGCGTAACCTACTAAGCAAACCAACTCTTAAGAACTGGGAATCAACCGCATTGTTTTCAAGTTAGCTCTTGGATTTGCTCAAAACAAGACTCACAAAAGTCCAGTCCCATTACAAGTTCTCCCTGGAGCCTTAACACCGATAACCTTGTCAATAGTTCAATAAGAAAAAGATACTGAAATTTCCTAAGGGCAGATGGTATTGACATATTAGCTCTAGTGTATAGACTCATAAGACCATACATTATTGAAGATGCAGCAAATGTATGACGATTCAATCAGAACTTTCAAGTTCTTGAAACCGCAACATGGCAGCCTCTATAGACCACCCTAAGTAGAATACATGCATTACTATCGACAATCGCAACAAGTGTATGAATATAATGTTTCAAGCTCTCGAAACCGCAACATGGCATCCTTGTTCTATCTTACCAGTAACCAGAGCAAAACCCTCCCCACATTTTGGTTACTCATCTGAAATTATTCCTGTGAAGTAAACAAAACACTCTCCACACTTGACCCACTCTCAGACCTGAAGTTGAGGGAGAAATGGGATACCTGAGGCAGGGAGAGCGTGGAATCAGAAACCAATCCAAACCCATCATCACCCAGGTGACTGTTTTCCTCTCCGGCTCCATCAGACAGCTCACGGGCCAGACCCTGAAGGCGCAGTCGAGGGAAACGCGCTGCTTCGGCGAATTTGGAAGACCCTATAATTCCCTTACTGAGCAGAATCTTGCTGGAAGACGAGTAACAGCAGGCAGAAGAGGAGGAGGAGGAGGAAGGTGACGGAGGGCTGAGCGATGGGTGTGTTTCTGGGAATCTGGAGACGAACGCTGTGCTTGACAGAGACTCCATTGAGTAAGCACTGCGAACAGAGCAGAGATTGTCGGGAAATCGGAGGGGGAAAGTGAGACGAAGAGGAAGCAGGAAATAGAGATTTAACAAGGGTTTTTGGCTTTCTGTAGATTCTCTTCTTTGTTAATGGCGGATGAATGGAATGAAAAAAAAGGTTGGGTCTTTTTCTTTTTTTTTTTGACAAAGGTTACCAGCTTTTATTCCACCGAATAAATGAAAGACGAGAAACTTGGTTACAAATAGGGATGGCAACTTTGCCCATACCCATGGGTTTCTTACTATCCAACCCAATTGGGTTGGGTATGAAATCCAAATAGATGGATATGGGTAGAGTTTGATGGGTTTGTACCCATACCCATTTACTTTGGGTTGAGTTGGGTTTATATCAAATGGATTTGTACCCATGCCCAAATACAAATTACAGTTTGGTACCCAAACTTAATAGCCATGCATATTCAGTACCTAAATTTAATTTTTTTTGCATATAAGTCCTCAAAATATCGATGGAAAATTACATTTTGGTACCTAAATTTTTTTGGTCTTACATTTTGGTACCTAAACTTTTCAAGTTTTGCAAATAGGTCCAATTTTTGCATGTGTAATTAAAACACCCTCAAGTAAATGGATATCCATATCCAACCCAAACCCATACCCATCTATAAACCCCCAAATCCATATGCACTTCACCCATACCCAACCCATTATCAATGGGTCTACTTGGGTTTGGGTATAATTACCCATGGGTGGGTAATTTGCCATCCCTAGTTACAAATCTTAAAGAAGATTAGAAATGAGGTCAAGAATAAGGGTAAATGTCACTTTTGGTACTGGGATTACTAAACCGTGTTATGTTTAGTCACTAGAAAAAAATAATATCAATTTTGGTCACTCAAATTACTAAAACAAGTCACATTTAGTCACTTTCCCGTTAGCCTCCGTCCAACTTCGGTCACTCGAATTACTTTTTTTTTTATGAATTTCACTCGAATTACTGAAACATGTCACATTTAGTCACTCTCCGTTAATGTGACATGTTTCACTAATTCAAGTGACCAAAATTGATATTAACATGACATGATTTAGTAATCTCATTGACCAAATGTAGCATTTACCCTTTTAAATAAAGTTAGAACGAGAAAGTTTGATATTAATGAAAATTAAGTTAAATTATTAGGGCAAATTTTTGACAGCTCCACCAACTACAACAATGACTTCATTTGTAGAAGTTATGTGATATCTCCAAAAGAAAAACTACAACTACAATTAAATTACAATGAAAATTAAAAAAAAAAACTTGAAAATTGTGTCTATTGTATGGATAATTTGTGATATTTTTCAATATAATTTGTATATGTTTTCCCTTCTCGATTTGATTCGCAATGTCCCTTTTCTTGTAATAGTGAATATTTTTGGGTATTATTTATCAATGTGGTCAATTGATTTCATATAGCACTAGTTTACATTATTATTATTATAAATATAAAAAATCGCTTTAATTCATCAAATATGATTATAATACTTACAACACCCTTTATAAAAACGTTCATAAAGTGTTCATGATGGTTTGATCACTCACTTAAAACTTCACTACTATTATATAAACACATATGACATCTCATTTACAAAATTACCACTGTATTCATCCGACGGTTGTGAAACACCCGACTTCCGATCGGACGACGATGGCACATCTTTTTCAAATGTGGCTATAGAGATTTGGGCTCCTCTTACCACCAAGACCACACGAGCTCTTAGGGCCCCCTAAACGCGGCCCAAGTACTTTTTGGGCCGTAGTCCATAACCAAGGTCCTCGACAGACCCAAAAAAATCCCTCCTGTTCTGGTCCAGAGCCCATTATATATATCAACCTCAAGCAGCACATACCGCCAAACGACTTCGGCGCGAAACCCTGGAAGCACTAACAGCCGCCATAGCCAGCATCTGCCATTCCCGTCTGAACCAAGGAGGTAACGTAGGTGATATTTCTCCTTGTAAATCGTTCTCTGGTTTCTGTTTCTATACTAACTGCTTTGTGGGTTTTGATTGAAGAAAGACCATGATCTTCTTTACCTCTTTCGGTCGTCTCCTTTCCCTCTTTAGGGTTTTAAGCTTTTGATTTGCAAGTCGGAAAATCGTTGTTTCACGTTTTCTGGGTTCTTGGCCTTTCGTAACTTTGGGCTGTCGAATTTTTTTATTTATTTGAGCTCGTGAATTTCGGCAACGGCGGTGATGAACCTATCAATCGGAGCCGAGCCCATGCAGCCCATGCAGAGTAACCAAAAGCTGCGTGCGCTGCTAGAATGCAGGGCTTTGTCTTTCTGATTGTGAACGTTCTGAGCTGTGAACGGTTGGTAGTGTGTTCGTATATATATGCAGGATTGTTTAGGGTTTGCAGTGGAAGATGTTAGTACTGTTCGAGACTCCGGCCGGATTTGCCCTTTTCAAAGTTCTGGATGAAGGGAAGCTATCCAAAGTTGAGGTAAAACGTTATGGATAACTCCTTGTCATCATCAGAACAAAATGATGGAGAATTTGCTGACAGCAGTTTAGTGTGTTTCATATTAGCTCAAGCTTCTGGATTTTGTTGCAGGACTTGTGGAAGGAGTTCTCGTCCTCAGACACTGCGAGGAAGGTAGATTAGATGTCCATTTTTCTCGTCTGAGTTGTGATTGTCTATTCGTGTATGTAGATTCTATGAAGTCTTTTCTCTTTGGTTGTGGAAAATAGGTGGTGAAGCTGAAAGCATTTGATAAGTTTGACAACACGGCCGATGCTCTGGAGGCAGCAACCAAAATCAGCGACGGCTCAACCACTAAAAGCCTGCGAAGATTCCTGAAAGCTCACTGCGAAGGCGAGAGATTGGCAGTGGCTGACTCAAAGCTGGGGAATGCAATCAAGGAGAAATTGGTATGCTTCTCTTTGGCTTTAACATTGTGTGTGTTCTTATATATAGATGTACCAGCTAGCCTTTCTAAATCGGATTGGTGGTTGGGAATTTCAGAAAATCGAGTGCGTGCACAACAATGGTGTCATGGAGTTGATGAGAGGAGTGAGGAGCCAGTTGACAGAACTTATAGCTGGTCTAGGGAGCCAAGATTTGGCACCAATGAGCCTCGGTTTGTCTCATAGCTTGTCCAGATACAAGCTCAAGTTCAGCCCTGATAAGGTATTTGGTCAACTTCGATCCATCTGTTGTCCATCGTATTTATGTGTAGCAGGGTGTGTAGATTTGACCAATGTACGCCTTCATCTTAATGTTCCAGGTTGATACAATGATCATTCACGCTATTGGCGTGCTTGATGATCTCGATAAGCAGCTTAATCAGTATGCAATGGCGACCAGAGAATGGTACGGTTGGCATTTTCCAGAGCTTGCCAAGATTGTTCAAGACAACATTGTCTATGCTAGAGCTGTGAAGTTGATGGGTTTCCGTGAGAATGCTGCAAAACTTGATTTCTCCGAGGTAATGTACCTCTGAAATCTTGGCTTAACTAGTTTCAGTTCTCTGTTTGGACCGAGGATTGGCTGAATAGGTAAAGTGGCTAACTGCTCCATGTTGTTGATTTTGTAGATATTGCCCGAGGATGTCGAGGAAGCAGTGAAGGAAGCAGCCAAGACATCGATGGGGACTGAAATGGGCGAACACGACATGGCAAATATAATGCAGCTCTGTGACAAGTTCTTGTCTCTATCCGAACACAGGCCTCAACTGTACGACTATCTGAAGAGCAGGATGAACACCGTCGCGCCTAATTTGACTGCTCTGGTTGGAGAGCTCGTTGGGGCTCGGCTGATTGCCCATGGAGGCAGCTTGATGAATCTCGCCAAGCAGGCAGGGAGCACCGTCCAGATTCTTGGAGCGGAGAAGGCCCTGTTCAGAGCTCTGAAGACTAAGCACGCCACACCCAAATACGGGTTGATCTACCATGCATCCCTTGTTGGCCAGGCGATGCCTAAGATGAAAGGGAAGATTTCCAGGTCGCTTGCTGCTAAAGCTTCTCTTGCGATTCGATGCGATGCTCTTGGAGACGGACAAGATAACTCCATCGGATTAGAGAATCGTCTCAAGGTTACATTGATTGATTATTCCAAAGCATCTTCCATGTGGGTTGGGGTTAGGAAGTACTTATCATTTGGGCTGTATTTGCAGATGGAAGCGCGATTGAGGAGGCTCAAGGGCGAGGAATTGGGACGTTCTGCAGGTTCGGTTAAGGGGAAGCCGAAGATTGAGGCTTATGACAAGGATAGAAAGAATGGAGGAGCTGCTGGAATGATAACTCCTGCGAAGGTTGCTGCTGCCTTTTGTATGAGAATTATTATACTTGTGTCCTTAACTAATGGTCCTTTTTTTCACAGACCTACAATCTTTCTGCTGATGCTGTTCTTGAACAAAAACCGAAATCGGTTGGAGAGGAGACCGTCGAGATGAAGATAAAGTTTGGCGAGGAAGCTCCAGCTACTGAAGGTGCTGAAGAAATGAAAGCTCTTTCTTTGGACAAGAAGAAGAAGAAGAAAAGGAGCAAAGATGTGGAAGCTACTGAAGTTACGAAGGGAGATGTTAATGGTGATAAAAAGGAGAAGAAACAAGCTGAAGCTGAACAGAGTGATGTTGTTGGAGATGGTAAGAAGAAGAGGAAGAAGAGGAAGCGGTCTCCCGAGCTGGAAGCAGCAGAGAAGCCTACCAGCAAGAAGGATAAGAAGAAGAAAAAGAAATAAGAATGTGAGGACCATTTTTTACGTAAAGCTTCTCGGATAGAAAACATGCTAAGCTATTGTCATTACGTTGGTACGTAGGACACCTAATTTTCATTTTCATTAGGGAGATATTTGGTGGTAGGGGTGGCTATACGGTCCGGTTAAATTGGAACAAATTGATCCGGTCCCAGTTTGGTATTTTCTGGAATATAAGGATCAAAGACTGGATTGGATACGGTCCGGTTCCAAATTTATCTTGATTTTAGGTGTTGGGGGTCTCTTATCCGGTCTTTATCCTGTTTTTTACCTCAAATCTAAACTCGAATATGAGATTGCATTGTTTGCTATCCGGTCCCAGTCCGGTCTCGGTCCGAGTTATATGGTCTGGTTTCGGGTAAAACCAAACAGTCCGGGACCAAATAGCCAGCCCTATCTGGTGGTTTGCAATTGCAAAATTAGTTCCAAGCATGGTCCATGAAACCGTACCGGAGACCGTACCGGAAAAGTCAGCGATAGGATATTTTATGACCAAACCGTGGTTTAACCATAGTTCAACCGTTAGTACCGTTAAATACAGCCTATCGGTTTAGCCTCTGATACTGGTATTTTGTGGTTGAACCGTCGGTACGATACGGTTTAATGGACCATGGTTCCAAGAATTTTTTTGTTTATTTGAAATAATAAATCTTTCAATTTCCTACTGTTTGTGCGTTGGAAAAGAAATTCGTTACGAGAATGGTTGAGTTTGAATACATGTCGATTTCCTTGCATGTTAGAAATCGAAAATTGATCGTAAATGATGATATCATTAAGCGAGAATAACACATACAAAAACACCAAATTTCATCCTTTCTTTTATGCACATCGCACTAGGATTAACTAACTAATTCTCCAGCTGACTAATCTCGTAAAAATCTGAATTAACTAGCCTTAATTGATATCTACCTCCGCTAATTAAAGTATTAAACCACACCCAAGCAGACACGTGTCGAGTGAATCAAACGAGGGACTCCGCCCAACCTTCCTCCGGCTCCGGTCGCCGCCGCGCTCCGCCACGGCCTTTCAACAACCCCTGTTCAAGCTTGGCCACCACCTTCACGATCAGCTCCGCCGGCACGCCGGACTCCTGCGCCAGCCTCCGCAGGTTCCGCCTCGTGTCAGCCGATCCGCCCCTCACTCCGAACCAAAACGCCGCCGCCAAGCTCAGCCGCAGCGGCAGCACTCTCCCGAGCCGCCGCCCTGCGCACAACAATCCCATCGCCTGGACCGCCTTCGCCTCCACCATCTCGCCGCCGTCCACCCCGAGCTTCCTGCACCAATTCGCGAAAACGGCCCCGATCTCCCCCTCGCAGACTCCAGATCTCGACGTTTTAACCTGCTGGTCCACCGCCTCGTCGGAGCGGAGGACTTTCGATTTTGCAGTGGAGCTCCCCGATTCGGACGGGTTGGAGGAAGAGCAGCAGGAGATCGAGTCCGATTCTTGATCCGGAGAAGCGATTTCCAGCTCCGACGTTGAGCAGGCCGCGCAGGCGGCCGATCGTGCTCCGAAAATGGAGTTGGGAGTGAGGCAGCCGCAGCTCCGGCAGAGCAAGTGGCGGACGTGGCGGGAGACGAGGAAGTTGGCGTGGTGGACTCTGGCGTCGCAGTGGAAGCAGAGGAAGGCGTCGTCGGAGTTGCAGTAAACGTCCGGTGATCCCGAGCAGAGCTCGCAAACCCTAGACCGATCCTCCATTTTTTTTTCTTTCCGTCCTTGATCGGAGAAAATTCAAAAATGAGAGCGGAAGAAAGAATGAGTGGTTGATTATTAGAGAGGAGGGATTAAGTAGGAATGGCGGAAGGGAGAAAGAATCTTGTGGTGAGAAATTGAGGGGAGGAGATTTTTTTGGGGAGGGAGGGGATTGAGGAAAGAGAGATTCAAGGAGAGAAGAGAAACAGAGTTTTTCTGGTTGTGCGGTGAAAGGAAGGAGAAGGGCGGCGGGGGGGTGATTTCGTGATCCGGCGAAAATGTAGGATAAAAAGGCAATGTTGATTGATTGATTGATGAAGAGACACCGGCGGTGGACTGGTGGCGGAGGTGAAAAGTGGTATAAGGAAAATGATAAGTTGTTGTTGTTGCGATTTGTGAGAGGTTTGATAATGGATCTTATACGAAACAAGTAACGGTGTCTGTCGCGGTGGCCGCTAAAAATAGGACACTAAGATTTTGTGTGGTGGTGGAGTGGAAACTGTGGAAGAAGGAGAAAGAAAGTTGAGACTTGAGAGAGCCGAGTTGGACACCTTGAATGAAGGAAGAAACGGAAACCTCGTTTTTTTTTTTTTTTTTTAACTGAAAAATATCATTCTACTACACTACCTTTCTACTGTTTCACATATTGATCCTCGTAATTTCTTTATTTCTCAAATTCGAACCCACTTTTTTTTTGTCTGTTATATAGCACATCCACATTATCAGTATCGTTGGATCTCGCATCGTACATACTTCATTCTTCTAATGTCTACTATGTATATTTTTGAAAAAAGACAAAATAGAGTTTAGTGATGAGTGCCCAATTCGACTGATTGTCAAATAAGCAAGATTGTGAAATCTCGGTCTCAAGACTCAAGAGCATGTAGCGGATTTCCCGAGCGAAAGCAGGTGCAACTATCTAGTTTGTAGAAAATAGTCGGCACAAGATGATAAGAAGTTGGCAAGTAACGCAAGACGGTTTACACTTATTGATTGAGACGTTACCCTGTTTCGTTTTGAGTAAAATTATCAAAGTTCTACATACAAGTGTGTTGTCCTTTGAATGAGAAAGAATAATCATTATCACGTTGATAATTGACCAATTATTAGAGAATACTTGTGATTTTAAGTTCTTTAACAATGCGCGAAAGGTAGAATTGAGTTTGCTGGGGGTGAGATGCAAGAAAAATAGTTTATGGGGATCGAAAACGAAATATTCAAGATGTCGGATGATGACTTGGTAAGATGGTTTGGGGGTGTCGTTTGATGAAAGCGCGGGAAAATATCTTCCGCTTTCTTTATTGCTAGGTTGTTGGACTTGTGGTTGTTTGTTTCTTCTCAAATTTTCTTCTGTTCAGCTGCATTCGTGTTGAGGTTGTTACCCACAAAACCACATCTCCAAATCTCCACCAGATAATTTTTTTAGTAGCTCTCATTGCCTTGCATTACTCAAAAAGGAAACGAAAACGAAAGCTTTGATGCACCACCCAGAAACAGCCAGATGTCATTCTCCAATGTCGGCCTCATCATTCGGCTTCCAAAATTTCATCTGGCTAACAACTCACAAAGCCCCACACCCACACACAGCTGGAGACTTTCAAACTGAAAAGAACAGAGCAGAAATACCTCAGACCGATATCAGTTCTACAATATCAATGAAAATACGACCTCCATAATCATACACGATCCAAATCTTGAAAAACCGTATGATGAGTAACCACGAGAACACCCGTAGTCGGTATTGGGGCAGTTTATTTGTGTTGTCTTGTGTCGTTCACAAGTCGGAATCCGAATCAGATTTCTTTTCCTCCTTGGGAGGTGCAAAGTTCCTGGTGAGCTGGGATCTCATCCAGGGATCGAGAGCGGCTCGCTGTGGCAGCTGAGGGACCGCCGGTTTTGATTGTCTGAGCTCGTTTTCTCTGTCGATAAACCTGGTTGATGTATGTGTACCATCAGCACAAACCACTATTGCAAGGCAATACAAGATCAACTGAAACTACATACAAACCATTCTAAAGCCTTAAGAGTCTTATGCATAACAAATAATTGATAAGGATTGGATGATAACTTATAAGTATGAAGTATGTGTCAAAAACCAGTTGGTCCTAATAACTCGAGTTGTTGGGAGAGGTTCAATCGTGGATCATATACCACAACACTAACAGTATGAACATACGGGACTTCTTAAATGATACCAGCATGTTCCTAATGTGCCATGAAACCTTCGGAAAAAGCTGGCATTCTGCTCAAGTTGTGTAAATTATAATAAACATAACAACGAGAAAGGGTTTTTATTCGATTTCCTTTTGAAAAGCTCTGCAAAAGATGGAAACTTGAAAGTTGGTAGAGAGAGAGAGAGAGAGAGAGTCTCACTCAATGTACGCCATAGGTGCAGCATCACCAACTCTTATGCGTGTTCGTAGCAGCCTTGTGTAGCCACCTGCTCTCTCCCTGTAATACACCATGTGAATTGTAGGTAAACATGTGTTTCAAGAGACACAGAAAGTGAAACTAAAACGAACTGGTCGAAACATACTTGTATCGATATGCTAGCTCAGTAAATAGTTTGTGAAGGACTTCATCTCCTCTCACAAAACCAGCAGCTCGCCTAGCTGCACAAAGGGTGCCCTGCAACAATCCCAAAGGATAGAAGATCAGTAAGAGCCCTAAAGATAGATATACTAAAAGTCATCTATTTAACCTTAGGCCCTTTTTCTCATAGAAAGAAACATAGAACAGAAATTGAATATTCTGTTGAAGCATGCATCATTCATTTTTAAAAAATAGTCAAGCTGGTGCTAGTTCAAGGAATGGATATATCAAAACTGATGACACAAACACAGTGGTTGTGAGTCCTTGCAACTATGAATTATTGCCAGTCACCAATGGTGTACTATATATTTAGTTTCATTGTGTCCCGTGAAGTAAAGACTGGGAAAAATGCAATCTACCTCTGCCAAAATCACTCATCAAAGACTACGTGACATCATTCTAAAATTGCATAAACGAATTGAATTTCACATGATTGAGACCTTCAAAACGTAAATTTAATGCTTTCTCATAGTACAGGTTAGTGTTTAACGATTCCCTCAAACACCATTCTGGGAAATTTATGCTTTGCACATTACCCTGCAAATCGTTAAGGCTATACTACAACAAAAATACCAGACTCATTAGGAAGCATAAGAACGAATAAATAAACAATCACGCCATTATAGAAAAGACTACAACCAGCTACTTCGAGCAACGGTACATCAATTGAAGAATACACTTGGCATTTCAAATCATCCAATCACAACAATTTCTCAAGAAATACGTGAATGATTCGAGATAGCATAAACCTTAACCAGAATTAAGAAACACAAACATCATATTACTCTAACTTAAAGCAGCCAACCAAGAGTACAAATTGGTTGGCATATTTGAAATAGGAATTCAGTTACTGCACTCACCTCTTTGCCAAGCTGCACCATATTATCAGCAAGCCTCCGTATTTCTTTTGCCTAAAGAAGATCAAACAACACAGAAAAAAGAGAAAAAAATCACATCTTCCACTGTTCCCAAGTTATGTTCAAGAGAAATCAAAACAGCTAGCATTGCCACAATCAACTGTGAATTCCGAACTGCAAAAAAAAGTTCAATCTTTTTCTCACACAGTATGAGGGCCTAGTCACTCTCATAGACTACAAAGATAAAACGAAGCAACTCAAAATGGCGCAAATAAACATATAGAAATACCTTGGCAACAGTGGTTTCAATCCGCTCGTGCTTCACCAATTGTGAAACCATTGTTCTACAAGTACAAAAATATACGCAACGAATCAGAGAAGAATACAGCAGAAACAAAAACCCAGCTGGAAAAAAAAAATGAGCAAATTCTTCAAGAACCTGAGCATGGCCATACGGTGGCCCGTCGGCCGATTTAGCTTCCTGAACTTCGTCATTCTCCAAAGGAATCAATGGCCGGAGCGATGAGATGAAACCCAAATCTCAGCTCCCGAGTATTTTCCGCGAATTCCTCACTGGTTTCTCAGAAGCTAGCGAGTCAGTAACCATGAAAGAGGGGAAAAGAGCTCCTCGGAGATGGAGATGCGACTCCTAAACCCTACCAGTGGTTTAGCCATTCTACTGGGCCTAACTTTTCATTTCAGCCCAATTACGCTAAGCCTCGTAGCAAAAAGCCCAAAAAAGAACTACTTTCCCAAACGGGCCCAAATCGCATAATTGAATACGACAATCGCTTTATTAGATCTGTAATCCGACTAATTGACCGCCACCGGTATCGGCAGAGATCCGCCGGCTGTCGTCTCCGTTCTTTCTCCCTCTTTCGCTTCGTCGGTTGTCTCTTCCTAACGGAGGATTGATCGATCGTACGGGCAAGCGGTTTTCAGAAATTGCCGATGGCGAACGGCCAGAGTTCTGACTCGTCCGCGTTGCAAAAGTACGGCATCCCTTTCTATTCCGCGGCTTGGGTCCCGTACAAGGAACTCAAATCCAAGCTCGATCAGGCTCGATCTGATGACAAGCGGGAAGGAGAATCAAGCAAGGAATCCGATGCTTCCGCTCCGGCGGACAAAGATGGGGATTCTGTTGATAAGGAACCGTCTACTGCAGAAGCGCAGAAGACCGATGGACCGGCTGCGTCGGAGTATTACGTGGTTTTGGCTGGTGGTGGCGGCGAAGGGCGAAGTGGCATAGCAAATGCAATTGTTGTTGCTCGATTCGATTTCGCTTCGAGTGCTCTCTCGCCGCAGCCCGTAAGTTTGAGGTTATTGTTAGGACGGCATATGTTTTGAATTGTGCTTGGGGATTGATTCATGGCGTTGAATTTGTGTCAGAAATGTTCAGTTTGTTCTTTGATAGAACTACATAATGGTTCTCTCCAACCAATTAGATAAACATGGTAGTGTTGGTTCATGCTCATGCATTTCTGAAAGGATCTCTATTCGTCATTCTTCTGTTTCAGGTAGCTAAGCTTGTTCTTGGTTCAGAGTTGCCTTATAGAATGGCTGTTCACCCAAAAGGGGATGGATTAATATGTGCTATGCAAAACAGTTGCAGGTACAAATTCATTCCACTCCGCTGTTTGCATCTTGTGTAGCTGATCATCTTCGCTTCGTATTCCGTTCAGTATCTTTTCTTGTTAATATCATTGGGTTCTGGAAGCTAGTAGAATTTTCGTGGTCGTTGTTGGCAGGATTATCCTATTTGAATGCTTAGTCGATTCCTTTGTCCGACCTTTTCATTCAGGTTCTTTGAATGGGATGAGATCGAGGAGAACGAAACTCGCAAACTGGATGTCAAAGTTTCGGAGAAAGCCCTGGATCTGTTACAAGATGTTGGACAACAATTAGCGTTAGCCTATGACACTGACAGTTCCACTCTTGCTGTCGGTGGTGAGGTAGATTCTCGCATTCTCCTGCTAGTGTTTGGTAGAGATTGCATGACAGGAGGTGTTATTGACCAAAGAAATGCTAAAACTTTTTTGGTTATGGGCACCTTAAAAGTAATTTCTCCCACGTTGTGTAGCAGTACCCTGTGTTATTATCAAGTACAAGTTGTGCCATTTCTTTAAACTCACTGGTTTGGTTGCCGACTTGAATGCAGAGTTATTCTTCGAGATAGTTGCTTTGACTCACTGATTTTGGTGCAGTACAGGAGGGAAACTTGAGGATTTTTAAATGGCCAAGCATGGAAGTGATTCTGAATGAGGCTCAAGCACATTCTTCTGTGAAAGACTTGTGTTTCAGGTTAGCTGTAGGACTTCAATCTACAATAACCTGTTAGCATGAATAGCATTTTAGTCCATGTAGCTCATAACTTCACTGAACTCTGGTGCAGCCCTGATGGCAAGTTTCTCATCTCCCTTGGGAGTCGTGGTCCTGGTAGAGTATGGGATGTACCTTCAGCAAAAGTTGTAGCTTCGTTGCCAAATGGAACTGTGAGTAACCAATTAATCTCAACAGATTCCTTATCTACTCAGTGCGTGGTTTATCTGTCTTGCTGTGTTTCCTTAGAAAGTCGACCAGGCAGTTCCTATTTGTTTTCTTCTGTTACTATAAAGTCATCCTCCTCTTTGTGCAATATATAAAAAACGCTTTTGAGTTTATTTACTTTCATTTTCCCCTGTACTGACAGCCATGGAAGTATCGAAATTTAATTGTTATCTTGAGTTGTGATAATCACATACCTAAGTTCCCGAATCAGCCAAATATTAAGTTTCAAGAACTCATTTGATAACATAGCTACAATATGATAACCTTGTTGCCTTTCCAGCTCAAAATGAATGTCATCCATTATGAATCTCCAATCTTTCTTCTGCAAGTCAATCTAGTTCCCCATCTTTTGACTGAATATGATTTAATTTGTTTCCTTTTGCATCCAGGATGAGGTGTTCTTCTCTTGTAGATTTGCGCAAAGTAGGGATAATTCTCTAATACTGTATATTGCTGCCATAACAGGTAAAACTTTGTATAAACACTTTTTTTGTCCCCCTTAAGTTCCTAGGAGAAAGGTTTGATTGTTGATCTTTTAGAGTTTACAAGGATGTACTCTATGCAGGTAAAGGTGGAAGTATAGTGACATGGAACACAAGTTCTTGGAAAAGGTCGCGCTCTAAGCATGTGGGTCGTGATTCCATTTCTTCCTTCAATGTCTCGCCTGACGGAAGGCTCCTTGCAATGTATGAAATGGCTCAATTTCTCCTTTATGATATATTCCCCGTTCCATTATCTCAGAGCAATCTTTTTAATTTATCAAGTGCAATAGTAAAATTCATTTCGTCATTTGGGGTGATGAACCATCAGTGGTACAACCCAAGGGGACGTGGTAGTTGTAGATTCAACCAAGATGGGAGTTCAGATGGTGGTTAGGAAAGCTCATCTTGGATTTGTAACTGCGTTGGCCTTCTCACATGACTCAAGGTAAGCAGTTTGTAACTTAAACCTTAATTCCTGCTTCAAGTTCCATTCTGAGCCCATTCAGGTCTTCGTGCTTCCCTCTGAAATCCCTATCCAACACCATCTAGGGTTTAACCTTGGCGTTTGGTAACTTTTAATGCAGGGCTTTGGTATCTGCTTCTATGGATTCCAGTGCACGAGTAACGTTGATTAAGGAGAAGAAAAGCGGTATGTACAATCAAATTAAAGCAAATAGAAATCAAACTAATGCCCTTGAACTAGAAGAGTTATCAGTTTCACCTGGCCTCTAAAATATGCATCCAGTTGTTTGCTACCTTTATATGAGATGCCAATAACGGAAAGGGGTTGGTTGAGAAAGTAAAGAATTTAGGGGTCATTTGGATCATGGGTTTGAGCATAAAATCCATGAGTAGAGAAGAGGGTCTTTGTAGAAACTTGTTGGCCATAATCCTTGTATTTATAATTCCCTGAAGGCCGAAACTATGGGACCCTTGGATTTGACAAACCCTACTCCCATATGGGTTTGTGAGATTCATCCCTTCAAATCCGGGGTCCAATTGATGCGACCTGAATCTCAAGAATGAAAATGAGTGTTGAGGATTGCAAACAATGCAATCATTCATATATATCTAGGATGTGTTGATTTCCTGATTTTGAGCAAGTGTTTCATATTATTGGTTGTTTCCTTGTGCAGGAGGATCAAGCTGGTGGATCATTATTCTCATCGTATTACTCGCAATCCTCGTATATTTCCTGATGGAAGAAGGCCTTCTCCCTGACTTTGACTAGTCGCTTTCGGTATCCGGTACCATATGAAGGGCTTATACATCAACACAAGCATTGCAATGTAAAATATGCAGAATCCGGCGACTCTGTTTCTGTTGGAACCTAACTAGGTTGAGTATCAGCCTTAAAACGCCCAACCCAACTCGACATTTTTGTGCCAATAAAGGGAAACAAATACGACTGTTTGACGATGTAAAGTGATGTATGTTTGGAAAACAAGCTTAGAACACTGACTGTATACCTGCATTATCTATCTATGAGCATATGAGATGTGGTGACTGCAGAGTGTGAATGTTATCAGAAGCTTCTGCTTATATTTGGGTACACAAAATATCACAAATATCTTTTGAAGAATGTATACAAAAATATTGAAGTATGACAATAATTAATTAGTATAAATATCATGTATTCATTAGGATAGTGTAAAACAAAAAAATTGCTTTTAGCCCTAAAGTTGATATCTAAAAAAAACATATAAGCGTTTTCCCAAAAATAACGTTTAGGAATTCAAATTTTATGACTATCCGTGCTTCCACGTCATCACCTAATCTCTCCTCTCATTCTAATTCCTTCTCTCTCCCTTATGTTCCCAATCCGATGAAACCGCTTCCTCCTTTTACACGATCCGAACGCCAACTTACCCCAGAATTTCCTTCCTGTCTCGACATCCAAATCTTTCTTTATAGATCTGCCTCCATTAGTGACAACATTATTCTCTAATCCTATACTTCTATAACTCTAGCCTCTAGGTATGTTACTGTAACTTTGCGTTTATGAAATTAGTCTTCTGCCGTTCGGCTTTGATTTGTTTTTTCCATTGAAATGATTCTTCAAAAGTGTTATTATATTCTTACTGATTCGGTTGTATACAGATTTGAGGTAAGTATTCTTCCAAATACATTTCCCCAATACGAAATGATAGATATTCACAATGAGCACTAATTTATATATATATACATATAATATGATAAGTTTGAGTGCTTTAATTGAAAATTTAGAACATAAATTCATACAATGGAACTTTTTAAACCTCCTTAGATGACATCAATATAAATTAGAGAGGTTGAACCATTATGTGTGCATGATAAATGTTAGTAGAGTTTTCAAATTCAATGTGACATGTATTAGAATGGAGGGTAAATGTTTACTCTTTAGGGTGAGAGAGAGAAAACTACCAGCATAAGGAAATTAGCAATCCTTAATATCACACAAATAATATTGGACATTACTCTCTATCCTCAAAATTAGACGAATAAAATTAATCACAAGTCAATATTGATAAATAAAAAAAATCGAATGTCTAACAGAGAAATGTGTATTTTTTTTTAAATCTAATACTACACAATTATTGATTGAATGTTGGTTGTACAGTTTGAGAAATAAAAAATTACTTAGTTAGATATCATACATATATTAAGAGACCACAAATATATTTGTGAATATGAATTGTTAAAACATAGATTACTTAAAATTTTATAATAGTCTAACCATAATGAAAAAATATTTGATTAATTAGATACCATACGAAAGTCACCCGGCCAACGAACCGGGCATAAAGTCAGTTTTTTTAATAAGAAATCATACAAAGAAGTTGAGTTTATAAATAAGATTGCGCATTGGTAAAAAAATTTTGGATTAATTCATTAAAAAAAAATTTGGATCAGGCTCGGTACCAATGAAATGGGTCTGTGAGAGCGGGAAAAGCCCAGCTCAAATCGGGCCCGATAAGCCCAGCTCAAATCGGGCCCGATATCAACTGAATGGGTGTGACTCCTAAAAGCCCAACTGGAATCAAATAAGCCAAAAATTGCGGTGAGCGTGGATCGAACACGCGACCTTCAGATCTTCAGTCTGACGCTCTCCCAACTGAGCTATCCCCGCTTGTTGATTCAAATGTATAAAGACCATTAAATAACCATCAACTTGTTTCTGACCCAAAACAAAAACAGAACGACAAGATTAGAGAGAACAGAATCAAGGTAAGAGATGACTGGAGAGGAAACAGACAGGACATGTTAAATCAATAATTGTACTCTTTTATATCCATTTCTAAACGAATCATACATACTTTTTATGTTCCACAAGGCTATCTAGCACTTTACAAGATACCATTTTTCATCTAGGATTGATCTAAAGTTCACACTGGTATCAGAGTCTTCAAACTAATTATTTATCAGCAATGAACCATCACAGTTCCAAATCTAAAACACCACAACCACATTTCTAGACAGTAGTTACAACCATCGAACTCCATAGTCCCTAATGCACATCTTCTATGCCTAAGGGAACCAGGCAAGCAGAACTGAGAGCAACTTGACGGATTTTGCCTAGTTGAGAGGACAACCAAACCTTCAAGTCAGCCTCGAAATCAATCCACCGGGTGTTTAGATCACCACATCCAGTGATCTAGATGATAACTTACCTCCATTTTCAACCAATTTATATTTGCACTGAGAAAACGGCTTCCTCACAAACATCATTCGTTCTCCTAGCGAAATTTCAAGAGCCCCCTTGGCTGGCCTCAACCTTCCCAGCAACAAGAAAAAACCCAACAAAACAAGGAGACTCAGCTTCTTGACCCCCCCAAAGAAAGTTTATTTCATTCGGATCAGAACACTTTTCAGGAGTATCTCACCTCAGGGTTCCCTTTCAAAGCAGAAGTGGCCTGTCCAACCTGGGGTGCTGCCTTCGAGAGGTCCCTTAGCGTTCCCTGATTATTTAAAGATCGCACAAAGACAACAGTTAAGGTAAAAGATCTTGTACCTTGAGTCAAAACTCAAAAATTAAATCCTTGGAACAAAATTGGATAAGGAATGCAAACACAAAGATGGAGATCTCATTAGCAATTTTAGTGAAGTGCATTAACAACATCTAGTAGGGCCATTGTTCTTTTTGAAGCATCCATGCTTGTCATGTAAGGAAGTGAGCTAACTAAATTTATCATGAGTTGGACATAAATTTTTTGGAAGGATCACAGTACTTCACCAATTGTGATAAATCTATAGCAGAAAGTCACATTAATGCATCAGATCGTTAAGCATTTACCGGCGAGACTAATTCTTAAAGACTACTAACCTTGTTTGCCCACATAAGGCCACAAGCATTACAAAGAGTCCTGGGGCCTTCAGGTCCACGCCTCATCATTGGAGTAGCCTTCTCACTAGTACCACAATGCTGACAACTGAACATTTACAAATCAAGGCATCATACAATTGTACCAGATGACAAATAATATGCTGCTGTGAAAATAGGAATATTTCCAAAGAGAGAATCTCACTGCAAGTTTCTGTTCTGTTCAGTGTTTTGGGAGCATGTATAATGAAAACAGTAAAAGTGAAAATGTGTGGTAGGACACATACGGATCAAAAACATGTCTTAAGAGTGCTAAAAGCACTTGATAAGATAGTAGAGCCATCAACTAATATCTATACATAATATTGTGAATCAATTTCATAAGAAAGAAACTTCCGAAAAGCTGGACAAAGAGTCTTTTACTTGACTTTACTCTATTTGCTAGCAGTTATATTTAATTATAATGTCCCAATTCTTATAAATCATCGAATCAGACACAGCAAGCAAACTTTTGTACACTGCACTAATGTGCTTTTGCTGGTTAACCTCGTTGGTTTGCCTGGTGGTAACATGGGGTTGATAACATCCATCAACCTTGGGTTCGAAAATTGGGGCAGAATCACCTTTACAAAAAAGGTGTCTTGCTTGTTGTTTATATAAATCACAGGAAGACTAATTATGCATAAAAACAACTATTAGCCAAGTAGAGAGCATACAAGGCCTCCTGAAGCTTCAAACCATTATTGTCTGAGCCACAACTCTCACTCGAACCCCAACTAGTAACTGCAGAAGCTGAATCATCATGATTGGGCTTTGCCGAAGTAAACTGGCCTTTATGTCGTTGCATCCTGTAGAACAGAACAAGTGAGCACAAGCAGACACAATATACTCCATGATCAAAGGAAAAGAGGAAAGAGAGAAACTTCTAAAGAGCTACATTCCCTTTTCTTGTCTCTCTGTTCTAAGGTCAAAGTTGAAGCAATACCATTAATTTTACCATAAATGAAACACATCAATTAAGATCTCAACTGGTACATCTTGATTCTTTCATGTCAAATAATAGTTCACATGCCACCAAAACAGGAACATTGTACGCCACAGCCTAGCCATTATCCCTGTCCTTACAGGTTATTTACTAAGTTCACTGAGGATTCCTATCTGAACCCAGAATTATTAGAATGAGCAACACAAGTATCGAATTCAAGATAAGCCGTACATGCTTGATCATCAAGTCGAACTTAGTTTCTTTATGGCGGTCATTAGTTTCACTGGCCAATGTTAAAGTGAAAAGCGTAACACCCTGTCCTGGTAATGCCAATTCAAATCTACAATTTCTTGAACTTGTGCTAATGATACGAATGTTTCAAAATACAAGATTCTTGTTAGGTCCCAAATCATAATAATGTTCCGTCAGTTCAATTGGACCTCACCCCGGAGCATGAACCACCCTTTAGACATGTGGTAGAAAAAATGAAAAATAGATGAGGCTATCCTAAGGTGACACACACAAAAATATGAGATAGTATATTAATGGTAGAAGACATACCTAAGAGCCACTTCTTTCCGGACAGTATATCGAATTTTCTTATCAAAATTACGTTCCTTGCGCTTTTCCCGGAATCTGTGCAGAGAAGCCAATCTATGTGGCACACTAAACTTTTCGGGGGTAGCAGTCAGGCCCTGATCAAAAGCATTATTAGCTGAAAATTAAAATAGGTCAGACACACACTGAGCTATAGGTGTACTAAGAAGACAAATCTGTACCTTACTACTCTGAGGAAAGGTCATTGGAAGAGCAGAAGCACCTAAAGGTACCTCCCGGCCTCCTAATAATAATAGCACAGCTTGAACCTGCACAGTTCACCAAGATTATCATATCAAAAAAGTTGGAGGATAAACTTGGACAATCATCATATGCTAACCAACAGTAGCCCAAAGGAACAGAGAATCAATCACCTTCTCTGGTGAAACAGAATCAAAGACATAAACTTGACCCTGAAAGGAAAGAGTGAGCTGATCGCCATTTTCAATACTGTGATCAGCCACCATCATAACCTGGGTATCTGAAAAATTACCCTGATCTACGTCCACCTCTGTCATGGTGTCACTCCCAATACCATTGTTGTCATGGCAATGGTTGTGCTCTTCGCCATCGTTCATCAAACTCCCATTACTCATCCCCTGATGCTGATGGTGATGCTCATAAGGCATATGGAGTTCATTCTCTCCATCGCCCATTTGCATTCCAGGATCAGTCTCGTGAATGTTGTCCATGTTCCTTCCAAGTTTCAACTAATTTTCTAGGTAAATGTTGTACGCCTCTCTGACCAGGTTACTTCCCAAAGAAATTGAATTCTATTCACTTTGATAGATCAACCCACAATCACCTACATGACCATTAAACCAAAAGGATTAGACTTCCACACTAACTGACAAATACCATACTAATTACTCGTGAATCGACAATACCCCAATTTTCTACAACAAAAAACCATGAAAAAACGCGCAAGAAGAGGAAGCTCTCAACTTTACCCAAAAACATATCCTGGGCAGTCCTAATAGAAGCAAGTCAAAGCTAGTAATGCAATAAAAGAAAGAAAGAAAGAAAGAAACAGAAAAGAAAACACCACCATCTAGCTAGGTTGCAACGAGAATGGCACGGATATATTCAATTCCTAACTCATTTGCAAGGAGAAACAGCACCATGACTATCTTATGAACAAATCAACATCAGCATGGGAAACCAACAGCAACAAAGCAAGAGACTTTTCATAGTCGCTTTCAAAAGAAGAGAAGGAACAAAGGGCAGTGCTGGTTGTACCTTGTGCAGAGAAGCCAACAGGCCTCAGGGTTCAATTCGAAATGGTGGGAAGGAACGGATTCGAATCGGAATTGAAAATGAGATTCTGACGAGGCCCTGAATCGAACGGATTGTGATTGAGGGAGCGTATAGGAGAGAGATGAAGATCCGAGACCGTCGGATTAGGTATGGAAAGCAACCAACGGCGAGGATATGAGGGATAGACGAAGGTGAGACAAAAATCTCTCTTGTCTGGGAACAGGGGGCGGGGAGAAAGAACTAAGGTGGAACTAATTACATGAACCGTACCTTAACTACATAAATTGTAACAAACTCATCACTGAACTTTCAAAGATGACGAACTCGTCACTCAAGTTTATTGATCCGTAACAAAACGGTCACTCTTTCTGACTCCATCCATTAATTACTTTAATAATGTCGAGTCAACTTGCCACGTCAGCCATACTGCATTGTCAAGCGCTACATACGTCTTCGAAGGAGCTTGATAGAAGAGAAAATAGGAAGCAGATAAAGATGTAAAGCGCTACACGAATGCATTTCGTGTAACAACATTGTGCAACACTTTGAGACTAGAATGAAAATCATTCTACAACAAGATAATGATATTTAAAATTGAAAACGACCACTTCACTTATACCACTTAGGGGTTGCTTAAGTGATGAGCCATGAAGGTAAGCATGGCGTGCTCTCGAATTCAATTTAGTCTACCATCATGAGACAATTTTCTTTGGTGGTCACCAGTAGGGTTGTAAGCAAATCGAACGCTTAAATGGATTGACGAGGATTCATGGCAACTAGGATATCCTCAGACATGTACATGGTGTTTCCATTTCACATAAGAAAAATCTAATTTCACCCATTTTATGTTGATGTTGCAAAATTATAATTTATAAGTTTGAGAGTCAATCATGAGCACCTATCCATAAGTTGTTGAAATAATGTAAATACATAGATCATTGTTACCTAAAATCATCAGTATATGCATAATGGTTGAATTTAAGATTCATGATTTCATTTTACCCCTTAAAAGAAACCTCGATTTAACCTCAATTATCAACAAATATTTCTCAATACTAAAGTTTGATCCTCAAGCAAATATATTGAATTCCCCTCCATGACTTGCACTCTACAAATGATCAAAGGTTTGCTCGTTTGCCCAATGCATCAACTTGAGGCTTGTAAAACTATAAACTGACCTTTAGCAAAGGTCTCTCTGCCAGAGTCTGCCTTCATTAATTGTCGTCGATGGAAGTTGTTGTGGTTTAATCTATGTTCTTAAATGAAGAGTTTCATCATACAACTCTTGACTAGTACATCTAGATCTCGACAAATTATTCTAAACACTTTGCTTAACATTCAACATAAGAGGACAATTTCGTTAAGGCTTAGGACCATGATGAAATTTTGTTTTTTTTTCCCAAGCACTTGAGCCCTACCAAAGGTACTCTTTACTATAGGCTTTAAGTTGTCAACTTTTCAAGTCATATTTGATATTTCCTTATCAATGACTTATGTCTTTGATTGCTTGAAGTAGATGAATCATGTCTTGGGCTAATATCTAGCTTGACAAATTTATATCTTTTAACCTCAATGTTTTATGATTTTTTGGGGTTCCTCCGCAAGGTTTGTCCATAAAGGGTGAGTCAGGATCTAAGGTCAGGCCGAAAGGCATGGTCGACGGACAATAAGTTAATATTCAAACCAATGCAAATCCAACCTATTTTTATTTCATCTCATTTACATTTTAATTTTATGTGTTCCTTCTCATGGCCAGGTGTGTAACGAAAAGGTTGATGATTCTCCAATAGTTGGTTATAGAAGTAGAAGTTAATAACGACATTGACACCCATAAGTCAAGTCATGATAATTGTATTTTGTGACACATCTTAGATATCAATATTATGAATTTGTCGAGGAAGGCTACCATTGATCGTGTTACTTCTTATGCACAATATGACATTGAGTGACGTATTGTAACCTATATAATTACTAAACTTTATCATGGTAGAGTATAGTATTGACACGATCAGTTAACACAATGCAAAAAGACTGGTAAGTTGAGTGAGTACAACTAGTTGATATTGCTCCACACATAGACTTTGTGACAGAGTTAACCTAAGATGTTGGATCCACCCAAAATGTGATCACAGAAATGAAGAGCCTTTTAAGGGATTAGTCATCATGTGGTCATACTTGTGCATATTTCATGACTTAGAGTGTATCATAACTTAGCTCATTGTGATATATCACACTTCAAATGGCTCATAAAAGAGTATACCGTGTGGGTAGTCATTGAGTAAGCAATGTAAGCATCAAAGATATTTGATAGTGCAATCGAAGTGAGGATTCGTTCATGTACATTCGAAATATGATGCCACTGAGCCCTTTACCATATCGGTTGTGTAAAATGTTTGGCCACACTCAGGTTAGTAGACAATTCATTCGAGACTCGACTGTAAATCATTATGGTATGGTTGTAATAGGGATATATATATTGTACAAGGATGATTGTTTCGTGACTTGTAATCACATATTGATATTAGTAAAGAAAAGACACCCACGGATAAATGTGTGCATGGTATAACTAGGATGGTCGAAAGCACGATTCGTTGTCTATATTATCTTACACGACCATATAGCAAAATTGATGGAAATCGTTTTTAGTTTCTTCACGACCATTCCTTTCTTGTAAGTCCTCCATACTCTCCCCTGCCTTTGCTATAGTCTCCGTCCGGTCAATTATATCGTCTCTCTCACCCTTTTCAGTTTCGTTCAGGGAAGAGACGTATATGTTGCCTTCTTCGGTTGTTGGTGTCAGATTCTTTGCTCCCTCATTTCTCTCCCGATCCCCTGTTTCCTTCCTCATCCCATCTCTGTTTCCTTACATTTTCCCCTGCCGGACTGGACTTTCTCCTTTTTCTTTCTAGTGCGGATCGGGAAACCATTGCATTAGCGCATTTCTTGAACCAACAACACCCGCCTCAGCCAGCATCGAATTGAATATTGATTGACAGCGGTTGAAGTTTTTCCCCTTGGGGGTTTTCTTTTTCTTCCTCCCTTTTCCCCTTGGCGTTCGTCGGAGATCCGATAACCAATCAATGGGGAGGAGCAGCAGATCGTCGGCTTCTTCGTCGTTGTCTTCCTCGAAATGGAGGTATTGCAACCCTGCTTATTACCTGAAGCGCCCCAAGCGATTGGCTCTGCTCTTCTTCGTGTTTGTTTGCGCTAGCTTTCTGGTATGGGATCGCCAGACTCTCGTCCGGGAACACGAGGTACCCAATTTTTTGTCCCATTTCTTCTGTTTTTTTGCTGAAGCCTGAATGTGACATGGTTAGCTGGAATCAGTATGAATGTCATGATAGATCTGATGACTCACTTTGGGGAATTGGATCTTTAGGTGCAGAATTGGGAAAAAAGGTTTTTTTTTTCTTCTTGACCAAGAGGGTTTATTACTATCTGATTTTTACGCCCTCTTCTGTGGTGGAGGGGGCCGTAGCTTTTTATGATGATTGGTGGGAAATGTTGGGCGGAGAGGCTTACTTACCGTGAAAGTTTCGTGTGTGGCAATTCATGGGTTTGTAGATGTTTGAGGAATGGCATGAGTTAGAAACTCGTCTCGAGCTTGCAAGTGACTTTTGTGGTCACTGGTGCTGGTTGGGGGGAACATTGAATGCTGGTGTTGTGGCTGTGGTGCATTGAAAATTTAGTGCATTGACAATTTAGGTTGATCATGCGTATGGAAGTAATGTCAATGTCAATGAGCATGGCCTTAAACTGTTGCCTTCTGGAAGTGAGGAGGTTTCACCCTTGATTTGTCGATCACATGGCTGGTTTTCTCTGGTTGTTTAGTCACAACCGGTGGCTTCAGAAAGTATGTTTTTTTCTTGCTGCTATTGATTGAAGGAAGTTCGGCTTTCCTGGGATGGACACTATGTTCCTTGTGGGAATGTGCATAACTTCTCCTCATTATTCTTGTATTGGAGTTGTCTAGTAGACGACAGTATTCAGCTTCCAACTGAAATGGGGGGAGGTGATAGAAGAAGGCCATCTGGGTTACTTCTTACTTGTAATTGACTCTCCATCTTTTAAATCCATACAACTATGTAGGGCAGCTTATTAGGGTTTCCAGTGGTGGATTGTGATTGATGATGGTTTTTTTCGTCCCTTTGTTTATTCCCTAACCTCCTACCCTGAATGAGCTTGTGTAAGTACCGTATCACACACAGATGCACATGGACTCATATGTGGTTTTACCCCTATCAGGCCTGCTGGACTCTTCTGTTAATATTCCTTGAGAATTTCTTCCATCTGATGTATTTTGTCCAACTGACAGGTGGAAGTTGATAAGTTAAGTGAAGACGTGAACCAATTAAAAATGATGGTAAGTGATGCCTACTCTTCTTGATACTACCGACTTCTCAACTTACTATTGCATTTGAGCTATATTTTTTGT